TGCTGGTGCTCTGCTGTGGAACGCTTTCCCTGGTGAGGTCCGCACAATTACCCGGCTACAGCATGCATGTGTACCATACGCCTGTAGGGAGTAGTTCGAGTTGCTGCTGATCGCTCTGCTCTCCCTCCCCGTGCACTTCAGTAATCCTCACGTAGTATCACAGATACATCGTATTCTCTCTCTCCCCCCGTTTACTCGCAGTTATTAGTATCCTATTCTCTTACTTTGTGCTTCCATAGCTTTTACTATCTTCTTCCATAGACACTTCTAGGCTAAGCCTTCGCCGTCATTTTAATGGGTCGTCATCCCGTTTGAATGTGCGAAGTGAAATAAAAACCAACCAACCAACCAACCATAAGCAATGCTGGGTTGCGGAGAAACATTGCGTACAACCATAAAGTGGCTAAGTACGGTATCTCGTGCTCACCACTTTGCAGTACAGTACGAACAGTACAACGCTGTGCAAGTCCATGATTATGAGTATCGTCATCGACGTGAATGAACATCCGCCAACGTTTGTTTGAAGTTTCATTTTTACATCGCAAACCAAACGGGCAACGTCCTTCACAGCTGAGACTTTCAGCTCGTGCTCATCTTGGTTGCGCTCACCTTCCCCTATGTTATTTCTATAACTTAGAACCTTCCAAGTTGGAAGGCTGTTGGAGTGCGCATCCAAGAAGTGCTAGAGCTGTTAGCCAGCTAGTTGTAGAACGTCAGTATCGTCGGTCAGTGTCGTGCAATGTTATCGCATGAGCTGATTGTTTAGTAACTAGTGGTGTTAGTGGACATTATAGCTGCCACCTGGCACCGCAGTCAACTGCCGGGGCACTTCCATAGTCCCATCTGCTTACGCTCGGTACTTAGGAATACTGGTTGACGAACATCTGTCTTTCTCAACCCAAGTGGATGCAGTATGTGCAAATGTCAATAGGAAGGTTGGAGCATTTGTCCACGCAAAGCAGAATATCAGCATTTTTGGCAAACGACTTTTCTATTTATCGATCATTCAGTCCACATTTGAGTTTGGCAGCACTGCATATATTCATTGCTTATCACAAGCCCTATATGACAAGCTTCTTACTGCCAGCCGCGTAGCATTAAAGAGAATATTTTCGTTGGATAGAATGACTCCCACCACTCTTCTATCAGTCATACTAACTTGTACGCCCTTGAGAAACGCCTCAACTTCAAAACCTATATATTTGTTTACCGCTGCCTGAATGGACTTGCTAGTCCTCTTCTGCGAGACCGCTTTACGTTGCGCGCCCATGGTGCTCGCACTGCAGCCACCACCCGTGGCCAAGTCTCTGCTGCTCTTGTTCTGCCCCCCGCTAACACCCGATATGGCTTTAGTGCAATTTCTTATTTGGGCGCTGCCAGGTGGAATACACTTCCACCGGCTTGCCGCATGTCTAGTTCACCAGCTGAATTTCGCTCATCCATCAAATTATACCTAGGGTTCCCTGTAAAAAGGCGCTGACGCCTGTTGGGAATTCCCTAGTAAAAGAAGAATAAATAAATAATAAATAATTATAGCGTGAAGTGTAGTTCCTTGGTCTTTTTTCTTTTCTATAAACTGATGCCGTCTTGCTATTTCTTTATTTATGAAAGTGCACATGCCTACATAGAATGGTAGAGAACAACAACAACAACAACAACAACAACAACAACAACAACAACAACAACAACAACAACAACAACAACAACAACAACAACAACAACAACAACAACAACAACAACAACAACAACAACAACAACAACAACAACAACAACAACAACAACAACAACAACAACAACAACAGCAAGAGAACATAGGGGACTACAAAGGGCGTGTAGGTGCTATGAAGTTGCGGCACTGAGGTGAAGTGCGCTCCCCCGACCAATGGTCTCGGGATCAAGGCGCACATCACGCAGCATGGGGGAGAGGGAGAGAAAAATGACTGCGTGTGAAAGAGTGAGAACCTGGGAGCCAGAGAATGATGGAGAGAGAGAGAGAGAGAGAGAGAGAGAGAGAGAGAGAGAGAGAGAGAGAGAGAGAGAGAGAGAGAGAGAGAGAGAGAGAGAGAGAGAGAGAGAGAGCGAGAGAGCGAGAGAGAGAGAGAGATGGGGGGGGGGGGGAATGGTATGGTCCGAACATCATCCGGCGGCAGGTTCCAGAGTGTAGATCCTGCGACAGCCGGCCGAGAAGCGAGCGAGTGGAGTATGGCTGACTCAGCAGACCACTGGACCTCTGATGACAGGTTCTCCTGCCAGCAGATCTGACGAACAGTCCAGACAACGTTGCTCTAGCTTTCCCGTGAAGGCACCTCCAGACAAATACTAGTATCTTGCGCTTGCTCGGTATGAATCAAGGCAAAGGTGGTGAGGTCTGGAGAGGTAGGGAGGGGGGATGGAGGGCCAGGGAGGGCGTTGGAAGGCCAGGGTTGGGCCGGGAGGGGGCGAGGGAGGGCCAAGGAGGGGGAGGGGGCGATAGAGGACAAAGGAGGGCGATGGAGGTAGGTAGGGCTTAGATCAGTTTCTCCCGTTGTAGTAACTGAGTAGCTTTCGATGGTTGTGTGAGAATTGCCTCCCTGACTGAGGTGAAGGTAGATTGACCCAGCGACTGTGTAGCTGCTCGAGTACTCTGTCTAGCAGGGCTACTTCGACTACCATGGAGATGTACAGCCAATGATCCTGGACTGTTCCGGGACAGTGAGCGCAGGCGGGGGGGGGGGGGGGGGGGGAGTGTTCCGTAGCAATCTGGAACATGCACAGTGCTGGCAACTGAAATCCGACCACTGAGCGGTGCGCTCACATCGCAAAGACTCAACACGGGATTGTAAGACTACGATTTTTTTAATTTTATACATGTAGAGGCCGCTAAAAATGTAAACGCATCGCTCAGGGGTCGGATTTCAGTTGCCAGCACTGTCTGTACTGTGGTACTTTGAATTACATTGTACCAATACTTGCTCAGACAGCTGCAGTGAAATGTGAGAGGCTGAGTGAGGACTGGTGGTCTCGTGGCAGGACGGAGTGCTGTGAAGCTTGCTTATGTTGAGCAACGGGCGGCGGTACGCTGTTGCGGACCGAATTGAAGCCTTGGAACTGAGCTTGGATAGGTAGCTGGAGCCGGTCCTGTACACAGTGTGTTCCATGCCGGTCAAGGCGATTCATCTTATCATTAAAACACCGCGGTTGTAACCGGTCAACATGGAAAGGCAATCTTTTTTGGTTGAGCAGTGTGCTTATATACAGCAGAGGTGCGAGGGAATAGGCGCTAGGAAGGAGCCAGGTACTAAGTGTGAAGATGTGTACATGATGAAGTGTGGTAGATACCTGCATGATTGTATAGATGTAAACTGTTACAGCGGTGCCGGGCTGCTGATCCAGACAGGGTTGGTGCAACGAGCCTTCCGGGCAACACCTGTGACTGCGAGGGCATAGTAGTGGGACCATTGTCATTAGGTTTAGGCCTGTTTTGGAACTCCACTCTAAATAAAGCCAAACAACAAACAACAACAACAACAACAACAACAACAACAGCATAGTACACAGGGATGGCGTGGGGTTTGATCCTCTTATTTGCAGTTTTGTCACGCTCTTCGTATTCACATAGGGTACCCTGGCCCTAGGCCTGTGGGGATTGCCCTATTCAGAATTTAATAATAATCCTGTAGGGATCTTCACGGAGGGCATCTACATCTATGAGGTAGAGGCCGTTAAAAGTTACCAATAATTATACTGACCGCTTTTTTCTCTACAAAATCCACATATTTGAATGATGATATTTCCAGACACTGGTGTGAATAATGGAGTGTGGTGGTGGGGCCCGCTTAGCCAGCCAGACGTCTCGGCTTCATAGCTCCATGGACGCACCTCCATGGGGGTAACGTCGTAGACTGCCTTAATGCCAGCTGTTGCTGCTGCTGCTGCTACTCCGGCAGTGAAGGATGTTGCGATAGCTCCAGCAGGTAGACACCCAGACAGTAGCTCTGCCCGCTGGGCTTCAGTGGTTTCCATGACAGAAAAAAACATCTCCACCAGCGTTGGTGTCAGAGATACTGCCATCTGGAAAGGGTGATGAAGCGCCATGCAGGGCCAGGCAGGGCGATCAAGGGCTAGGGAGGGCGATGGAGGGAGTGGATGGGAGGGCCAGGGAGGTGGCTGCGGAGGGCCAGGGAAGGCGATGGAGGTAGAGAGGGCCACGGAGGGCAATGGATGACCAGTGAGGGTAATGAAGAGCCAGGAAGGGGGATGGACGGCCAGGAAGGGGGATGGAGGGCCAGGAAGGGGGATGGACGGCCAGGAAGGGAGATGGACGGCCAGGAAGGGAGATGGACGGGCAGGAAGGGAGATGGACGGCCAGGAAGGGGGATGGACGGCCAGGAAGGGAGATGGACGGCCAGGAAGGGGGTGGACGGCCAGGAAGGGAGATGGACGGCCAAGAAGGGGGATGGACGGCCAGGAAGGGGGGGGGGGGGGCTGGACGGTCAGGAAGGGGGATGGACGGCCAGGAAGGGGGATGGACGGCCAGGAAGGGGGATGGACGGCCAGGAAGGGGGATGGAAGGCTAGGGAGGGGGTAATAGAGGTATAGGGTGGGCCAGGGAGAACGACATTATGCCATTAGGTTTGTACACTGTACTACCGTACAGGGAGAGACTACTCAACCTTCCATTCGGACACACACGCGGCTCAGCTGTGTGGACCTTCTTACAATAATGTCTCATCAGCACACCTCCGAGTGACTGGCTGAACCGATCACAACATTAATTCGAGACACAATGCAGTGTGGTGAACAACAGTCAGTGCTTTGCTAGGGAGAGATCACAAAGGTCAAGGGCAGTGACGGCAGTAGAACCCTTCATCGACTCAACGTTGCAACATGACTTGTCGCTCTACACACAGTCAGTCCCTTGCACTCAGCACTGCACTGCGGCAGCCAGGTGACAGATCCGTGATGCGCACGCCGCACGGCAGACCATACACCTCCGCGTAGATCTACCGTCCGTAGATTTTCGCATCAACAGGATCCGGGAAAAGTAGCTGGAAAGCTACGCATTTGTAGTTGAAGGTGAAAAAAGCTTGCACCGTAGCTCTACTGCAAAGCTGGGTGAGATTTACAGTGGGGAAATAGTTGGCAGGTCGAGCAAAGACAATAATACTCTCGTGACATAATTGTGTATCAACGTCCAAAACGGTGATTAGCACCGTTACAATAATCATTGCTTCGCTCATGACGATGACGGGGAACACTCCGAACAGGCGCCGCGCTCCGACTCCGACGGGGAACAGCACATGGCGGTTGCAGGCGATCGCAGCCGCGCTCTCGCTATGTTTCATTCATTTAGCCAGTGGACGAGCGGAGGACGCCATGACGCCCCAGGCGATGGCTAAGTAAGTAACTAGGTACACGACAGACTGTGCTAGTGTCGTAGTGAACGACATTGTAGCTGTAGGTGGGTCGACATGATTGTTATCTTTCTCTCGCACCACTCTTACTGCATGCATGCAACGGAGTGCCGCCATGCACCATCCGGTCGTATTTGTCCGTATGCGGCCTTGCGCAAGTTGAGGAAATGTGAAGGATTGTTCGCAATAATGCGGACTGGGCATCAGATTTACCGCAGAGTGGAAGCGTACTCTGCAGCGTGGACTTGGAGAAATATTTTTGTTTGAATCATGTCCAATGCACTGGCTGCGTTCGATTATGCAGTTGAATCGATTCATGAATCCATTCGCATTCATTCAAATCGTTCGATTTTCATGTCATGAGCCCTGGAATCGACTCGGAATCCATTCACCCTATTCACATGGGGTGATGTGAATGGCGGGAATCGATTCATGAATCGATTCGAGCGCATAATCGAACGCACCCAGTACTGTGAAGCCACCAACAGTACTCAGCAGACTGAACTGTAATTGGACCCTACAGAACTAACTTCAGGCTTCTCCTATGCAACATTTCCGAAACATTCATCAAAGATTTCCATTGCCGTCTCGTCCATTGGATTCAGGCAGAAAAGCAAACTGGTCAGTGCAATAACTGATAATGAGTGCGGTGTTTGGGTGATTGAAGTGGCAGTAAGAGGAATGAGATAGTGGTAATGATTTCGGCGATAATTTTATCTCTTAATTTGCTGGCAAAAAGTCCTATAATATTATTATTATTATTATTTGTGCTCCCGCGTCAATGGGCTCGCCCAAATTCGCTTGCACCGAACCATGTGAAAAAAGGCCACCAGCAGGCAGGCAGGCAAAGAAAAATAGAAAATGGTGTCACATAAACTAATACAAACAAGAATATCATTATTGATGACATTAATATACTGAATGAATGGCAAAGGCCATGTGAATACGGATAATACGGATAATCAGAGTACCAACAACAAAGAATGTAGCTCAAACCATTGCAGTGCCAACTTCCTTCACCAGTACTCTGCCTTGTACGCATCTGTAACTGCGTTGCACAGATATGTCCATTCACGGCGATCCAGTGCTCGCTGAGCCATCAGCTGCAAGTCCCCTGGAGTCCTCAGACGGCAGCCGACTCGCTCCGCGTCTTGATTCAGCAGGACTGGTAGCGAAGTCCTATATATAGGATTTGAAAATGCGTGACCTTTATGCCGTTGTTATTGGTCATCATGAGTCATTCATGACCCATAATAAGAGCATAATGGTTTTATTAGAAGCTGTAAATATGTTTGAGGCATGAATGTTTACTTTTTAGATTCATAGGACATCATGAATACCCATTTTGAGCAAGAATCGGAATTTTGAGCAGCATTGTTCAGCTGGTGTCATGGGAAGGACTGGAGCAGTGAATGTGCAAAAGAACATTACAGGTGTGGCAGCATATCGCACATGCCGTCGTGAAACTACCAATTTTAAGGATAAAACAAGGTCCAGTAAAATCTCAAATCTTATATATAGGATTCGAAAAAATAGGGCACAGGCCTTAGAAATATTGCGCAAGGAGATGAGCCTTAGATGTCAGTATTTGAAAAAATATCTTATTCAACTCTACATTTCGACTAAGACCTAACGAGGAAGAATTGGTAACAAACGTTTCCCTATGCTCATGCCACACCCATTTTGAGTACTGTATTGTCTATAAAAAACAGCACGCTGTGACTTTGTCGCCTGCTGTTCTCCGGCAGGCTTGTAGGCGATGCCATTGTTCGCCACAAGGACGTGTTTCTGGTGTGGAACTACGGTGGAGCGCTGGTAGTTGACGGACTGTGGAAAGCAAACGAGACGTTCCAGCTGAACTACGCTGACACCGTAGGTAAGAACCTCCTGCATGCGAAGAGTTGAGATGCGAAAACCCGCAAAGCGCCAATTTTGAGAAAATCAGATTTTCAGCAGGGCTTTTTTCAGAACCCTTGAAGCTCCAATGTAGCCTTGTCATCTATTCACTAAATCTCTGTGCTACTTGATGAAATCCGATCGTATGAGTTTAGAAGCTTGTGCCCTGCACTAGCTCACCACACCAGTGGTTGCAGGTCTAGGGCTGCACAGGGCCAGGTTTGGTACTGACTAGCTCCAGGTTGATTTCATTGAGCAGCACTGTAGTATCCTTTACATATGGTAGCTATAGTGGTTTCCACGGTTACGGGGTCTCTTTTTGTTCGCACGCTCTAAACTTGTTGAGCATTTTCTGCGCTTCTGAACTGTGTTTGATGTGCACAGACGCACTGCTGACGCACTATCTGAGCGACGCCGAGTCGTTTGCCTACAAGGCAGTGCACGGCGAGAGTATTCCACACGGCGGCACTATAGGCGACAGCGAGGGCCTCTTTCCGATTGCGTATCTGAACCGTGCACTGTCGTATAGCCATGGACCGGCAGCAAAGCCCGGCTACTCAAACGTTTCCGACTTTAGAGTAAGCCAATCACTCAAGTTCAATATACTCTTCTGACGTCGGGTTATTTAATAATAATACAGCACGCATATACATGTAGCTCATATGAACAAATCAAATGACAGTCATGCATCTGTCGACAACGTTGAGCCAGTGCGTTCTGTCAGAGGCAAGTTGATCCGCTTCCAAAAAAGACAATGTTGAGAATATTTCAAGTCAACTGTTGGAATCTTTATACCTTTTTCATTTTTGAACTGCTTTGGATAGTTGCCATGTTTGGCTATCACACTTCATTTCACATTCATTTGCGGATGCGGAATATGCGAAAGCTATACATGCTGTGTAAATGAACATTGCATTGATGCCAACGCGGAGAAGTTCCTAATGAATAATAAATAATATTGCGGAAAACCTGGTCGAACCAAGTCTCGCTTGAACTGTGAAATAAATTGTCCACTGTTTGTGTGCTATACATGTATTGTGGCCTGGCAGGTAGCTGAGTACATTGCACGTAACTATGTTCTAAACTGGCCAGTAAGGCTCAGCGATGGCTGCGTGGCACGCGATCACGGCTGGGCTGGGCAGAGCGGGCACGACTCGTTCCTCTGGGGCGACGACCAGTACATGGGCCTAACGCTGGCCAGTAGACTGGCTATCATGACCGGCAATCTCACCTTTGCCCAGTTTGTCGGCAAGCAAACTGTAAGTTGTTAAAAATTCTATTCCCAGTGGGTCCAATGTTATTAGGTGTACGCCTGTTTTGATTCCCACTATAAATGGAGTAGGGGCGTCATAGTGCAGTAGGGTGCCCGTGCTACCCGTAATTAGAGCAGATATTCGGCTAGCAGTTTGCTCCCGAGAACCCGATCGGGTAGTTGGAGTACGGTGTTTTTGCAACGGTGCATGTAAAAAGCACGGCTATGTGCTTACTGTACATTTTCTATATAGTGCAAGTGCACACTCACTGTACAAACTATGTCAAGAATACCCGTTTGGGTTCCTGTGCTAACCGGATAGGAGTATACAATAACAAGAAAAGTTCAGGCTGTGCTGAGTGTGTCACGATAGTTTCCGGTACTACATGTGCTGTGGAAGCAGGTGCGTGCGCCGGTGCCCTTCAAGGGGAGTTCCGGGGGCCTCCCCAGGGGAACATTTTCAAAAAATGAAGCAAAATCCTGCATTTTGAGCGAAAAGGGGGGGGGGGGTTCCGGGAACCCAGGAACCCACACGGGGCATGCGCCTGGGAAGTGTGGGGAGTCTTCGAATGTCATCGTTGTGCACAGTACTTTTACAGTACTGTATGACAGCATCACTGTGCATGAAATCCTTTGATGAAATCAATGTGTGCCTTGACCGGGCGTCATGCGTTTCTTGTCGCCTACAGCCATTGTTCTTTGAGCACATGCGCGACCCCCAGGACGGTCTCTTCTACCATGGCTACAACGCCGCCGACAAGGAGGAGTCCTGCTGCAAGTGGGGTCGTGGCAATGGCTGGGGACTGTTCAGCCATGTCGAGGTGCTGGCCGCGCTGGAGAGGTTCCCCGCACTGAGTGAACAGACCTCGGCGGTGAGACAGGGCTAAACAAATCACACTTTTCGCTTTTGTTTTTTGCTTGCTTTTTGTTATCGCATGACTCGCGGCTGATTGTTCAGTAACCGGTGGTGTTAGTGGATATTATAGCGTAACTTGTAGTTCCTTCGTCCTTTTCTTTGCTATAAACTGTTTGCTTTCTTCAGCTGTCGTTAAATAAATTCAGCTTTAACTGTGCGTAATATGCTCAATGAAATCCGATCAAGCGAGTGAATGCCACGCCGGGCGCCATGCATCCCCAGACCTGCAAACACTGATTTCATTGAGCAGCACACAATCTACTATCTGATACTCGGATGTGGAGCCGGTAATAAATGTAAAAATGGAAAGGGACATATGGATACAAATTGAGAGTAACTGTCAGTTTCGTGCCTAATTGTTGCACTTTCTGATTGTATAATAATATGTAGTTACAATGGTGGACATTTACTCTTACCTCGTGTCCATATGTTCCTTTCCGGTCTACTGTCTGTTTGTGCTAATTCTGCAGGTGACGGCAATGCTGCAGGAACGGCTCGACGCCGCGCTGCAGTTTCAGAGCCCAGACGGTCGCTGGCATCAGCTGGTCAACGATACAGACTCCTTCCTTGAGACGTCCGTCACGGCTATGTTCACATCGGCTCTTGCTCGCACCGTCATCAACAAGTGGGCCAACGCCAGCAGTCTTGAGCGGTACACCGCTGCTGCTAGAAAGGTGAGCTGACGTAAAAGTTAAAACCTAGACTCGAATGGAGAGCCAAGGATTAAATTTAACAGAGGGCACTGACAGTTTACATGTTATCCATCGTTTGTCCAACACTATCAATTATAATAGCGGATCACTAAGGGTTTGCCCACAACTTCGGTATACTTTTTTTAGAGAAGATATTCATTTGTTTGGGGGGGGGGGGGGTGGTCCCTGTTCGTCTCGTCTTTGTGAAAAAAATATCGATCTCTAGATATGGACAGGAACTGTGCAAATATAGCAGCAGCAAAGTTGTGCAACCATGCATGGGTAATCTGCGTAAGAAGTTGCAGAGAACAGTAGGTAAAATGTGGGCCAAGTTACAGTAAATCTGCACAAATTGCAGCATCAAAATTCAGTCCTGGAGACAAAAGACAGTTCACAGACGCGATATTTTCCACCATACACGAGATCCAGCCACTGTGCCAGCGGGTCCGGGTCTTGTGTGGGTGCTAGTAGCTTCATGTACAGTTGTGCTCACTGAAATCCGAACCAAAGTGCAAAACTGGTGCCCTGTATCAGTTTAGATTACATCACTGTACTTGCACATGTGTACGTCCAGCAGCATTCCTACCACTTACAGGGCGTCAAGAGCCGTGCAAGCTGAGGGCGCCAGAAATGTACATTGGGTCGGATTTCACCAAACACAACTGTACAATGCTATGTACGTGCACAGAACACAGGCACTGTACCGATATACAGCCTACAGGGCGGGAGGGTAGTCACCGGGGAGGTTTGTTGTCACTAATTACTTGCAATGGTTTGTGCTTTTAACTTATTGCGTTTGGTTGTTTATTGGCATATCAGTGTGAGGTCCATTTGTTATCTGCACTTCTCCATTAGGGTTTTGCAGGCTTGACGAAGACGGTTGATCCAGACACGGGAGAGGTGAGTGGCTGTGAAGGGCCTAGGGGAGGACACACCAACAACCCACTCTTGTCCGGCTAACCGACAACTAACCCTGAAGGGCTGTCATCCTTGTTATTTTATCTTGGTGTGTAAAGTTGTACAATATGTGAGTACTAGAAAAGGTACCGGTAGTACGGGAAGTAGTACGCAGCATGCTATTCTAATGTCATATATGGACAGGTGTAAATATGAGGATGTGAAGGTTATAGTTACTGTATATGTATATGTATAGGGATATTTAATGGCACCAAATGATATAGTTCCAATATCATCACACCATTCCCCTTCTCCGGTCACAGATACCATCTGTGACATTGACTAAACGAGAAACAATAGATATAGGATGTAACGGCACTAAAGGATATAAAGGTACAATATCATCACACCATTCCCCTTCTCCGGTCCGAGATACCATCTGGGACAATGACTAAATGAAGAGAGAAACAATAGATGAAGAAGCTAGGAGCAACACAGCAGGAGAAGAAAGTCACATCTGGCGGGACAATGCATCGGCGTTGCCATTGAGAGCGCCAGGCCGGTGCACAACGGTGAAAGCGAACGGCTGCAGAGCAATGGCCCATCGGGCCACCCGAGCATTGCCACTATGATGCTGAGCGATCCATTGAAGAGGGCGGTGGTCGGTAATCAAGGTGAAGCGTCTGCCGAGGAGATACGGAGCGAATTTGAGAATGGCCCACTTGAGGGCGAGACGGCATATGCTACGGGGTGTTCGGTGCCCTGGGCATCACGCTGGGTCAGGACAGCGCCCAAACCAACATCGGACGCGTCCGTGTGCAGGTAGAACTCCGCAGCAAAGTTCGGCGCAACAATGACCGGGTCGGAGACAAGGAGGCCTTTCAATTGAACGAAGGCCTGTGCAGCTGAGGTCGTCCAGTGGAGGGTGTTGGGGTGGCCCTTCGACGTCATGGTTACCAAGGGCTCCGCGATGGTTGAAAAGTGAGGAATGAGGCGACGATAGTAGCCGCACAACCCCAGGAAGGAACGCAGGGCCTTCTTGGTCGTGGGCTGTCGCCAATCGTCGATGGCTTGCAACTTGCCAGGGTCCGCACGCACCCGACCATGACCAATCACATGGCCAAGGAAGGGAGTTTCGACCATACCCAATAAACACTTCTTCGGCTTCACAGTGAGCCCAGCGTCGTGAAGGCGACCAAGAACGTGGCGGAGCTGGACAAGATGGTCCTCAAAAGTCGGACTGAAGATGACGACATCGTCCAAATACGCCAGGACAAACGGGAGACCAGCCAAGACGGTATCCATGCAACGCTGAAATGTTGCAGGCGCTCCATGGAGCCCGAATGGCATCATAGTGAACTCGTACAGGCCAAACGGTGTGGTGAAGGCCGTCTTGGCACACGCATCCTCTGCCAGAGGGATCTGCCAATACCCCCTGGACAGGTCAAGGGTGGAGAGAAACTGGGCAGACCCGACAGAGTCGAGGATCTCGTCCACCCGCGGCATCGGGTAACAGTCGAACTGGGCCACCTGATTAAGGGCACGGTAGTCGACACAGAAGCGGATCGAGTCGTCCTTCTTCGGCACAAGCACAACGGGTGAAGACCACGGACTGCGGGATGCGCGTATGACGCCCATGTCCAGCATTTCGTCGACGGCATCGCGGACAACAGAATGGTGCGCAGCGGCAAGACGATATGGCCGGGAACGAATGGGTGTGGCGTCGCCAGTGTGGATGGAGTGAGCCACCACGGTCGTCCGGCCAGGCTGGGGTGAGAGGGTATCCTCAAACTCCGATAGCAGCATGTCGAGCTGTTGCCGCTGGTCCGGCGAAAGGTCGGGGTTAATGGTAGGACGGCCACCATCAACGTGTAGAGGGGAGCAGTCGTCAAGCAGCAGCTCCGTGTCTGGGTCGTCCTCCGCCATAGGAACGGTGAAGGCCGCGAGCTGGGGCCGGCGAAACCGCCGCAGGAGGTTGATGTGGAAAACCCGATATCGCTTCGTGCGGTGGGGTCCCATGTCAATCTCATAATTGACCTTGTCGACCTTACGCCGAATAGGGTAAGGGCCTTGCCACACGGCTTCCATTTTGCGAGCCGAAGCCGGAAGCAAGAGCAGTACCTCGTCTCCCGGAGCAAATGTGCGTTCCCGACTCAGGCGGTCATAGTAGGCCTTCTGCCGTTGCTGCGCGGTGGCAAGGTGGGAGCCAGCCTCAGTCGATATGCGTTCAAGCCGGTCCCGCATGGTGAGGACGAACTGGGCAGTAGTGGTCCGGAGCTCCTCCGTTGGCTGAGCCCAAGCATCGCGCACGAGATCCAGCGGGCCGCGGACATGGCGGCCGTACAGGAGCTCAAATGGTGAGAAACCAGTGCTGGCTTGAGGCACCTCTCGATACGCAAATAAAGCATATGGGAGCACCTCGTCCCAACTTCGTGGCGCATCAGCAGCAAACCGACGAAGCATACCCTTGAGGGTACCATTGAACCGTTCGACGAGGCCATTGGTCTGTTGATGGTACGGAGTGGATGTGGTAAGCTGGATACGGAGTAAAGCAGCAACTTGTCGGAGGACGTCCGACGTAAAGTTGGAGCCTTGGTCGGAGAGGATTTTGTCCGGCAGTCCTACTCTGGAAAAGATGGAGATCAACGCATCAGCCACGGTAGTCGACTCAATATTGGAAAGAGCGACTGCCTCCGGATAGCGGGTTGCATAATCCACCAAGGTGAGGATGTACTTCTTGCCGGACTGCGTACGCTGCAATGGGCCGATAATGTCAATAGCTACCACCCGGAAGGGCTCGCCAATAACAGGAAGAGGAATAAGTGGTGCCCGATCATGACGCAGAACACGGGCGGTGCGCTGACATGGTTCACAGGCGGAACAATACTGTGCGACATCTTGAAGAATCGTCGGCCACCAGAAACGGAGAAGAATCCTCTGGGATGTCTTCGCCTGTCCCATGTGGCCAGCCATGGGGACGGTGTGGCCGAGGTGCAGAATGGTGGATCTCCGTTCCGTGGGCAGAACCAACTGAAGGCGGTAGTAGGGGCTGGTGGTGTCCATCCCCGCTTCACCATCCGGTGAGTATTCCCGGTAGAGGAGGCCCTGGCGAACACAGAAGGTACTGCCATTGACGGGCGTCTTGTGTCGGCCAGTAGCATAGTCCCAACATGGGCTAAGAGATGGGTCACGCCGTTGCTCGTCGGCGAAACGGGTGGCATCTGGCAAATCGGGTGCAGAGATAGGTGGCGGTGTCACCTCCGGTGTGCTAGATAGGTCCGCCGGCGGTGCACGCAAAGAAGCTGCATTCGAGGCCAACTCCTCAAACAGTTCATCCTCGAACGGGAAGATGGCGTGCAAACCAGCAGCACCAGTCGACTCAGGTGAAGCCTTGGCCTGTGCACGCGTAGAGACCAAGACGTCCGTGGCGGCTGGCTGACACAGCCGGACCAACTCATGTATGTGGGGCCCATCACGGCCAAGCAACACGTGACGGGGCAGGTGCTCGGACACTGCTGCCTTGACATAGTACACCATGCCGTCGATGGTGATGGTCAGATCGGCCATGGGGTAACTGGCCACATCACCGTGGGCACAACGAATGGAGGTAGTCTCACCAGACAAGTCTTGGTCCCGGACCAAGGTCCTGTGTACCATGGTGCGGCCACACGCGGTATCAACAACGATGCTCGGGACGTGGGTACCATTCACGTACCCAGCGACGGTGTACTCCGGTGCTGGTCCCATGGCGGCGCTGGGATTAGCGGGGGGCAACCGACCAGAGTCTACAGGTGGAGGGGGTGAGCAGAAATATGCTTCACCCAGCAGATCATCCTCATCCGGCAGCAAATGAACTGTACCAGCATCTTGGACTTCCTGATCTGGGCTGGAAAACAGAGCGGTGCGAGTGTGATTCGGACACTTAATAGCAATATGTCCCAGCTCACGACAATTATAGCAACGCGGCTGCGACATGGGGCGTCTCGGTGGTGGTGTGGGACGGTCAGGACGAGAAGTCACTGGGCGGTCAGATGACAAGTGGGTCTGACTGGGGTTAGCTGGGGAAGATACTGGCCGGTCCCGCGCTGAGCCTGAGGTTGGTGCAGCCCAGCGAACTCGAGCAAGGTTGGATGACTCGGACGTCCGGTCTCGGGGTGACGCAAATGACCCCTGCACCTGGGCACGTGCGTCAGTGTTCGGCAATGGTGCCCGTCGCTTAGAACAATCCCTGGCCATGTGGCCACGCTGCTGGCAAATGTGGCAGACAAGAGACTGTTCCCTGCCGCTGCTGAGACGACCACTGCTGGGCTCCTGTACGCGATCCCGTGCGTCAAGATAGTCCTGCGCTAGCGAAGCAGCCTGGTCGAGGGACGACGGTTTGCGTTCCCGCAGCCAAGTGCGTAAACCAAAAGGAAGCGCAGACAAGAACTGTTCCAGTAGGATCAACTCACATATGGCTTCGCGCGAGGATGCGGGGCTGAGCCAACGACTGCCAGTGTCACGGACACGGACGGCGAAGTCAATCATGGACTCCGAGCTCTGCAGCGTAGTGCCCCGAAATTTACGGCGGCTCGTTTCGGGGGTAACGGCATAGCGATGGAGAATGGCCTCCTTCACGCGGTCGTAGCTGTCAGCCTCAGTGGAGGCAAGTTCCGTGTATGCCAACAAGGCCTTGTCAGTCAGCTGGGGGCTTAGCAAATAGACCCAATCGTCCGGAGGAACTCTGTACGCCCGCATGGATCGTTCGAAACTGGTGAGGAATGCCTCAACATCGTCCCCAGGGTGCAGTTTAGCCAGTGGCACCTTCTGAGAGAATCGCCGTGTGGCCTGAGTGAGTTGCACTTGCGCCATTTGCGTGACCAACTGCGTGAGCATCGACAGCTGGGACGGCGAGTCGACATCGACATCGACATCGGTGGCGGAACGCTGTTCGTGTTCAGCCTCAGCCTCAGGCTCAGGGTTCTCAGCAGCAGGATCGATGTGCACGTGCGGGGCATGCGGACCTGCGGGTGTACGTGTACGACTAGTGCTGGCCTGCGCCTGATCACTCAGTTCGTGCGTACTACTACTAGGCCTAGGGTCTCCATACACGGGATCCTCACCAAAAGCGACATGTACGGGCTGACGGTGGACGTGGACCGCTTTTGGCTCCGGAGTAGAGCATGCAACCTTAGTATGGCTATGTGTACGCCCAGTACGAGTACGACGGCTAGCGGAAGCCAGTGCAGGTGCGTCATGCGTATGGTAAGTACTAGTAGTAGTAGGAGCAGAACCCTGATTGGCCTGAAACTGCGACTGGTTCATTGCAAAGGACTGCTCACTGTTGTAATCTAATTTTAGGGCTCACAGTTGCGTACATTCAACATCAGCGCCATTTTGTTCCACGAGGTGCTGGCGTGATCAGTGAAAACCGTGTTTCAGCCAATCACCGGGCTTGGAATTTTGAATATTTTTTGAATCTTCTATCGATTCGTTCTAAAGATCGACTGGCCGGAGAGCCATGAAATTTTCAGGGAGGATTCCTTGGCTGAAGGACTACAGGATTACCGAACGATTTTTTCAAATCCGTGCTCTGAGTCCCACGAACGGGATTTTGTGGATTTTCGTCCCTCGATGGGACAAACATCTGTGGGAATCGATGACACAAGCTCGGTGAAAACCAAAAATATGGCTCGGTAATCCTCTGGCCAGGTCCCTCAAGAAAATTTTGAGCCATAGATCGTCAAAATCGGAGCAACCATTGTGCAGTTCTTACATTTTGAAGCGCGCAAGGTCAAGAAGAAGACCGTGCGCAAGCTGACATGACAGAAAGCGGCAAATCAAGAAAAAAATAATGATGATGCGCAACCTTGTCACGCATACCACCACAGATTTCCTGTACCCTGCGTGCGGAAAACATCGCTTTGCATTCCAGAAAAGCTCACTTACCTAAAATACGTGTTGGTCACCTCGCAAGGCGATCAGCGCCGTGTTCGAGTGATTTGTTTTGTGCGCTCATTTTGTTCTTCATGGACTCAGCTCTGCAAACGTTCCCGGAAACGCCTTGCAACTACTTTCTGATCGTGGATGGACGGCTTGTTCGTGGCCTGTTTGCCTAGGGTCGTGAGAAGCGCCGCAGATCTTTGCTCAAACTACAAAGATTACGCGACGGCGTGCACAACTCTTGTTCACCTGCCGTTTCGTTCACTGCGCAGTGGAACGAACTCCTTTCCTTAGGGCCTTCCAAATCCATGGTCAGGTGTGGGTAGAGCCGAGTGTGAGCTGGTCATGATTGTGGAGTATCGTCGTGGCAGACTAGTACTCTTCATCAATTTCTTCCCGGGCATTAGTGACCCGAAGCGCTTGTAGGCTTGCGATATTTTTGGGTAGTTCGTCCCTCACTTCACCTTAGCCACAGCTCAGTACCAAGGGTAAGTCACGGAGAACTACCATTGTAATGTTCGATGTCCATCTCCCGAACTACAGAAAAGATCAAGGCCTCCCAAGCTTCGCCATATGCCATCTTCTAGCTACTTGTCGGAAATTTTGTTTGCCGACAGAGCAAGAAAACAGCAGCTCCATCATGCTGCAGCCTGCACGTAGATCAGAGACTACACGCCAGCACAGAACTGCATACAGCTCCGCACGCGAAAGGATCACGTGAACTTGAGTGCCCCAAATCAAAATGGCGCTGATGTCCACTGGCTATCAGCATACGTACTGTGAGCCCTAAATTTGTTGCTCACAATACTGTTGCCGAAATAAGGATTATCACTTACTTTCGGCAAGCGAGGTTTCGGAGACGGTGCGGGACGAAACAAATCCATGGGTGGAGAAGGGAGCGTCGACCTGGTAGCAGCATCAGGTAAGCCAGTGAGCTCGTCATCATCCGGGGCCACCTCCTCGAACTCAGTGTCGATCTCCCGATCCATCCGCGCACTGCTGTGCGATACGGAGAGGATCCGCCGCACAAGATCAGAGCGTGCACCACCGGTGGGGAGATGCAGCCCCCGGCAGATGTCCCTCAACTGCTCGTGGCGAGCAAACGCCAACGACTCGAGATCCATGGCTAGCTCACTTGCGGCCCCACGAACTCGAAAAAACGAAAAACTAGAAATAAAATTACGCAAACTTTCAGCAACGACGGAGGTACGCAGTACTGACACACAGTGACTGGACCACTTCTGACACCATGTGAAGGGCCTAGGGGAGGACACACCAACAACCCACTCTTGTCCGGCTAACCGACAACTAACCCTGAAGGGCTGTCATCCTTGTTATTTTATCTTGGTGTGTAAAGTTGTACAATATGTGAGTACTAGAAAAGGTACCGGTAGTACGGGAAGTAGTACGCAGCATGCTATTCTAATGTCATATATGGACAGGTGTAAATATGAGGATGTGAAGGTTATAGTTACTGTATATGTATATGTATAGGGATATTTAATGGCACCAAATGATATAGTTCCAATATCATCACAGTGGCGTTTGCTCGGGTACGGGGATACAGACGAACGCCGACGCGTATCGCCACCGGCCCACCGTCTACTTGGCGAGCGGTCCGGGTGGCTTGGGCTCCGTACTCTCTGCCGCTGTGGATATATACAACATGGAAGTACTCCTGCAATCATCGGCACACTGATCACTGAAAGATCTTTGCCCACTGGGAGACTATCTTGCATGCCAGTCCCCCCCCCCCCCCCCACACACACACCTTCCGTTTCCGGTCCCGTCAACATCTACTGCCACATTCTCTTGCACATAAGTGCATGTTGGTATGTTATTTGCACATGCGCACATTCAAGGCCATGGTCTTAATATTGAAATTTCACAGAATTGGTCTCATTGGAGGAGCATAATTTTAAGTCTCAACTATCAAAATATGAGTGCATTCAGCTCTCCCGCATTGATTCAGGGAACAGCATGAGCTTTGAAATTTATCTCTTTCATAATGTTAATCCAAGAAAAATGGAATAATAACGTCTTCTGAGAAATATTTATTAACTGAGTACATACTCAATCTGTGGACGGATTAACAGATTAACTGAGTACATGTATATCTTGTATGATGCCAGATATAGGGCATCCTGCTCGCCCGTGTAGACAGCAGGTCAGGCTGGTACATCCAGTGGTGTGTATGTACATCGTGGTAGCATAGGGTAGGGGAGCAGTCAGTAGGAAATCATAATTATACTGAAGAGAAGTATGCAGGAGGCCATTGATTTAACCCTTTAAGAGCCGCCCCATACTTGAATGCGTCGTAAACGACGCATTCAAATGCAAAACTTCAAAAGATCGTAACTCAGTCTAATCTCGCTCAAATCCATCGATCGAAATATCCAGGGCGAAGAGAAAACTCTCACCTGTCGGGAGAAACAATCCGTGAAGCGCTGCAAGCAACGGTTCCCGAGATAAATCACTCGTAAGTTGAGCCGCGATCGCGGCAATTTCAAAAGCGCGCAGTGCAACTTTAGTATTGAGATTTTTGAGACTTTTCGTCACGCTGGTTTACTCGAATTTGCACGGGTTTCACTGTTGATATTGTCAAGGGTACACAGCAAAAAAATTGGAACTCCACGATCGAGTAGAATGAAATATCTGGAGCGGGACGCAATTGGACGCATTTGGGGCATTTTTCGTACTGTCGCTGCGATCTAGCGCTGGATAGACGGTGTGCTGGCTATCATGATCGACCTCATCCTCTTCCTCTCGCGAATACCTTTCCAGGAAGCCCTAGATTGTGAGGATTGAGTGAGTAGAACTGAAGCTATGATCCGAGGAACATGAAAAAATGCAGATTTTTGAAAATTTCCTGTGGCTCTTAAAGGGTTAACTCAATCTCTCAAGAAACAAAGGACCAGCAATTGCATGTAGAAGACTGCGATCAAGGGACAGCATCAGATTGCAGTCGTCCCTCTTTAATCCAGCACTTTATAAACCAGCACCCCCTGTAAACCAGCATAACCTTTGGTAACCAAAATGTCCTTTTCATGTAAATTGTAGGAGAAAATCAGATTTGCCAATCCAGCAGAATTTCCACAGCACAAATGATGCCGGAATATAAAGGGACCTCTGTAATGTACAAGTAATAAATTCGTCTAATTCAAGGCTTTTCCTGATTATGTTCACCAACTCTTTGGGCCTGGCCTGTCATCAGGGTGAAACAGAGAATATAGAGAAGTTAATTCAAGGAGGCTGAGCTGTATCAAGAATTTTTGGGAAGTAAAGTCAAAGGTAACTCGGAGAATCGCAATGAATAGTACGATATGCGCAGTCAATATCTACATGCATCTGTGTATACACTAAGTAATCGACTTTCATAAATCTGGAGGGTGATCAGTATCCGCTGCCTGGGAGCGCAACCGCAGGCCTCATCGGCATTGGTGTAGAGGTGATGCTGGGCACGAAGACATGGCACGAGGATGGGACACGAGGATGTGGAACCATATACGGGTAGGTGGCACATCAGTGCGCCACGGATTTGTGGACTCAAAGCGGTGAAGTAAGCAGCACCGCCATGAGAAGCATGACTATCACAGTAGAGCTGCAGCCGATGCTGCTGGCAGAGCTATTGACACTCTCTGCTATACCCTGGTCATGGTGAGGCTGTGGGATGTAAGTGTAGCCTGCAGAACAGATAACATTCAGACAGTGAGAGAGTGTGTGAGTGAGCGCGTGTGTGTGCGAGAGACAGAGAGAGAGAGAGGGAGAGTAAGTTAAATTTTTACAAAGACAGATAAGTCTAACAAATGAGGACTGAGACCTTAACAACAGGGTTTTTTTTTTCGACCTTCGCGTTCAGTATGTGCATGGTTGGGCTAAATGTCTAAAGCTAGGGGTCGTAGTTCAGTGGCTGCCGTGAAGCTAGAATCGAGTGAAATGGCAAGTGTTCAACGTCCCCTTGTAGCGATGCTTGTAACTTTAGCTAGCTGTGGCTGTACTGCTGTCCAGGAATATACCAAATTCTGTTCGGTAAATGCAGACTGCTTCAAGGATAGTTTGACCGTGCACACCCTTGAATGAGGGACCACTGCCACGTCCCAGGACCAGGATAATAATATTATTATAACATGGAAAAATGCGGGCCGGACAAGTTATGCGATCGAGTCCATCAATTAAGCCAGATTTCGAACAGTCAGATGTGCACAACTTAGCACAAAACTGACAAGGAGTACTGAGATATTCCACGGCATGAAAGTCAGCTTTTTCCATGTTACAATGATAATTCACAAAGAAAGTGGTGGACTTCACGCAACTGCATCATAAAGACAACGGGGTTCTCTCTTTAGTTTGAAAATACTAGGTTTATATACAGAAGCTTCACTGTACGCGGCCTCCTACATATATATTATAACGACATCTGGCAGTATTGCGTAAGAAGACCATCACCATCATCCGTTCGTTCTCTCAACAGTGTTCTGAATGGTATAAGCGAGAATGGCAATCCCGAAATTTGCTTCCTTGCTATTGAGCACCTCTGCTCATTTGGTCATTGCAAATTAAAATAAAATCAACAGCAACAATTCCGCTGCATTAGCGGTAATGCACTTAACGAGAGAGCTTGTAAGCTCAGGGCCCTACGCTATGCTTTTTTGCCTAGCTCATCATGCATGTTATTAGAACTGATTGAAATGATTTTTTCCATTGATTGGCTACATCAAACTTTCTCTTTGCACTCGAGGGTAATACGACGCCGTCTACCACCTTGATGACCTAGGCCAAAAAAGCATAGGGATGTTATAAATTTTTCAATTCTGATATTTTTTCCAAGACATAACCTGTGATTCGAACCCACACTATCGCCCTGCATGCATTCCCTCGATGCACTTCGCATACATACTCATTCTTCCAAATCAGTGCTTCACATTATGATCTTGGATTTGAAGCCCTATTTGAATATTGTGGCCAGCTGTCTTTGATGGTCCGGTACGGGACAGGTACGGGATAGCGCCAGGCATCTTTTCCGTTTGCCGTTCTTCGGCAACAGCTCTTGCCTTCATCTCTGGTGCGGGTGTAATCTAGTGACTTCGTACATGCGTTATAATAGACCAATCCCTTTGTCTGGGTTCGTGAAAAGGGCCACGCGTGTAAGTCAGCTCGTGTGAAGTGCTTGGTTTTGTATTTATTTGGTATGTGGCAGCTTATGGGACAGAGAGACTTTTGCTCCCCGAGCTTGTGTATGTAAATAGTGTTTTACGTCGACGATGACGGCCACAATGCCCAACCATACCACAACGAACTGATCGGCTACATCATTGTATTGCAACAAGTTTCCATCTTTTCGAATAACATGCATGATGAGCTAGCCAAAAAAGCATAGCGTAGGGCCCTGCGCGAAAGAAATAAACTTTTTCTTTGCATTCGAGGGTAATACGACACCGTCTACCACCTTGAGGACCTAGGCAAAAAAAAGAGCATAGGAATGTTATAAATTGTTCATTTCTCCTATTTACTTTTTCAAGACATAACCTAGGATTAGAACCTGCACTATCGCCCTCCATGCATTCCCCCAATATACTTCGCATACATACTCAATCTTCCAAGTTGCTTCACGTTATGATCTTGCATTTGAAAGCCCTATTTGAATATTGTGGCCAGCTGTCTTTGATGGTACGGTACGGTACGAGACAGGTACGAGATAGCGCCAGGCATGCCGATGGCACAAACAAACATGGAATTAAAGCTGTGTGGACCCTGGCTAGCACCAGACGTTACTGAAGTAATGTCTTTTGCATAGCTACGGGAATAATAAAAACGAATCGGCCCTCACCATCTCTAGCTGCATCGGCGATGACATCATCCAGGTCTACAACGCGCAGTGCAGTTGACTGGGGCGTGCGCTTGCACTGGTACATGCCCGTGTCCGTGACGCTCATGTCTGTTATGACTACGTCCAGCTGTCTTCGGCGCAAGTGATACACACCCTGTTCACACAGATGAGGATGAACACAACAGACTAGACCAGGATATAGGCTAAGAAAATAGCTTCTCAGCAGTCAAACAAAAATAAATGAGCCTCCAGATCCGAAAAGAGGGCTTACTGTAATGACGTTGTGCGTCAGGAGCCTTGGCTGCATAGGGTGCATTTATCAATGTATGAGTACACAGGATGTGTAGTGCAACCAACTATGCAGTATGACTGTATGTGTACGGTGTGCTGAGTATTTTGATACCCCACTCGCATGCATGCATGCATGCATGCAGTATCGACCACGGCAATTATATCGCTTATAGTAATAAAATGCTCAAAAATCAAAGACCAATGCTATAGGCAATATGTACTGTACTTGTGTGCCAGATATGCCCCCCCCCCCCCCCCCCCCCTCTCCTCCCCTCCCTCTCACTCTCACTCTCCAGAAAGGTGATGTCTGTGTGCTGGGATAGCTTTTCACAGAGTTATTGTTGTTGTTGTTGTTGCTGATTGGTGATATTACATTTTATTTATTTAGTTCATTTTCTACACCTCACAACACACCCCTATGGTCTACCTATAAGTTGTGAAAGAAAAAGGCAGGGGAAAGAAGCAGGAACAGTTAGTGGCAGGGGCCACACAGGGTAGTATGCCCGACTCACCGACACTTCAGGCCGTGCATCATCCACCGGCTTGCCATTATGCAGCAGTGCAGCGTCTACACCGTCGATCACTTCACAGCAGCTGAACACCACGGTGCGACCTTGGAGTACTACCGGCAGACTTGAGTTGTAACCGAACACGGCGGAATGCCGAGCAGAATCAGCTGTGCGGAGAACGACAGACCAAGTGAACTAAAGTAAGTCTCCGTGAAATCAAAGAGTGCCAAGCTGGCACCCTGGACCAGTTCTGATTACCGTAAAAGCCATTATTCTATCGAGGCGCATACAATTATAACGATTTCCTAAAATTGACTAGTTTACGCGTACCAAAGGTAACGATTCTCACTCATTCTCAACGCACAGGTTTACGTTACATGCAGTATAAAGCGTTTTATGGATACTCAAATAGCATGTAGAGCTTGTGGTTGCCCAGTTTATTAGTGAGTCTATCTCCACATGACTAGTAGCATTAGATACAGTAAAACCTGTAAGTAAAGACCACTTGACTAGCGACCAGCCTGGTACTACACACCACTTGACTAGCGACCAGCCTGGTACTACAGTAGAACCTGTAACTAAAGACCACCACTTGACTAGCGACCAGCCTGGTACTACACACCACTTGACTAGCGACCAGCCTGGTACTACAGTAGAACCTGTAACTAAAGACCACCACTTGACTAGCGACCAGCCTGGTACTACAGTAGAACCTGTAACTAAAGACCACCACTTGACTGGCGACCAGCCTGGTACTACCGACCACCGTGACTAGCGACCAGCCTAGTACTACGGACCACTTTGCCAGGCACGGACGGTCTCACATCCATTATAATGGTTGTGCGGTGCAAACCTCTAACTAAGGACCACCTGCCACTAAAGACCGCTTTCCTCTGGCCCCAAGGGGTGGTCGTTAGTCTCAGGTTTTACTGTGTTAGTTACTCATCCTTACGTGGTGCTTGGCAGCGTCGACTCTGATACAGTCTCCCTCTGCAGCTTGATGCACTGGTAGCTGTGATGGTGCTGGCGTTGGCAGCGCGTATGCAGTGGCGCACACGTCTCTGCACTGCATGCCTGTTGCAGAGTAGCCGCTGACAGCCACCCCAGTCACTCCAATCAGACCACACAGCTGCATTAGAATCCAGATGGAGAAACACAACATAATTATACAATATTCACTGGTTGAATTACCCGTAAACATTGACAGTGATGTAAAATATTACGTCATGCATTATGTCATGCATTAGGTCATGCCATGGGTAGATTGCACAGCAAAAATCGAGAGCCCAAAGTGCAACATGCTGAGCATGCTAACACGTGTGGATGAAGCCCCAGTGATCACAGGTGCCAACACCTTGGTTACTTCCCATTACTTGGACAGCCATGGCCAAAGAAATCCGACCAGCGAGCCAAAAGCAGCACCGCATTTCCTTCAGTCGCACCGCATTTCTATTTCAATAAACATCATCATTCATCAGTGCACGGTCGACAGACCCATTCGAGGTGCGCAGGTGTCCCGTGATCCTTGGCGCTACTTTCAGCTCACGGGGTCGGATTTCTTTGGCCATCGTGCAACTGTACATTATCGTGGGGCCCAAATTCACTGGAAAAGATGGGGTTGATGCTGTCAACCAGGGAGTAGTAAAATATCTATTTCGGTATCACTTTTTTCTACTCCCTGCTGTTATCGAAGTTAAATGTCTTCGGAGTATTGTGTTACTTCGATGCTACATGTACTTCAAAGAGGTTTTCGGCCCGGGTACACACTGCCACCCTGGTTGTGTAAAGTTGTAAACCACCTGTATTCAAATCAAAGACCAGTCGGTCAGCCTATCGCATGGTGGCCGGAAGGCCTGGCTGGAGAATGCTAACAGATTAAGAAGATTCTGCTCGGAAAACGGTGACATTTGCAGAACCATACAACGTTACAAACCGTATGGAATTCTGCTCCACCATTGTTCTTTATCCACATACCAAACTTGCATGAAACATACCAGAAAAAGTACGAAATTCTGCCAATTTTTCTGCCGGCATTATCCGCCAAGGACTAGTGGCCGCTGAAGCCAGGTTCCATCTGCTCTGTGTTTGTCGGCTTACCTCCGGAGGCTGGCTCTTCATCCGGTGTGGGATTGCCTAGCAGTTGAAACACATCGGACCAGGCTAGCTGCTGATCAGCGTTGTCCGATGCTGCTTCACTCAGGCCGTTGAACGTGGGCAGGAATGAGGAGTTCTGGATGGCCCACGCCGTGATCTGACCTTCCTCCGCCTCACCTGAACAGTCACAATAACAACGAGTGTCAACAGCACATTAGTATCATTAGTACATTCGAGGTTTGTGTTCAAGTGTCCTTGGAATGATGATAACAGGTTTCTGTGAGGGCTGCTGGAAAACAACGAAGCTTGGTCGACAGATACATGCTCATTGTAGGTACATGTATAATGTACTTCTCTGTGTGTCCCAGTGAACATTGGAGTACCATTGTCAACATACATATACTAGCATAAGCGGGGGGGGGGGGGGGGGGGGGGAGAGGACGTGCTCTTGCTACTTGCAAGTATTAGCGGGGAGGGGGGGGGGGGGGGGGGGAAGCCGCATTCAGTACATACATGTACATAATTGTACATGGTGTTCTCTACATAGTCCATACAATGTTACATGACTGTGCATGGACATGTATCCAAAATGCTCCAGAACACGTCACAGTATAACATGAGTCCCATTCACTGCATTGCTTAATCATGTTTGATTGTTTCTTCCATTTTGCATACTGAACACATGCCTATCAAGGTAGAGGGCCTCCTCGAGATTGAATACAGGAAAGCACAACGACTCGCATAACGGTGTGTACCAGGGACAGTGAAGCCTGTCTAAGACGACCGCTCAAGGGACCTTCAAAATGTTGTCTCTGCTACCAGGTGGTCTCCTTATCTAGGGTCATTCGACTGGAAACAGCATCCCTTGGTCCTGGTTTCAGTGGTCTTCTTGGACAGGTGGTCGCCTTATCCGAGTGGTCGCCTTGACAGGTTTTACTGTGCTCTTTTCGGGCTGTGCAAACAGTGGTCCAAGTGGGCATGTGCACTGCTTTCCCCGTTGTTCCCGTCCTCCCTGAAGCTGCTCAGACTCAATCATACCCGCAATCAGAACGGTGTCCGGGCCCGGGGCCGATGACTGAGTGCTGAGTGACCGGTGTTCGGTGGCCTGAGGTTCCCAAGGTGCTCGACTGGCAACTCCACTAGCCGTTTGCCTGTGCAAGTAGTGACTGTAGTGATATCTTGTACTGTAGGTGTGCGTGTACCCAGTGTACTGCATGCCTGTTCTCTTATTTGTACCCTTCTCTTTAGGGAGCAAAACTTCCTTCTGCCAGCGGAGAGGGCTCGACACAATAATAATGTGGAGCACTATTACACACACAAAAGGCACAACGGAGGTTTACAGAATCGTCGCAACTCGGAGTTTCTTGCTCAATGCAATCATCAGGCGACTATCCTATGCCTTTTCGTGTGTAGTCTTCTCTTTCTAGATCTACCGGTAGACTATCGGTATCCCCCCTGTACATGTATGAACCTTCGGATAAAAGTATAATAATTATAATTATGAAGTAAGTTGTGTTTCAGCAGTCAGACACAGTCCTGGTGGTTTGACCCAACAATACATGAGACTAGAACAGTGTACACAGGTTGACTTGACGTAAAGCTACAATGGAAATTATAATGTAGCGGGCTGCCTCCCAAAGACTTCACGTTGCTTCAGGACCACCGACGGCCCACGCCAACTCTCAAAGTTCCTAATGACTGTTGTAGTATAGTGCCTCCACAGCATTGCTACATGTACATGATCATTATAACGTCGTTGCGTGTTGGCGTTTGGAAGAGGACGTCTGGAACGCGACGAAATGTTGCAACTGAACACATTGCGTAATAAGACGCAGTTACATCGGATAAGCGTTCAGTGGTGATTGACTGCATTGTACCTGGCTTTTGGCGAGTTTGTGGTCTGGAGGCACATAATGCAATCCTGCTTAGTCGCAGCCAAGTGCCCCTCTTAGCCTGAACATTCGTAACAACGCTCCAAGCAATGAGGTGCACAGAAGAATTCTACATGATTGTAGTAGGTGGTTGGATGGCACTCGACGTACTCAATGTCTCAAGTGCGATGATGCATTGATCTTGTCAGACTCAGAGCAAACATTGACTTCGAGTTTGGTGGGACGATCGCGCTGTTACATCACAATTCCACCTGCGCTGAGGAGTACCGTGTGGGAGAGACGTTCAGGCAACAACCCGTAACATTAGGTGTATGGCCAGTCTGCCTCCTCTACTCTCAGAGCTAGAGCCCGAATGTGTGACTGTGGAGCCTGACACGAACCGGAGAAGCCCGACCTGGTTGTCCGCTAGAAGTGGTCTTGGTAAACCCAATCATATTCCAGGATCATGAAGCTCGAACGACTCAGTATTCATTAGTTTGAGGGAAAGAGACAAACGGGAAAAGTCTGAAGAAAAAAAATGACTGTCACCACCAGAACTCGAACCATGTACCAGGGCCGCTCGCCTACCTATACGTTTTTAGTTCTACCAGTGTTGTTTTTACACATGTACCTCACACAATACCATCAGTACTACTACTAGCAGTAGAATCTGATTGTGAAAGATCAGGATGCAGGAGAGAGAGAGAGAGAGAGCAGAGAGACATCTAATGCCGTAATGGTAGGGGCCACGCAAGGTGACCGTGGCGCTGGGCAAAACCCAATATACATGCATGTACAGTACAGACTGCAAGACTCTTTTTATCACAGGTTATGTGTGCGGAGGTACTAGTACGGTCATGTAGGTAGTGCTATACTAATTATAGTGCTGGGACGAATCAGAGTTACAACCAACCTGAACGTCCTCCGCTGAGTCTGCTATGTGCTGGGACGATGTATATCGTCCCAGCACCTGCGACACAATCAATCATGATGCAGATTTGCAATCCTAACTAAGTACTTTGTACATTATTGTAAGTAGCTCTGCCAGTTCATGAGGAGCCTTATCAAGTTATCGTTGGACCAACTGTTTTGTATTGCGAATTCAAATAGAAACAACCAACCACCCATACCCGCCATCCGGGTGCTCTGAGGCCCAGTGAGAGAGATCTGGTTGCCAGATGTGAGGATATGTGTGTGCAAGCATGTCCGGTGTTCATTGGGGGATTTCCCGAACGCAATATCGATCGAACAACGGAAGTCGTACAAGGGATAATTACCAAACGCACAGAGATAGAGCCCATACCGGTACGTGTATAATAAGGGGAAAAGGGCAATAGCATAGCACATGGATTTCATCAGTCTTACCTTCGACGAGCATAGCTGCGCTGTCCGCTATGCACAAGGACATGCTGACACACACTACCACCACCACGAATAACCCCGCGCGACACTGACAAGCATGACGACCAGCGCTCCTCAGTTCCGCGGATTCAGATGCCATGATTGAGTCAACTAACGTTGAGAACTACTGGTCTCGACGAATGCCAAAGAGGACTATCACCTTCTTGCAATACTAGCTTGCTTTGCTGTGGACTGTGACCAGTTGTCTTGCTGGCAATTACCAGATACAGTGGTGAAAATCAGTTTTAAAACGATTTGCAAGCCAATCCAGTGCGCTGCAAATCTTCGCACCTAAGGCTAAGCGCTCAGCCCTAGACAGATTATAACTAGTAAAAACGGCAGGGCGATCACTTCTTTGTCACTCTTCCTGAGACGTTCAAAATCTACCCACCGTGTTACTCTTGACGCGCGTTGGAAGGCTCACACGCCTATGACCTGTGTAAGGTTCCGCACGGTGATGCCCTCGACAAAGTTATGATCTCCGTGTGGAAATTCACGCCATAATATACACATCTCTAACTCTACAGGTTCATTACTCCAGTTTAGTTACTTTAAAATTTCAAGCCTTTGTTGAATACTAGTAGTAGGTCGGTATTGCATTCTAGCCGGAGTCATCGTGGAATGCTACTGCGACGCGTGTGCTCCGGATGTCTGCCCGCCAGCGGAAGAAGGCGCAGTAGGGGCATACACACAATGGATTGATATCAGTATGGCTTGAACTTCCGTCCCACAGGTACCCTGATTGCATGATGTCGGCAGAGATTATGTAGCATATGCAGCAGCAGGCTGAACGAATGCGCTAGCTACACGTACGAAGGCATAGTCGCGGACACGGAGATCGTGGGCCGAAGTTCAGGTTAGGTAATAGGTGGCGAGCGGGATGGGGAGTATGATCGCGTGTTTTGATCATGCATGCTAGCGTACTGCCATTATTGGCCAGTAACTCTGCTAATCGTATGGACAAATATACATGTATGTGCGTGGTGAAAATAGACTTCGGAGTGTGCACTGCACTGCAGCACATGTAATACTGGTACTGTACCAGCTGTTAAGTCGCGATCGAATTTGCCCTTCATTTCCCTGCAGTCTGTACGATCCTGGGAAGCAATCATCACCACACTCACATGTGCGTGTACATGACTGTACATAACCGGCAGGGAGTAGATGTAGTACAAATTACAATACCGGTATTGTACTGCTCTCCGCAAACAACTGAGCATAATCACCTGCTGAAGTCATGTCCGGGGGAAGAACGGGCTAGATCAAGTCACCAGTGTATTGCCGTGATTGCCCCCCGAGAATAAAGAATGACTGACATGCATTACATGTGACGTAACAACTGAACTACATTGTAATAAAATATTATTATTATTTTACTATTGTAACGTTACTTCTGTACAATGTACATTGAAGATGATTTCCTGTTCCTGATGGTGGTACTGACTACTGTATACACGTCATGTATACACATCATGTATACACGTACAGTGTACAGTGTCATGTACATGTATAATAAGAATCAAGGGTTTGACTTCCCCCTGATTAGAATATGCACCGATACTCCGGTTTGTGGACAAACGGCATTTAGCAGATGCGTGGACGTGTGACATCATAACGGCGTTCCCAGCGTATGCATGTACATGTACATGTGCGTTATGACAAGAGTCCCCCTCGGCTCAGGGTCACTTGACTGACTGTTACATTGTACTCGAAGATTAAGTACTATGAAACTGCATCAATGAACTACAGCATTAATAGTACACTGCTGTACAATGACGAACGACTCGTTGTAACACGAGGCCGAGAGGACTATCGTGTGCATTGTATGTTTGCTCCACCCCTAAGCGTTACACACTGACTCTCCAACAGGGCAGCGGGCGATATACATGTACATGTACATGTATATGACCTACTGTAGCTACAATGTATGGTTGTTTTTTTGCAGAGACGCACTGGAAACCACTGGTCTTGCCAAACCGGCTCCACTTCTGCTATATCGTTAGAGCGCAGGCGGTATCCCAGATCTGAGTGGTGCATGTTCTTATCTGGCAAAGTGTGACAGTACATGCTAATCATGCTATCGTATTGGGCAGAATTAGTGCAGCTCCAGCGGCTTATTCACACGTTGTTTGCATCTGCACGCGGGTGCTAGCCATTTTGGGCATCCCACACGCATACAAGATGCGCCTTGCGGGTCCATCTGCACACTGCTGTTACCAGCTAGTGCCGTGTCACACTTGTAGTGCACCACCACCCAGAGGCATAGAGTCCCAAAATAATTATTATTATAGGCTACATAGGCCGTCTTCAATACACATAGGCAGTCTTTATGGATAGATTGATGGATCTTGAAACGCTTACCTCCAAGTAATACAGTTGTGGGGTTATAGCGCCTTCCTACTACACTCCAAACCGGTAGATCTACATGTACATGTACGTCACAGTGCAGTGCATTGCACCCTAGCCCTAGTCCGTGACTACTGCAACAACGCGCGAGTCAAACCCGAGTGCGTGACGTGTCTGTGTTCTGGACCTGGGTATGACCTAATAAATTATGTTCTCTCCGAAGTAGGTAACTGGTTCTTTGCAGATCATAGAATGACCAGTGGCGGCTGAGGCCGCCAGGGCATGGGGTTAACAGGTACATGTACTTGCATGTGGATCTGGCTTGAACGGGGAGAGTTTTGTTTCCAGATCATCAGCTAGTTTCGACAATGGGCTACGAACACGGTGATCAACGGTGATGTACAGTGATGTACTTGTGTGCCATTTACTCGGCCGAGTACACATGGTACATGTACGCCCAAAACTCAGTTCCCAGGCCTACACTGTAACGGGCGTTATAACGCCTCCCACTGGAAGAGAATGGCAAATATTGCTTTTTCAATTTTTTTGCTATCTACATGTACATGTACATGTACAATGCCATAATATTATCAGTAGCTGATAAATAACGCGAGCCCTGACTGCCTGAGTAGCTTCAGCCAAACAGCGGATACAAAGCGATAGAGCCAGCAGAGAATGTCCACTGCCGCACTGCTATTGTACATGTAGCAAGACCTGTGACATGTGACAGGTAGCCTGTTACTGAGTACTGTAAGTAGTGTTACAGCAAGACCAGTCAATGAGTAACACAAGTGCTCCGTGTCATCCAGCCAATAGGCAATAACGTTACCTGTACGAGTGCAGGGTTTTCGGAGGGCATGATTGTCCTCTTCGTGTTTGTGAGTTTTCTGGCCTGCCATGCCCACGCCATTCCGTGCCTGGCAACGCCACTGTTACGCCAGGGCTAGGGGCAGGATGGGCTGGACCTGTTTTATTTACCAACACCCTGTACATATCGAGAACAAAACAACATTTTAGAAGAATCAGAGAATCAATGGGAGGGCCTAGGGAGTTGCTGCTGTGGATCAGAATTTCACGCACAAAAGTTGTTATGCGATCAACAGCCAACATGACGTAAAACTGGTCTCGAGGCTAGTACTGAGCCTACTGGCGCAGAGATGGAGCATCTGCACTGCATAGACCTTACTGGTAGTTTAGGCCAGATTGAGTCCTGTACTAAGTAGTGTGCAGTAAGTTGCAGTAAGGAATAGTTGCTGACATCACTGCACAGTGTTAGACTATCGGACTTGTAATGCGAACAACTGCATACAATGTACAAGTACAGTCGTCCCTCTCTAATCTGGCACTTGTTTATCCAGCACCCTTGCAAACCAGCACACTTTCTCGCAAAACGGATTTTTCAGTTCATTTTCTACGCTTTAATCCGGCACTTGAATTCCGCCTCCAGCAGCGATTTTCTGCAACAAATCACTCAAACTGTACATACGTGTAATTCGATTTTCTAATCCAGCAGTTGTACATGTACATCGCTATCAGGGAGCATTGTAAACATACACAACACATGTAACATACACTTGGGAATATCCTATGCCAGTGCACAGGATATTCCCAAGTGTACATGTACATGTATGTTAAAGACATGCATTCCACAAAGTACTTGGGTTGACACAGAAAAACCCTACGTTTTGACGTACAACACAAACATGTATGTTAATAGGTAGGTCGGGTTGGAGGACAGGATTTGATAATCCAGCACCCTTGTTTATCCAGCAGAAAATGCCGTTGCAAAAGGTGCCGGATTAGAGAGGGACGACTGTACATGTATCTTCCAAGGCAAAATAACGAGTACAGCAGTATCAAGGTGGCATACATACCTGTACATTATACATGTACCCTTCTTCCCTTCTTCGGAGCGAGAGGACTTACACCCGTTTTGGCCGAATACCCTGTATAACAACTGCTCCTTTGTAGCTGGCACAGTATCATTGTTCAGTTGCTAGTGCCTAATGATGGCCATGTGCCGAACGCGTTCAATAATGGAATTGGTTCAGGTTTGCAGTGAGACTGGAATGGGTGTGTCCACCCAAACCTCTTTTCTATTATGAAGCTGGAGGAAGCCTCAAGACTTCTTTTGGCATACATACATGTACATGTACCGATACATGAGGTGCTGCTCATAATTACCCCATTGTCTCTTCTTGCCTCCCTCAGAAGAACATGTGGTTTCATGAGCCTAGGCCTAAAGTGTATTTTTGCACCCCATCAACCAACTCACGCATTTTTACAATTACACTATCAGCTCGGATCATCCATTCGCGCTATGATCCAAGCTTGCAGCCTATATCAATCTTATCTTCTGAAAATTGTAGTCAAGTTGCTGTCTGATGATCGGTTAAAAGCGTGAAACTCAGAGTTACAGAAGAAACGCTTTTCGTCCCTCTCAAGTGTGTGCACCGATACATGTACTTTGAAGTAACAACATACCGGAATACACATGTTGACCATCGAAGACTTTTATAGTGGATCTTTTCACTTAAATGTGCAGTACATTCAATTTGTTGGAAATGCCAAACTAATTAAAAAAATTGATGTCCAGTTCACAGTGTTTTGCTCGCCCTCTTTCTTGTCTGCCATGGCTGTATATCGCTGTTTTCTGTGGGGATAGGACTGTGGCAATGCTTACTGGCAGTCTGCAGCTTCATATTCATGTACATGTACGGAAAGTGCTAAGGGGAACGGTTACTAGCATTCACTAGTTGAGGAGGTGGAAAAGAGAAGAGTCTGAAGAAAATTGACTGCCACCACCAAGATCCGAGTCAGGGACCTTCGCTTTAGGCCAGCGATGCTCCAGCCACTGTCATACCAGCAGAGACCGTTCAACATTTTTCCTCAGACTTCGAAGGAGTGGTCATAGAATTGATAATCTGTGAGTGTGATAACCGACCGCTCAGTGTTCATAGCCGAGGCTTGGAGCAGTCAGTCGTAGTCCAGCACTACCAGTTTCTCAACTCCACACCCAAATTGCCAAATCCGAAGTATGTGCAGGGAAAAAAATTAGAACTCTCAGAATGTCTCTCCTTGCTCCCCCTTATGTTCAGGCTGCCCGTTTTGGAGCCATCAGTTGCCTGATGTAGGGATGTCAGCGAACGCACTGCGCAGGCCTCTGCGCATGCATTGCGTCATCGATTTTTTGAACGTGATCGCGGCCGACAGAGAAAACATGGCCGCGGTCTGTTTGCACCGCTGGGAGTCGTAAAATTACTGTTCTTCTGTCCCCGCGACCATTCAAATCATACGCGATACTCGAGGACCCACGAACCATGCGAACTCACCACGTTCTCCCCGGTCGATTTCTCTGAAAGTTTGCACATCGTGAAACACCAGTATGAGAGGTGTTCAGGCCAATTTTCAAGGAATTTCCCTGGTTGGATCGTTCCAAAATCGGACTTCCATTTCTCGCTCGCGGCCATTTCTTGCGCGATGGAAGCGCCCTGCCCTGGTGAGTAACCAGCATCGCGCTTGGTAGAGAGTTGCTGCAATCAGCTCCCTGATGTCTTCGCTGCCATTGTCAGAAGCGATGGACCATGAATTTGTTGGAGAGTCTCTGGATGCTACTATTCCTCAGCCTAGTTTTCAGCCATTCCGTGCATCTTCTTCGCACGATTTATTTTGCAAAAAAATGAAAGTGTTCATGAGTTTTCTTGTCGGCCGCGCGTAGATGCATGGGCCAGGCTGACCTGCGCAGATGGGCTGCGCAGTGCGTTCGCTGATATCCCTACCTGATGATCGTACTGAAGTAGTAACACGTGAAACTCAGAGTTGCGACACAGTTTCCAATCTCTCTTGTGTAATTATTAGAAATGAATTGAATCACCTTAGGGGCCTTCCGTATTAAAATACCGATATTTATTTAGATATAATAATAATAATAATAGCACATTTCGCGTAGTAGAGCACTAAATAAAGAAATTCAGTATTTAGATATAGCTGCACAAAAAATAATACCTGCCATTCGTACATGTACATGAGTACAAGCAAGAGTCCATAAATGTTTATAAATGTTTATGCACTCTTGGTACAAGACTGGTCCAGGCAGATCGAATAGAGTGCTCAATTGAGTCAATACACAAAACGGGTCAGAGCAATATACAAACACCGGCGGAAGCGGAGGGATATCTAGCCCCTGTTCTACCTTTAGGCCACCCTTTCTTTTTCGTTGTTTAACGTCCGCGCCCGCGTACCTTTTTGCCTCCGACCGGAAAAAAAACAAGAAAGTAGTAGTACCAATAATATGCGAAGTTGTAAATCCATGATTGTGTAGTTTCACAGTGTGCCGATCATGACCTTAAACTTATAATCTTGCCTCCCGGGCATGCCTTTGTCTTGTGTTCTTTTTCTTTTTTTGTTGGCTTTTAAATATCGTACGGTGTGTGCCCTAGTAAAAATCCAGATGTAATGAATTCATGACATGCTAACTCCATGCTATGTACCTGTTTTGTTGGATTCATCAGGCATGTGCTCCAATGTACCATCAAAGAGTGTTGTTCTATGCCTGCAAGTGCCGTTAGACCCAGAAATATTGTATATATCACATGCTTTACTGGTCAAAATGTTTGATTGGGGTTTCCAGTTTTTGGAATGGGCTTTTGTTTTTTTTCCGCCCTCCCGCGTACCTTTTCGCGAAAAAAAGGACGTTAAACAATGAATTAACAAAGGGTGACCTTAGTATCATGTACATCACCCATCAGCTGATCAGGGTCCGGAGAGCGCTCTGATCTGATCTGGGGCGCTAGTTCATGCAGGGACGTACAGTAAGACCTGTGACTAACGACCACCCCTTGGGGCCAGAGAAAGCGGTCTTTAGTGGCAGGTGGTCCTTAGTTAGAGCTTTGCACCGCGCAACCATAATTATTATGAATGTGAGACCGTCCGTGCCTGGCGAAGTGGTCGGTAGTACCAGGCTGGTCGCTAGTCACAGTGGTCTTTAGTTACACGTTTTCCTGTACGAGCAAATGCATTGTTCAACGAAATAATGAAAGCCTTTTTGTTCGTGCTCCTGCTCAAGCCTATCCCAGCCAGTATTGCACAAGTCAGGTACTACAGTTGTGCTCGGTGAAATCCGACCTGCAGCCTGCAGGGCAAGGTTTGCCGCCTCAACTTGCGCGGCCCTTGACGCCCTGGAAGTGGTATGAATGCTGCTGGACATACACATGTACACACCAGTGATGTCTTCGAAACTGGTCCAAGGAGTCAGGTTTGCACTCTGGGTCGGATTTCGGTGAGCACAATTGTAGTAGCACAATCGTGTAAGTACCCCGCTGTTACCTTCAAACAAGTCAGTACTGGTCTAGTGCGCAAAGTCAGGTCAGAATCTGCCTCTTGAGCTCTGTACTGTACCTACGACTGGATTCAACTTTCAAGCCTTGAATTTGGACATCGGAGCTTTGAGCTTCCATAATAACAGTGTCTGCACCTGCCACTGCCATATCTCTGCTCCCTGGGCCTCATACAATCGCCACTTCGCAGCACAATGTGCCATTGCTTGTGGAATGGGATAGTTTACCATGGTGTACAGATTAAGCTTCGCTTATCCACATGTTGACAGGATATTGACAGGTCAACAGGCTAGCAACCTTCACTGCCACACTGTCTGCTGGTCACCTGTCAGGCTGTGCAGCTCCAGCGTCATCTGCCTGTCCAGCATGTACTACAGCATGCAGTGCGCCGCGTGGTCACAGACGGTGCCGACAAGGCAGTCAGTGACCTGGCCTCGCAGACCCCATCACAGGCGCGCTGCTTGGCGAAACACAACTGAACAGCAAACAGCCCAAGTCGCAAAACCAAGACTAGAGTAGAGAGTACTCTTTGCCCAACGTTGCTGTGAAAGAGGACCATCAGAGAGGGTGATTGTTGTTCTGATCTCGACGGCAACATGATAGAGGTGCCATGAAGTGATGTGTTTTACATAATTGCTATCACCCTGCGTCTTCACTTTTCTTTTTACTTGTTATTATCTCGTCCGCTTCTTCGTCTAACCTTTCACATGCTAACCTTATTGACAAAGACTTCTTCGATTTAGGCGAAGGCTTCAGTACTAAGTCTATTTGCTGTGTGTCTAGTGCAGAGATTGGTTTCCCGCACAAGAGAATCTACTGCTACTTTCGATCGAGATTCACACAGATGAACAAAACGGTCAAAAACCGACAGAGATGGTGTTGGCAAAATTAGCATGGAATCGATGGAATGCTAAGCTTCAGTCGTGTTAACAGCGCTTCACTCAAATTATGACCTGGCGAATTCACATACGTTTCTGTTACAGTAATATCAGAGACTAAATCCTCTCCCCGCTCATTGGTATAATAATAATGTATAATTTACTCTATAAAGCACTACATACATGTAATAGCCAGTTGTCCCAGTGCACTGGAAGCCGGCGAACGCGCTCTGTCGCGCGACATGACAACATGATACTTGATAGAACAATTTGTTCTCAGTTTTAAGTTTGTATCATTTTTCGTGTTGCCCACTTCTATAAGTGTGTTGTAGTCTGTTACTATGGTCGCTCATCATAACGATACACACAAATCAAGGCACTATGCAGTCAACCTCAGGTATACAATCGACATGCGAATAACGACTTTTTCGGCCCTGGTAACCATTGGACGGCTTCCTCTAACCTCATGTGTGATCGTGTGTCGTTAGTTGTGGCTAGACTGACGACACTGAAACAGCGGTAGAAAGAATCTGATGATTTGATAAGCGATGCTCATCAGGTCATTTCCAACAACTTACAGTGCTGCTCAACGAACCCCGGCCAAGCGAGTCAATTCGTCAGCTGAGGAATGAGGGTGTTCAAAAGGGAAAAAGGCCCAAAGAAAAAATTGACTGTCACCGCCAAGATTCTAACAAGGGACCTTCGCTTTAGGCCAGCGATGCTCTAACCCACTGTCTACCTTTCTGTTATTGTTAGCTTACAAGTAAGCGGTTCTCAGAGCGCTGTGTGTGTGTGTGTGTGTGTGTGTGTGTGTGTGTGTGTGTGTGTGTGTGTGTGTGTGTGTGTGTGTGTGTGTGTGTGTGTGTGTGTGTGTGTGTGTGTGTGTGTGTGTGTGTGTGTGTGTGTGTGTGTGTGTGTGTGTGTGTAGAAGAAGAATTGAATGTGATAAACAGACAAAGGATGCTTTTCAAAGCTTTAGTATTCGGAATCTGAACATTGGAACTGATGCTCCTTGCCGTGATGCAGAGTCGACAGTCCGGGGCTGTATGTCTCAAACTAAACTTGTCTGCATTTCACCCCACACTATCGTGACATACTGCAGCTCGTGACGCGGATCCGCAGACACAGTTCTGCCTGTCCGCCTCAGTGCCACCTCGCTGGTAGCCTTGTCGCTGCTGCCCATGCGAAGACTGACGCTGCGAGCCACTGACTGCTGACTCAGCTGTCATCTGCCAGTCCATACCCCGTACCCGATGCCCTGTTGGCTGCGCCTCGACCGCACTTTCTTGCGTCCAGGCTGTAACGACATCTCGGTCCTCGGACGGGAGGCAAGCGAGAAGCACTCCAACTGGCAGTTGCTCGAGCCACTCACACACACACACACACACACACACACACACACACCAGAATACAATCATGTAGATAGACACGCGTATCGTCTTATGGATGTGCATGGTGTAGACAAGACGGCAAGACGTCGCGCAGTCTTTTCCCCCGTCCCGACCATGCGATTACGGCCTTCTTGTCCGCAGCGTCCAGGCCACCAAGCCCACGGCGTACTGGCCGCACGCCCATTGAGCCTGTCCGATGCACAAACGCTTGGGCGGTCGCTATGGGCTGCAAATGCTGGGCGAGACTGGGTGTCTGCAGCGTTGGAGGCTACCGAACCCGAGCCTGGCCCGGCCGCATCAGCAGCACTGCTCTCACAGCTCTTGCGTTCCCAATATGAACAGGTTTCTCCAAGATCTTTGTCAGCCTGCCTGCGAGGAAGAAGGAGCTTGGAGAACACTTCTCTCTGCGTTTGTTGCAGCTGCTCAATATCTCTGACCTTTCCTTGAACGCAATCGTTCCCTAAGCTTCATTGACTGGCGGAAAGTCTGTTTGAGTTTTCCAGAAGCAATTGCATCCAATATCTTTTGATCTGCTTCTGAATCAAACAATCAAAACTTGATAATTTATTTGTGATACGATTTGAGCTCGCAGTTCGCACTTGAGCGGTGACCAAAAAGGTGTTTCAGAGGGAGAGAGAGCTGACTCTGGATAGCGGTGACAAGTGCTCAACATGAGAACGTTATTACTTCAGGCCATTGCCTTGGGCATGGTCGTAGCTGTGTGCAGCGGAGTCTCACTTTTCGATAGTAAGATCTAAGGGATATAATTATACAACACTTATATATACACAATCATTGTATTACAAGTTGTCTGAATATTGCCTTAGCCTTGCAACGTACATGACACACAGCGTTGCAACTACATGTACATACACGTATTGCTCCTTCCTTGTGGTGTTGAGCACCCTAGCAATCCGGGATTTCCCATTATTGCAGTCATTACACTTGCTATAAAATGTACTTACTTGTGGTTGCATGGAAGAATTGGAAGAGGATATCATTATGTAGTCAACCTGGCGAATAACTACCCTCGATCGAGCTTGAGAACAAAATGTCAATTGTCTTGTCGTTAATCGCAAGGTTGAAAGTATGAAGTCAAGTGCTAACTTGCCCTGAAGATGGTGTCGTTATTCGCTAGTTGTTGCTACACCCGAGGTTGCTATATCCGAGGTTGTTATTCTCTAGGTTGACTGTAACCAGATATGCTGCATAATACATGTACATGTGCCACTGCTGAGTCTGATGAGGATAAAATTAATGCTGTCGTGATTGGTTCCTAGTTATAATTTTATTTACCATGACTGCATTGGTCAGTGGAAGAATTACAGTAGGAAATGCCTTGGTAACCTCAGCAGTATCACTAGTAGTGGCGCTAGTAGTGGCTTGCTTGTCACGTGTTCGCACCTGATCTAACACAACACTACAATAATTAGTAGCAGTATCATTTCGTCATAGGATACCAGCCAAACTCCCTGCTCCAGTTTTGTATTCAATATGCTCTTGTGTCGCCATGTTCTGTGCAACATGCTCTTGTGTCGCCGTGACGTAACACCAGTCCACACTTTGCAACACCGAAGGTGTTATTTTTTTCAAATAAACACTCGCTACACTCAGGCTGTTGCATTATCAGCCTTTGTCCTAAATGATGGCACGGACAGTAATACTAATACTACAATAGTCTACAAAGCAATTCATGTTGGTTTGTAGAACTTATCGTATTCGAGCAACTGCCGCTTCAAGACTAGAAGGGTTGTCGGCTATCACACACCGTTTGGTGGAGGTTTCCGCTCACACAGGCAAGTACATAACCTGAGCACATCCGACCCTTCCATGACTAGGCATATGCGGATAATGCCGGCAGAACAAAATTGGCAGGATTCGGTACTTTTTCTGGTAAGTTTCACGCATGTTTGGTATGTGGAAAAAGAAATGGAGCAGAATTCGAGGAATTGTCCGCCATACGGTTTGTATGGTTCTGCCAATTTTACTGCTTTTCGAGCAGAATCTGCCACCTTTTCGAGCATTATCCGCCAATGCCTATGGGGACCATGACCCACCTTGCTTCAACTGACAGAATGCTTCACGGGCTAGTTCATAGGCTAGCTCACTGCAGTCATATCTCGCGCTCGTGGATCCCATGACTGCTACATGTACAGTAGTAGCAAGAGCATAATAACGGGGTTACACACACAACAGAGGCGAAAGGCTATGTTGCTGTAACGAAGTTTACGGTTACACGCATTTCAGTGATCATCAGACAGCAGCATTAATTTTACTATCGAATCCTCTACGAGCAGGCCTAGATATTTTGATGCTAGTGTGGAAGTTAGTGCGTATGTACATGTACAACGGGGTTAATGTCAAGAGTCCATAATGCACTCTTGCTAGTATAGTATCAAGAGTCCATAATGCACTCTTTCTAGTTTTGATAGCTGGCCTGGAGGGACAGAGAGCTAGCAGCGGATAGTCGCCGAAAACCGCAGTGTAATTACAACAGCGGATGTTGCTGGTGTCGCTGCGCGTTTTAAAACTAGCGAATTATTTCGCAACAGCTGCTCCCACTGACCAGCCAGTCACATCCACCCCTCTCTCCTCTCTCCAGTCACCAATGGAATCAACTCGAGTAGATGCACGCATGCACCGACCATGATTCTTTTAGTTCTGGAAAGCATGAAGGAACTGCGTCGTTATGCCCTTGCTTGCGACAAGGTGAGAGAAGAAGACCAGATATCGTCAGGTTTACACACTCATGTCGTCTGCGATTCAGGGTCTACAAGACAACAATTACATGGTCTACAATTATTTTGGAGGACGGCTTCAGCTGGGCTTCCCGGGCCGGGGGTAAGACGGATAGGTGGTCCGTCCGTGTTCTGTTCATCGGATCGTAGTCTTTGGCATTTTGGAATGATTGAGAGACGCTGTTCCTACTGTGTCGAGATGTCCGCTGCTATCGTCCACGCCGCGGGGCCGCTCCCCGAGCGAGGATATCGAACAGTGAACAACAACAACAAAACCTGCGGGACACGGGAAACCCCCTTGAATGACAAACGAAGTCTGAAGTTTGAATCGTCCACACGTGGAGCGGATCGGAGGGCTGTAGTTTTGTACATTTGAATGTTCAGCTCCGGTTGGGGAAGAAGAAAACTTAGAAAACACACCATGCCCCTCGTTGTAGTACTAGTAGTGTTTCCAAGTGGTATGCCATTGATGCGTTGTGAGGCAGAGATGGACGTGGAGCTCCGGAGAGCCATACGGTTGTAGCAAACTCGAGGTTAGTCCTAGGCAAGGTTTAGGTGACACCGTTTTTCCAAAAAGGACACCCACTCGAAATAGAGTTATCTCCTCGATCTAAGCGCAGTCATGGTAGTGCATGCGATATACACTTGAGCTACAGTGACACAGGTTGTGCCAAAATATACCGTGAAGAGCGCTTACCGGTGCTACATAATTGTACTTGTTCAGATTAGTCACGTAGTGATCTCCGTGTCTCCAAGTGGTATGCCATTGATGCGTTTTGAGGTCGAGATGAACGTGGAGAGCCATACGGATGTAGCAAACTCGCGACGAAGTTCTCAAAAGACATGTTTTCAAAGCTACCACAAACATTACGAGTTGTTTCAGTGTGTAGATCTACGTGCGGACACTGAAGCTTCTCCAGTTGCTCAATACATAGGTAGCCGAGCAAGTACATGACATTGTGTATGACTGTGTTCTCGTTTGTCTTCTCTTTTTCCTGATTATCATCGCCAGGCAAACACGAACGGTTGTTTGAGGAGAGCGACCCAGCATTAGAAGAATCTGATGAGGAAGTACTCAGCAGGGAAGCACGGCAGTCATCCGGTGAACCCGTTGAGGTTAGTACATTGCATCCGAAGACTGCACAGAACCCTTTTCTGAACTTTTCCACTTGTATCATTCCCGTCAACGTATTGCTGTTTGGGTGAAATGATTTCCAGCCCATGTATATTGTGATGTACCGGTAGCACACACTTGTCAACCGGTTCAGCTTTGGAATGTGTATAGTTACATGGAGGTCCCAGAAACATTGTTTCAACTACCAACCCGTGTAAGAATGCACACGGATGTGAGGCGGGCGTTTCCGTATTACCTCTGGCTTGGCATGTCCTTATGATGGTAGTCTTCTCGGTACGAACTTCACTACGAACATCTGTGTACATGACTGTGGCTGTGTGTGTGTGTGTGTGTGTGTGTGTGTGTGCGTGGGTGCGTGTGTATGTAGGGCCCGAAAGGAGAGCCGGGTCTACCGGGAGAGAGCATTCCTGGGCCCCAAGGTCTTCCTGGAACGCAGGTGAGCTAGGCAGCGTGTAGCTACACTGAGTCATGCACATGCAGACAGACACACATACCGACACACACATACACACATACACGCACACATATACACATGCATACACACAAAACACACACGCACACACACACATGCACACACGCACGCACACACACACACACACACACACACACACACACACACACACACACACACACATACACACACACACACACACACACACACATACACACACACACTGCCTACTCAATCTCCGAACAGCTAGCTGTTTCGACATCGCTAGGTCTCCTCAGCGAAGCTCAGAGCCACTGGCCAAACCAATCGCAATGAAGTTCAGTGAACACAGAGCATTTTTGAACTGATGCAAAACATCTTTGTCTGTTGCATGTACATTTCCTGCACATCTGCACGTAATCATTGCGCAATATGTATCTCCTCCTATGGCTACAATTTTTCCTTTGCCTGATGTCCTAGGGAGAGAAGGGCCAGAAGGGAGAGCAAGGATTCGCAGGACGGCCCGGACCCCCGGGTGAGCCCGCAATCATCAACGTAAGTTTGACGGCTGTGTTCCCTTTTTAGTTTATTTTTTACCACACCATGCCCATTTGTGCGTATGTGTGTGTGTGTGTGTGTGTGTGTGTGTGTGTGTGTGTGTGTGTGTGTGTGTGTGTGTGTGTGTGTGTTTAGAACTGCTAGATGTGCTAGCAGGAAGAAAGAGTGTAGACTTCCACGTATGTCTGCAATTTTTGGCTTGTAGAACCATTCGGAGATGAATTAGCTCCAGACTTTTCCTAGCCGAACTTGGACCGAGTGCGGGCTGTAAAAGCCCCTTTCTTGATTTTGTAGTTTGGAGTTTCTGGACCTTCAACTTCCAAGTGCACATATTGGGTAATGTAAGTCTAGCCGAATTCTATTATTTTTATTGACCATGGATGAAATTCCAATGGACTTGTTCCTCTCTTAGGTAATGATTGTCTCGTGTTCTACTGTAGCTGTGGAAGCGAATAGCACTTCTGAATCCTAACTCTTTTCCGTATTACACCGAGCAGTGTTGCAACCGATGTCTTTTGATTTCTTTCTCCTTCTCTGTGTGTCGTACAGTACCAATCTCAGGTCATAGTTGACCCGTACAACAAGCCCAAGGGTCCCGTGCAGCAAATCCCTGTAGTCGGTCAGCCGCAGATCTCCTACGTCACCGGCCCGCGTGGATCGTCCGGCTCGGACGGACCTCCTGGACCCGCCGTAAGTCATGCCTGAGCTTTCTTTCTACCCCCGGAGTGATTGTTACAGATGTGGAGGCTATGTGAATGACACCATCGCATGTACAGGTAATGCTTTGTATTGAGCAGCAAACCAGTGGATGACATCAAAATGACGTAATGGCACCATGACATGTGCCTTATATTGAACAGCAAACCACCAGTCATGCGGGCTTCTTTCACGGCGCTCTCGTTTTTTGCTCAGTGCTGTGTTATTTCTCTCTCTTTTGTTCTATTGTTTGTTATTGTCGCAGGGCCCGCCCGGAGATGACTGTGCCCCAGGACTTCCCGGATCCCCTGGACAAACGGTATGTACATGTACTGTTGTATACTCAATCTGCGGACGGAACTGTTTCGTCCTTTGTGGACTCATCAGCACAGCACAGAGAAAATGAGGCTGAACCTGATAGCAATGAAAAATAAAATTTCCAAAGCCAGATTTATACCAGGCTTAAATAGGTTTTTCATTTGACCCGACGAGACCACACGCTGCATGCAGACGACAGCACCAACAGATCACCAGCCACACTCCACGATAGCAAGCGTTGTGTGGTCTCGTCGGGTCGAATGAAAAACCTATTACCGCCATGAATTGACGGACCGAATGAAGAGGGCAACGACGAGATATGTACTGTGTCACGAAACCAAGAGTGTGCAGTTCGAATGGGTTGCCGTCACGGTGGATTTGCTGGATTGCATCATTTTAGTGATGTGGCGTGTACAGGCAGGTCTCCTGCTGCATAACTGCAGCTCAGTTGTACGCACAACGCCACTTCCAGCCACATATCTGCACCAAACATGATGTAATCCCGGAATTTCACCGTGGCGGACACCCATCCAAGAGAAGTCAGGAGCTGCATGCTCTGGCTTATACCACTGGCACTGGTAAACTCCAACTACCCTCTGGCTGTCTTTCTGTGTTTAGATCACAGAACAGTGTGTAGCTGCACAAGTCGCCAACAAAAAAATCCTGAGTCATTGGTGCGAGATCGCTCGGTTATCAGCACTACCACCACCGCGCTCTTACACTGCAATTTCAATTGTCGAAATCTCCGAATTTGCAACCTTGATGCTTCATCAGGAAGTATATTTGTTGAAGGTCATGTAGAATAATCGTGTTGTTTCTCTCTTCTCTTTCCTGTGTGTGTGTGTGTGTGTGTGTGTGTGTGTGTGTGTTTGGGTGCGTGTGTGTATGTGTGTTTGTGTGTGTGTGTGCGTGTGTGTGTGTGTGTGTGTGTGTGTGTGTGTGTGTGCATGTGTGTGTTGTTGTGGTGTGTGTTGTGTTCTGCAGGGTCCGCCCGGCGGCCCTGGTTCGCGTGGACCAACTGGCTCCAGTGGAGAACGCGTAAGTCACTGGTGTTGCTGTGCGATCCCCTGGGGTAGTGTGACGTATGCGGATTTCTGTATTCCCAGGTGCGTGCGCCGGTGCCCTTCAAGGGGGGGGGGGGGGGGTCCGGAGGCCTCCCCCGGAAATGTTTCAAAAAATGAAGCAAAATCCTGCATTTCTGAGCGAAAAAAGGGGGTTCCGGGCACCCAGGAACCCATACTGGGCACGCGCCTGATTCCATCTATACCTCCCAAAATGTATGTACAGTGAAACCTGTCTAAGACGACCACTCATGGGACTTTCAAAATGTGGTCTCTGTTACCAGGTGGTCTCCTTATCCAGGGTCAATCGACTGGAAATAACATCCTTAGGTCCTGGTTTTCAGTGGTCTTCCAGGGCAGGTGGTCGCTTTATCCGAGTGGTCGCCTTGACAGGTGTTACTGGACTTGTAACTGGAATTGCGATCTATTTCTTACTCTATTCTAGGAATAACTTAGCTTCTGGTTGCCTGATTTCCATAATCGTGGGCTTCCTGGAAAGCTGTCCGTGAGCATTGTAACAAGAGCCCGTACTCAACGCCACAATGGTCACATATCCAACACCAGAGTGCTTTGAATAGTCCATTATAGACAACGGGCACCGTTTTATGGCAATTCAGTATAACCTGTCAGGGCGACCACTCTGATAAGGTGACCACCTGTCCTGGAAGACCACTACAACTAGGACCAAGGGATGCTATTCCCAGTCAAATGACCCTGGATACGGAGACCACCTGTACACGGGGACTACGTTTGTACGGTCCCTTGAGCGTTTGGCTTAGCTAAACAGGTTTCACTCACTGTATTGCAATTGTGTCCATATTGGTGAGTTTGCTGCATAGTGGGAGCACTTGCACACCCGGAGCATATTTTGGAGATCCACTGAGATGCTCTAGCCGTGCGCAATGTTTCACCGTACAACAACGTCAGCCCACTGCTAGAAACCAGGACGTGGCTACAAACCAGAACATGGCTGCAAAGTAGAACACATCTTTCCATAGTCAAAGCTGCAGAAGCACCCATCATTGCGAGCTCCTCAGTTTCCAAATGATTTTGTTGTGTCTGTCCTTTCGCTGCACCGCTGCTGCTGCTGCTGCTTCTGTTGTTTGTTTTCCCTCCAGGGAGCTGATGGCAAGCAGGGACCTGCTGGACCAGCGGGCCCAGCCGGCCCCAAGGTAAGCGTCCCCCGCTTGTGTTTGTATCTGCTTTGAATACGTTTTTCTTATGCTGCATTGGGGCTGTAACGGGGCTTTAAACATCATACTTCGAAATGTTTCTGTGCCTTTGCCGTCTCGTGTGTGTGTGTGTGCGTGTGTTGGCGTGTGTATGTGTGTGTGTGTGCGTGCGTGTGTGTGGTCATGCGTGTCTGTGTCCATTTGTCTGTCTGTGTGCACGTGTGTGCACGTGCATTATCTGCATACTCATGCTTGTACTCATGTCTGTGCCTGCCGCAGGGACCAGCTGGTCACAACGGTCTCCTGGGCAAGCAAGGCAACAAAGGCGAACAGGTGAGTCGCACGCTCATTGCCGGCATTGGTTTGCTGAACAGATTTGTTCTGCATAAAAAAAGTCCATGTGATTGGCCAGTGTGTGAACATCCCCCAAGCCTGCAGTGGTTCGATACAGTGCAAACAAGTATGCGGGCTCAGAGGTTTGTTTGGTATCCATCGAATCACCCTCGGCCACAGGAGCATGCAGAATTGTTGAGCAGAGCTGCTATTTGTTGTTGTTGTTACTGCTGCTGCTGCTTTTGTTGTCGTGGCTGTGGTTGACTGCAGTTCTAAGTTAACAGTGGGGGGGGGGGGGGGGGGGGAGGGGTTTACAGGAGCATACAGAATAGAATTTATGCATCAATTTCCCGCCTCTAGGTTTTGCGGCGCAAGTCCACTACAACCATACACAGCTTGATACAAGCTCTGCATAAAAGGTCATGAACTTTGTGAGGTCATACTCATAAATGTATTATAACGGGTTGTACCTGCCAAGTATGGGATAACTCGCCCCGCAAAAGGGTGACGGCCATCTTAGATACATACCTCCCATTGTGGAGCAGAGGTACCAGGGCCGGTGCTGCTGCTGTTGTTGATGCTATGTGCACACGCGTTTGCTTGCTTGCGTGCGTGCATCTGTGTGTGTGTGTGTGTGTGTGTGTGTGTGTGTGTGTATGCTGTGTGTCTACAGGGTGCTCAAGGTGCAGCTGGTCCGGCCGGCCCGATGGGTGAGAGCGGTGGCAAAGGCGATGACGGAAACAAAGGAGACACCGGACCAATGGGCCCAGCGGTAAGCGAGCGTCGGTTGACTCAATGCTTGTACAGGTCTATCCTCTTTGGTTGAAAACGCCAGGGGTTTCAAATTGTGGAACCTCTCTACTGTCTATAGTCTGCTTGTACTTATCCATGTGAAAAACAGTTCAATAAATGGTGCTACTCTACCCTCGGATCCATATGCGGCTGGGATTTCCCCCTTTCTTTTTGCAATCAAATTTGTATTGGCTCAACATCCCGAGTTCCAAATTTTGTTTGTTTTGATTTTGATTTTATTTTTGCTCTCGTTCGCTGTTGTCAGGGACAACAAGGAGGACCTGGCGATCGCGGTAGTAATGGCAAAACTGGTCCACAGGGACCACCAGGCGCTCCTGGCCGTCCCGGTTCACGAGGTGCCCCCGGTGATCAGGGAGCTACTGGCTACACTGGCGCTACTGGCAAACCAGGATCACAGGTGGGTAGGGGTGTGTGTGTGTGTGTGTGTGCATGTGTGTGTGTGTGTGTGCGTGCGTGTGTGCACGTGCGAGTGTGTGTGCGTGCGCGTGCGTGCGTGGATAGTGGCACGATTGGCGACCAAGGACAGAAGACAACATTGTGCACTGCCCACTCCTAGAAATGTTCTGCCACAGTCCCAGTGTTAAGCTGAATATATGGCAAAGAATAGACAAATGAGCTCTCTATGGCCAATAATCCCATTATGCATTGCCAAATATGGAAGGTATGAGTAATGCATGTGATTACGCTGGGATCAGCACTGCACCGTTCAACACCCCAGACGACCATGCCCAGGTGGCTGTGTGGGGTGTTCATGGTACAAATTACGTCATTGTGCAATGGGCTTATAGGTTACTCTGTCCTGTGCCGTGCTGACCTATTTGCTGTTCCCTGTTGCTCCGTGTTGTGCTTGCTTGCCGGCCTGTGTGTGTGTGTGTGTGTGTGTGTGTGTGTGTGTGTGTGTGTATGCGCGTGTGTGTGCATATGCGTGCATGCGTGTGTGTGTGTATGCATGTGTGTGTGTGTGTCCCACAGGGTCCACCAGGTCCGCAGGGCTCGGCTGGCCGTGCAGGAGAGAAGGGATCTTCCGGCAAGGACGGGCTGAACGGCAACTCCGGTAACTCAGGCAACCCAGGTCGTGACGGCAAACGAGGCTCAACTGGTGCTCCCGGTTCTCAGGTGAGTGGTCCGCTGTCGTGACAGTGATCCGTTGCTGTGGCATGTAGCATATACATCGGTAAACAATGATTTTCTTGTGCATGGGGAGGGATCCGGATAAAAGAGGACCGGATAAGCGAGGTCTGACTGTATTTGTTGACGTGGATTGTGCTGTAAAAGCACTGCCATGTGCCTATGTGTGTGTGTGTGTGTGGGGGGGGGGGGGGGGGGGGAGGGGTGCGCGCACGCACATGTGTGTGTGTGTGTGTGTTGTGCAACATTCTGCGTCGCGATGTCGTGGCACTTCTAGCATTTCGCCGCTGGCATTGAACTAGCACTCGTTGATTGGTGTGTACTGGATGTATTCCTCTTTCTTCTTTTCTACGTGCAGGGTGAGGCAGGCAAACCCGGTGCCAACGGATTCCCTGGCGGTCCCGGTCAACCTGTAAGTAACCCAGCTCAGAGTACTTTGAGCTTCTGAGCAAACTTCCTATGCCCGACGCAGCCTGGACTTGCGTAAGATGGTAGACATCTCAGTTGGCGCGGGTGATCAATGACTTTAGACGCAGGAGTGTTTTAACGTGGGCATTTGATGTCTATCATAATGCGTGTATGCAAGCGTTGCTCTTCTTTTCGCTTTGTGTGTTCTTGCCGTAGGGCCCTGACGGCGCACGAGGCAGTCCTGGAGCGAAGGGTGCACGCGTAAGTGATCAGACAGCACCCCGCATGGTGTGCTTGGATAACTGATGTACTGTAGTGGACATTGTAATCTGATGGGATGACCGGGGCCGGCACCCTTACTCCTGTTACTTGAAGTTTTAGCATGCACTCTAGTTCACATGTACACACTGTAAAGATGGACCAGCAGTGCTCTCGGCTGCAAGGTCAGTGCCCCGTGGCTGCTCGACTTCAATGTCTGCTACTGTACGTCGGCAAAAATATTCAGGACCATGAATCCTAGGCAGTGCTGTGTTGAAGTGCACAGCAATCAAGGTGGGACGCTCTCGCGAGACGGGGTGCTCTCGCGAGACGGGGCGCTCTGGCGGTACTTTACGGTACACGCACATGTATGTAAAACTTCGTATTATATATCCTAGTACAGGCCAGTAAAACAATACAAAGTGCTGTTAGTTGCGGGTCATTCAACTTATCCTGTCACGTACCATGCAATCCGACTCCCAAAGTGGTTGGAAATGTGTCATTTGACTTTGTGTCCCCTGTGTGTGTGTGTTCTGTATTCGGCTATGTAGGGTAGTGATGGACGAGCTGGTAGAAATGGAAACCGTGGTGGAGCTGGACCTCAGGTGTGTGCTTCAGCTACTGACAGTGGTGCTGCCACTCGAACTTCTGTTCGTCTGTTTGTATGCCTGTCTCCGGCTCATGCTCCCCCCCCCCCTCTCTCTCTCTCTCTCTCTCTCTCTCTCTCTCTCTCTCTCTCTCTCTCTCTCTCTCAAACACACACACATGCACACACACACACACACACACACACACACACACACACACACACACACACACACACACACACACAGACGTTCACGCGCACACACTCTCTCTCCTGTCCTCTTTTCTCCCCTATTCACTGTTCCATATTTTGAATAACAACCCTACCCTACCTGTGCCAATTTAATGTTTCCCACAAACATACACCACTCACCCAATCATGACAATAGTGCACGGTGGCAGCACTCATCAAAATGTCAGTGAAAGACACGTTGCTGTGATCGGGGACCAGTGCTGAATAACCACAGTGTAATGTATGTTCCAATTCCACCTCTCACCGCTTTAGGAGCTGCATCTGCGCCTTGATCCGTAGAGGGTGGTGGCGTTCCTACGGATGCGGAAAACTCGGCCTCCAGCCCGAGTCTCACGCGAACCGTGACACTTTTTCATACCCTTTCTGTAATTGTATGTTCTTGTTGTGTAGGGACCTCAAGGCAGACAGGGAGCACAAGGCCCAGCTGGTGAAGACGGATCTAAGGTATGTAGAACTCTTTCTGCACAAACAACGGAGGCGAACGGCTGTGTAGCTTCACGCATTTCAGCTGACTTTGCCGGAGACAAAATTTAATTTTACCTGAAAGAAAAAAATTCTTCGTGAAGTCCAATACTTGAAATTTCAGCTTTTACCTGTCTGATTCCTGACTCTGGATAGACTAATTGGTCATCTAGGAGGGAATGCTAGATGTTTGCTGTTTCCATGTTCTCATGTGATTGTTGTGCACTATCTCCGTGTACTTTTGTCATCGTCCATGCAGGGCCCAGCCGGACCTACTGGGCCAGCCGGTCCCATGGGACCCACCGGTCCCCAGGGCTCCTCCGGTCAGGCCGGAGCGCCCGGATTCCCCGGCTCCGACGGCGCCGCAGGCGTCCCCGGTAACCCTGGCAACGACGGACAGACCGGCAGCAAGGGAGAGAAGGTTAGGAACTGGCCGCTCGCGAAATACGCTGTGCTTGGACCTAGTTTGTTGAGCTCAATAGAATGCAGTACATTACTGCCGGGCGACAAAGACAGGAGCGTCGAAGAACGACCAGGCTGGGATTTCACCAAGCACAGCATACCAATGTACACACTGTGACTCAACTGTGCATAGACTGTAATACACGATAATAAGAATGGTCTAGGCTATGAGGCTGACCCCCCCCCCCCCCCCCCCCCTAGTTCTTCAGCGACTGACAGTACTGTAGTGTGTGGAGCTGAATAAAAATGCTGCATATCGAAGAATGGCATGTTTGTCAACAGGCGGAGAATTGTCGTGCACAAGAACGATTGATCGTTACAGCCATGCGATGTGGGTTGGGTGGATGGAGAGTTGCCAGGACACTGTTGCTGATGTTCTGTTTGTTCACTCTTGTCCCGGCGGCGGCAACCCAGACCTACGCCATTCCAATACTGACAACCCAATCCTGCCCCCCCCCCCCTCACTGTTGCCATTTTGTGTTTGTGTTGTGTGTCATCATCTGTAGGGCAGTCAAGGCAGTGACGGACCAGCAGGGCCACTGGGACCCAGAGTAAGTTGTCATCAAAACCGGGCTTTTTTCTTATTACAGTAAAGTGAGTAAACCTGTCAAGACGACCACTCTGATCAGGCGACCACCTGTCCCAGAAGACCACTACAGCCAGGACCAAGGGATGCCATTTCCAGTTTAATGACCCTGGATAAGGAGACCACCTGGTAACTAGGGGTGAAACGAATATACCGAACATTCGAATATTCGTTCGTTAGGCCACAGCGAACAAACATTCGTAGTTCTCACGAACATTCGAACTTTGAGAATGTGCGTCCGGTACGATAAACCCGTAAAAACATCGCGATCAGGCACGATCGTTTCACACACCGCCTGTAGAATATGTGTAGCTGCGTGCTTGTGACCAGCGCTGCGCCAGGTGTGGTACACGACCCGCGCGCCCGGTTCACGATCTGAACCGGCACTTGGCCGGAGTCGAGGCGACGACATGTAGACGAACATTGGAACAAAGCATGAGAACTCGTACATGTACTTACATATTTTGGCTGCTCGCTCTTCCTTTGACCACTTCGTAGTTTTCTTTTGTTTCGAGTTCGCACAGTCAGAAACTGTTTTCGGTCGTGCTCCCCGTTCTGTTGTTTGGGATCATTTTACCAAATCCGAGGATGAGAAGTCAGCTACCTGCAGGATTTCCCGCAGCCCGAAACGGCGAGCAACCTCTATGCGCACCTGAAAACACAACTACGATAACTTTCAGCACTCTTCTGTCGTCTCTGGGAGTGCAGTTATTTCTGCGGCATCAACACTGAACAGGAAGCAAGTTGATGACAAACGTTGCTGTGACGCAACGTTCTGGTCCTCAGCAGTGGCAGTATGGCGTTGCTCAGTTGGAGGCCATTGTGCCTCAACTTTTGAAAGCATCATAAAAGACGTACTGTAAATTTGGAAACTTTCGCAAGTGATTAAATTTCGCTACTTTCGCGGCCATTGCGCATTCTGGAGAAGAAAAATCGCCACAAACTGCTCAGTACGTGCATTGCAGACAGCACAACTACAAGATTCAAAAAAGGTAAAAATCGAGAAAAAAATTCTCATCACAAACCAGCCGCATTCATGAAAACGCAAAATTTGTGCGCCACAAAGGTTTATTGCTATACTGTATTCAAAAATTCCACTATTTTCTTGCCTATGCCGGTTCGTGCGCGAGCACGCGCGTGCAACGAGAATGTTAGAGAATGTTCGTTCGTTCGTTCGTTAACATCAAGAACGTTCGAATACTCAAATTTTATGTTCGTTTCAGCCCTACTGGTAACAGAGATCACCCTTTGAATGTCCCTCGAGCGGTTGTCTCTCTTAGACAGGTTTTCACTGTATTATTGCGCTTGTATTTCTAGTTGTTCAACCAAACAGGAAAAGATGTCTTCTCACAAGGAGACGACTTAGAAGAGAAGAAGAGAGAAAAGAAGGGTCATCTTTCAACTTAGCATATCCTCGAACAGCACCTACCGCAGTCACTTGATTAGAAGCCAGGTTTTGGTGCTCCATTTTCTGTGTTGAGGGGACTTCATTCAACATTACAAGAGTCAAGGTCCTTCTATTCAAGAAGGGCTTTCAGTATTTCAATACCAATGCCTTTTGCATATCCATTCTATTCACAATGTCGTACTGGCAACTGCTGATGACCTCTGTGAGCAGAGGGATCCGCATGTTTTAAAATGCGACGAGCAGGAAGAGCAGCATTATGGACCATCATTCTCTGTGTGTGTTTGTGCGCGTGTGTGTGTGTGTGTGTGTGCGCGTGCGTACGTGTGTGTGCCTGTGTCTGTGTGTATTTCTCTATCCACCGTCGTCATTACCTGTGGCAGGGAATGCGCGGACAACAAGGTTCTCAAGGCCGACAAGGAGACACCGGTCCATCAGGCCCCGCTGGAGCCCCAGGCAATGACGGCAACGACGGAGCTCGTGTGAGTTTTTCCGGCTGACCACACTACTGGCACTGCCTCTGCTGTTGCGGGTGGTGGTAGTGCCTGTGTTGCTGCTGCTTTTGCTGCAGCTGGTGGTAGTGTTGGTGTTGGTGTTGGTGTTGGTGGTGTGGACCAGTTTGATTAGGGTGTGCTAGCATGTACCGCTCAGCTCAAATTGCAGTTGAACCAGTGAACACCTTAGCACCCATGACCAGTATATGTCACCGCATCCTCTTCAGTTGTACTGGTATTCAAAGTCACTCAGCTTGGTGGCGCACCCTCATTCAATTGTTCACCGCCCGCTTTCTAACTGGATTGCATGATTGCATAATGCATGGTTCGACTAATAGTGCCGCCTTGTGCCTGATAATACATCACACACTGTGAAATGCCGTATCAGTAGGGAAGACATTTTCTGATCAGATTTGCCTTTATTGCTGTTGTTTTGCTGTTCAGGGCAAGGACGGACTTCCAGGTCTGCAAGGATTCCCTGGCGAACGTGGAGAACGGGTAAGAATGAAACCGTTGTGTCTAATACCTGGTCCACACTAGCCCGATTTTTCGGCCGATATTGAATTGTATGACACGATCCTCAAATCGGCACGAAAATCGCCTGCTGTGGACGGCGTTATCGCACATGTTTCCGAAAAATGTGTGTGTGTGTAGAGGTAGTCCGAGTCTATCCGACACAGTCGGCCGATTTCAAGTCGGAGTCGGTGTCGGAGCATCGGCCGAAAAATCCGCCTAGTGTGGACCAGGCATTAGCCGCATGCCTGTTCACAAGCAATACCTTATGTTCTTCTTGTTGTGACCATGTCCAAGCTGCATGATAGGTAGCACCTGACAGAAGCTTTGTGTGTGTGTGTGTGTGTGTGTGTGTGTGTATGTGTGTGCGTGTGTATTTGTGTGTGTGTGTGTTTCTTTGTGTTTGTGTGTCCGTACGTGCATGCGCTTGTGTGTGCGTGCATGTGTGCACGTGTGTGCTGAAAAATCCGAACACACGTGTGTGTTGCAGGGTTCCAACGGAGCTTCCGGTCGTAATGGCAAGGACGGCGAGAAGGGCCAGAAGGGAGAGACCGGGCAGAATGGCGCAGCAGGCAACCAAGGACAACAGGGAGCAATGGTATGCTCATCAACTATGCATTTGCTCAACCATATCTGTGTGGTTGGCCTGTTGGTCTAGGGGCATGATTCTCGCTTTGGGTGCGAGAGGTCCCGGGTTCAAATCCCGGACAGGCCCAACTTTTTTTTGTTTCCCTCTGCAAGTTTGCTCGAGTTTTTTTGGCTGTGCCTGCGGCAAACACGAAAAATCCTCAGATCAGGATTTGGACCTCAATTTTGCAGCGGAAAAATCCAGGCTTGACGCTGCTGTGGAAAAGCAAGCTTCGACCTTGCTTTCCGCTCCAAACAGGAGCTTGGTGCTGCATGGTAAGGCATGGTTCCTGATACTCGCGGGTTTGTCATCTCGATATCAAAGTGCTGAGTAGCCACGGACTACAACAAAATTGAAAAAAAGATTGCACGGAAGATTTTGGAGGGGGGGGGGGGGGGGAGGTGAGGTGAAGTAATTTTTAAAAGGAACCCAGTGTTGGAATACGTCTTCATTGAATTTTGGACTTTTCAGCACTGGGTTAATCCCGCAAGTGGGGACTCTTCCCGGCACATGCTCTCAACTTCTCTCATTCCGATTAGTGTAATAGCATCAGTGGCAGCACATGATGATATCAGAGCTAGGAAACGCAACGAGGGGAATCCCTCCACCAAATGGAAACCTCACAGTCTGTAAATTTCAGACTCCTCAGCCAAATGGTCTTGGTCTTCATTAAGTCGTTGTCAGCTGTTTCCTATTGAACTCGCGTCAGTGCGTCATCGAGTGTGCATGATTCTTGTAATGATGTCACTTTGGCAGTGGTGTGAACTGTGCATCGGCTCATGCATATCTGTGTGGGCGGCCTGTTGGTCTAGGGGCATGATTCTCGCTTTGGGTGCGAGAGGTCCCGGGTTCAAATCCCGGACAGGCCCAACTTTTTTTGTTTCCCTTTGCAAGTTTGCTCGAGTTTTTTTGGCTGTGCCAGATTGCGGCGCAAACATGAAAAATCCTGAGGTCAGGATTTGGACCTCAATAGTATCTTGCAGCGGAAAAATCCAGGCTTGAGGCTGCTGTGGAAAAGCAAGCTTCGACCTTGCTTTCCGCTCCAAACAGGAGCTTGGTGCTGGTAAGGCATGGTTCCTGGTACTCGCTGGTTTGTCATCTCGATATCAAAGTGCTGAGTAGCCACGGACTACAACAAAATTGAAAAAAAGATTGCACGGGAGATTTTGGAGGGGGGGGAGGGGGAGGTGAGGTGAAGTAATTTTTGAAAGGAATCCAGTGTTGGAATACATCTTCATTGAATTTTGGACTTTTCAGCACTGGGTTAAATTAATCCCACAAGTGGGAACTCTTCCCGGCACATGCTCTCAACTTCTCTCATTCCGATCAGTGTAATAGCATCAGTGGCAGCACATGATGATATCAGAGCTAGGGAACACAACGAGGGGAATCCCTCCACCAAATGGAAACCTCACAGTCCGTAAATTTCAGACTCCTCAGCCAAATGGTCTTGGTCTTAATTAAGTCGTTTGTCAGCTGTTTCCTATCGAACTCGCGTCAGTGCGTCATCGAGTGTGCATGATTCTTGTAATGATGTCACTTTGGCAGTGGTGTGAACTGTGCATCGGCCCATGCATATCTGTGTGGGCGGCCTGTTGGTCTAGGGGCATGATTCTCGCTTTGGGTGCGAGAGGTCCCGGGTTCAAATCCCGGACAGGCCCAACTTTTTTTCCTCCGCGCATTTCATTTTATACAATGATTCCGGATTGTTTGCATGCAGTATTTTCTGGCGGACTTGATCTTTGAGGGTTGGATTGCCTGTGGATGTGGAAAACTCTGTGCAGCCGAATATCACGCAAACCCCTTGAGGTTATTTTATTTTGGAACGTTGTTCTGAACTCAGGAGTCCGGGGGACGTTTTTTTGCCCGCAGGATTTGGTAGACAATGCTGCTTGCAGTAGATGCAATAGTAATTTGGCGCCACCTTCCTTTGCATTTTTGATCTACATGTATATGGCTGTTGCACAAGTGGAAACATTTCGGAACATTGCAGCTCGGCCACCCTTGAAGATGTAGATGGTGGGCTTTGGCTGTGACGCAAGTGACACAATCTAACATGCTTGCACAGTTTGGAGCATTGACTTTTGGTGACTTTTACTCTTCTTGGCAGCTGAGCACAAATCCATCCCTAGTGACGGTGTGATTGTGGTTGGCTTGTTGGTCTAGGGGTATGATTCTCGCTTTGGGTGCGAGAGGTCCCGGGTTCAAATCCCGGACAAGCCCAACTTTTTTTCTTCTTCTGGATGCGTTCTCGTGGTGTTTTTTTGTGTGTGCGTATGTATGTTTTTTGGTTCCAATCAAGGGAGTCATAAAATACCGACTTCCCGAGTAATAAAATACCGACTCCATGGCTCCAACTCACATGGCTATGTTCCTGAAGCAGGGCAGGTTTGCTCTGTTGTAGCCAGGGAGTCGTAAAATACCGGTATTTTACGACTCCCTGGTTGTAGCTAGCTGTGCACTTGAGCAGTGGTTGCTTGTTGGGCGAAAGTAGGGCAAAGGCCATGGTCGACGTTCACCGCTATCAACCCCTAACACTAAAGTAAATCGGTGCATCTATGGGGCCGGTTCGATTGGCCAATCTGGATTCAGATCAGATTTATTGTGGGACTGAGAATAGCAGTTCCCAGTGAAAAAAAAAGAATCCTATGATTTTGCCAGAAATAGCGCGGTTATCATTGCACAGGACTGGATAGGTGTTTGAACTTCGTCCTGGTCCGCCCTTTCCAATGTGATTGGCCTGTTGGTCTAGGGGTATGATTCTCGCTTTGGGTGCGAGAGGTCCCGGGTTGAAATCCCGGACAGGCCCAACTTTTTTTGTCTGCATCTCTGAGTGGCACGCTGGCACCCCGTTTACCACAACAAAAATATGCTTGTTTCGCGTCGGCTACTCCCCAAAAACCAGACTCGGTCTGCCGACCCGAAACAAGGGTATTTCTTGTTTGGGCGTTAGAGTAATTTGTCCAAAGTTCTAAGAACTTTGAACTCCATTGTAGCCTTGTCAGATTTTCAGTACACCCAACTTGCAACACACGAACAGTCCTTGGTTACATCACGTACAGTCAATTGTCACACGCAAAATTTTCACCCAGGAGGGCATCATCAGGGATAAAGGAGAAGAATGATACAACGTTGGCAGAAATAAGGCAGTACAGGGACAGAATTTTGTATGTTTTTTTTTCATTCCCTATCCAGGGACCCGCTGGACCGGCTGGCTCACAGGGCCGGGCAGGAGGCAGAGGCGAGCCCGGACAGCGTGGACAGATGGGCCCTCAAGGAAACGCAGGTGCCAACGGTGCAAAGGTGAGCAAGTCGAAGAGCGTGCACGTAGTGCCACTCTGAGTGCTAGAGAGGCCTGCGCTGGCTGCGGTGCGCGGCGATAATGTTGCGTTTCGAGTCCTAGCCTTTTTGACGGAGGGCATCTTTATTGTGGTTCAACCCCCTCCCCACCCATCCTGGACGAAATATGCCCAGGATGAGTTCAACCCTGTCTGAATGCAACTGCAAGCAAGCGTTTACATCACGGTCTTCTGGACACGATAGAGCATCCTGGTGTGATAATGCACTGTATGAAAATTCAAGCAAGTTCAATGCAAATATCCTCATTAAATTTTGGCCGCAAGCCAGTTGACTGCCACTCGAGATCTAACGGTTGATCCGGCCATAGTCATGCGAGATGGAAATTGGAGACCTGTGACAGCTTAAAACTTAAAAGTAACTCATCTTGGGACAACGATTGTAGTAACTGCCTTTTCTCTTCCTGCTCCCAGTCCCGTGCCATCTCCACACTTATCCATTCATTTGCATTTACCATGTGTTCATGCTAGGATAACCCGTTTTTTAGGAGAAAATTCGTTTGAATGGGTCCTTAGTGTCCAGACAATTATTGGTGATATTTGATAGGAATGTGCTGTGTGTGTGTGTGTGTGTGTGTGTGTGTGTGTGTGTGTGTGTGTGTGCACGTGCATGGTAAATGCTTATGTCCTTGCAGGGTGAACGTGGAGAAGCCGGAACGAATGGACGCAATGGAAACATGGGACCTCTCGGCCGTCCCGGTGAGATGGGACCGGCTGGACCAGCGGTAAGCACCTAACCGTAACAGCATGATTCAAAGAGTATCCACCTCTAACGAGGAGACAACAATCTAAGAATCGTAATGAACAATACAATATGCGCAGTCATTATGTACGGTGTACACACGCGTCTGTGTACACACACGTCATCGTTGGTCATTGCGATTCTCTAGACGTGTCCGTTGTTGAGTCGAACTGTCGTGTAGGTTTTTTTTTGTTCTCTGATGCATTGTTCCCTATTTTCTGATGCATTGTTGTATATTTTCTGACGCTCTGTTCTTTGTTCCCTAATGCATTGCTGTTTTGTTTTCTGATGCATTGCTGTTTTGTTTTCTGATGCATTGTTGTTTGTTTTCCGTCTCAAACTGGATTTGTGTGCTCACAGGGCGCCTCTGGCGAAGAGGGAGAACGTGGCTCGACCGGATCGGCTGGACCCAAGGGCCCGGCTGGCCCAGCCGGTGGTGCTGGACCCCAGGGACCACAAGGAGCAGCTGTAAGCACGCTGAACGTTTGCCTGAGGCCAGCCTCACACTGAGTAGCACATGGTCTTTCTCGCTAGTAAAGTACACTGGGTATACACACACACACACAACAGAGGTGAAAGGCTGTGCAGCTGTAACTCAAAGTTTCACGCATTTCAGCGATCATCAGACAGCAGCATTCACTATCGAAATCTTTTACGAGCAGGCCTAGATATTTGTAGCTAGTGTGGAAGATAGTGCATATGTGTGAAGTGAAGACTAGGTATGTATGGAGGATATGCAATGCACGTGACGTTAATACGTTTGCCACTCAAAGGTCTTCTCTATATGGGCCACTTTGGTTTCCCTCGGACAATTGTCAATGTCTTGGGCATCCTGGAAATCTCGTGACGAGAGGGGCATTGCAAGCATGGGTTTCTTTTGTTTATCTTTTGGCTCTTGCTGTGCTGGTGTAACAACAATGTACAGGGCCGCCCAGGAGAGAAGGGAGCACAAGGCCGACAGGGACCGGCCGGACCTCAGGGTAACCGTGGAAACAACGGAGAAGCAGGACGTGACGGCAAGGACGGCGCTCAGGTAGGCATGGCAACATGTTGTGCTCTTGTGTGTGCGTGTGTGCATCCATGCGTGTAGCATGCATGTGCGTGTGTGTGTGTGCGTATGCATAAGTACATGTGTATGTGTGCGCCAGCTAGTTTGGTGTGTGGGTACACTTATGCCAGATAGGGTTGGGTCTGTTGCCAACGGGCTCTGCTGCTTGAAGGTGTGATGTTGTACCTGCCACCTTTGTTGGTTCCAGGGTTCATATACTTTCTATTTGAAGTATACATACCTGTTAACCATGGACTGCTTCTGGCTAGATTAACTCTTGTGTAATCAATGGTGCTAGTTTCTTGATCACGCAGGACTGCAACCATACTCTTGGCCGATCTTGTCAACTGGACCATGTATGCTTTCGATGTTGTCTTCCTTGTTAGGGCTCCCCTGGTCCAGCAGGCAATGACGGCGAAACTGGAGCACAGGGCGCACGTGGACCAACGGGTAGCGACGGAGAGCGCGGCGCACAGGGTCAGGCGGGAGAGGCTGGTGATCGCGGTGCACCGGGACAGGCCGGTCAGAACGGACGCCAGGGAGAGAAGGGACCGTCAGGATCGGCTGGACCCGCTGGACCTCAGGGACCAAGCGGAGACCGAGTAAGATTATATTGTTGTTTTATTCTGAGAGTGCGCTGCGAGTGTGAGTGGGGATGAAGCGGGGAACTCTCTGGGATCCCACCTGACTGAAGATACGTCTATGAATCTGTGCACCTGGGACGCCCTTGTTTCACAACATGACTCCTCGTGTAGTATTGATAATTTAGATGCCTGCCTACGAAGCCCTCTTGAATTGTGCTGCTGATGTGTAGGGTTCTATGGTGTAATGGTTAGCACTCTGGACTTTGAATCCAGCGATCCGAGTTCAAATCTCGGTAGAACCTTTTTTTTTAATTTGATAATTTTTCATTTTGCTTCGAAGTATTTCCTTTTAGCTTTCGCATTCATTGCACATATTCCTTTCACTGGCCGTACATTGTATTTACATGAGAGTTTTCCACTCGGGTTGAAAATCTGTACGGGGAGAACATGGGTGTCGACATGAAGAAAGTTGACACGAGTCGAGTACTGATATGCCAACAAAAGTCCACTTCTCTAGACTGATGTGGTCACATGATTACTTTGGGCGGGGATGTTGCCTGTGCTGTGCGCAATTCTGGTGCGAAATACACATACGCTAAGGTCGTACATTTCTCGATTTCAACCCTCCCACCAGAGACCAAGCGTGGTGCGCTGTGTGAAAGCTCCAGTCAATCTGTGTTTATGGCGGGTTGAAACTCAACCCGGGTGGAACTCTCATGTAAACACGGCCTCACTCTTGGCTTCTTCGTGCTACTTCTTGCTCCCAAAGCGGTGTTTGGTGCAACCATGCGCTGGGTTCTATTCCACCTCTCAGGGGTCAACACTTCAGAGAGGGTTCTATGGTGTAATGGTTAGCACTCTGGACTCTGAATCCAGCGATCCGAGTTCAAATCTCGGTAGGACCTGATTTTTTTCTCTCGCAATACTGGCCCGAAGTGGTACCAAGTTTAGTGGGTTTTTTTGCCTTCGTTGCTGCCGATGTCGGTGCTTGTTACCTTGGCGTTGCTGATTGTTTTGCTGCGTGTGCGTGCGTGTGTGCGTGTGTGTGCATTCGTGTGTGCATCGCGCAGGGATCAACTGGACCAGCTGGCTCCGCAGGTAACAGCGGAGCACAAGGAGCGCCCGTGAGTGACCTTGTAACCTGATTGGTCCGAATAGGTTGCTTGTAATTCAGCCATGTCGAATGGTATTGCACTGTAGACTGTGCAGTGCAGCGGAGCCTGTGTTTGCCGCACCATGTACCATACCGGAATCCTGTAGTGACCGGACAAATTGTCATGCTTTAAAGAACTGTGGATTGAATGTGCATCCCCGGATAAAGCAAAATCCTGTCATATCAGGGCAGTTTCCACTGCGCCAATGGCGTCTGGTCAGGGCACGTTTTGCTGTGTGTCCTAGAAAATGCATAGTTGCTCACTTACCAAAGGGTAATGTATGAATGCAACAGGCTGGTAGAGAGTTGTGTTTGCTCGTGACAGTGCTCGATACACTTAGATACAGAGCCTAGCACACACACTTGAAAGAAGGAATCAAAAGCGTCTCTGCTGTAACTCTGAGTTTCACGGTGTTTACACGTACCAATCATCAGACAGCAAATACAGGCTAGTACTTGTATGTAAAATATTACTAAGAGTTGTATCTAGTGTGGTGTGACGGCCACAGCTTCCTTTAACCTTGCCTTGCTCTTCACTGCAATGCTGTGTGTGTGTGTGTGTGTGTGTGTGTGTGTGTGTGTGTGTGTGTGTGTGTGTGTGTGTGTGTGTGTGTGTGTGTGTCTGTCTGTCTGTCTGTGGGTCGCGTACCATGCATGCAGGGAGATCAAGGCCCACCCGGCCCGGCCGGACAGCCAGGTAGCAGCGGATCGTCAGGACAGAGAGGACACCCCGGCGGTCCCGGAGCACCCGGTACACCTGGAGATGGGGTATGTGAACACCTGTTACCTAACGACTTCACTAGACGAGTGCAGGGTGTCCAACCGCCCTGCTTTGAGCAGGGTGGTCCTGCTGTGGACCAACACATTTGTATACATTTACCAACAAAGCAGAAGAGAACAGAGAAAACCGGCTAGGTCATTGTTGTAGCGCTGCGTTTCATGCACATAGCAAAGCCATGGCAATCCTAAGTGTCTCTGCTCTCTTCTGCCTTTGTGGCATTGCTCCATCCTGGTGGTGTTGAGCACTCTGTCTTGGTAGTTGGTACGTGCGTGCATGTATGTGTGTGTGTGTGTGTGTGTGTGTGTGTGTGTGTGTGTGCATGTGTGTGTGCATGTATGTGTGTATGTGTGTGTGTGCATATGCACACGCTTGCGTGTGGACAGCACTGGGTGAGTGTGCCATCCGTGTAGTTGCTGGACTTTCACACTACGTATGTCTTTGTTCCTTACTTGTTTCTGTTGCAATGACAGGGACCTCAAGGATCACCTGGCTCGCCTGGCCCAGCTGGACAAGATGGAAAACAAGTGAGTACAGGCCAGGTGGAACCCGTCCGGTATGTCAGGCCATGGCCGGACCAACTTGTTGGCCACTGACATAATACGTTTACTGCTTAGGAGGTCATGTATATACTAGGGCTCAAACGGTCACGGTTTTTACCCCCAACGGTTAACTGCTAAGCTAACGGTCGGTTTAACGGTTATAACCTATAAGCCACGGCAATCCTGTGGACTCTTTTTTAACCGTATATTTGGCTATACTTATTCAAAAAATGTACCCTATTCAGTACACCGCACACATGTATATTCTCTTGCATGCTCATTCATACATACTCTCACACGAAGAGACCAGATATGACCGAGTTGACAGCCCGGAAATTGCGAACGCGTGCGACAGCCTGCGAAAGTGCATACTTTGCAACGACCTGATACTTGAAAAATTGACTGAAAAGTTACTGCGTAACCGTTATCTTTATCGGTTAACCGTTAATTCTCCGTAACCGGTCTGCAACCGGTTAATCGGACTAACCGTTTGAGCCCTAGTATATACCCTACATATCATACACAAACTGTATGACAGGCTAGGGTATGGCCGGGTGCTGTACAGGCAGAACATTTCGTCATAATTTTGTCCAACTCCAAAGAACGGGAGTTCGTCCGGTTGTAAATTTCGCCCTTGGACCATAAGAGTGTATCGAAAAGCTGGACAAATCGAACGGCATTTAATTTAGTCCAAAAGCTCCTTGGACGAAAAAGACGAAATTAAATTCCAGACGAATATTTCTGCTTATACAGTAAAGCAGTGGTGTTATTTAATAACACCACTGCTTCCGCCGGTCCTAAAGCACTGCCAAAGTAGAGTGGGTGGAGGCCGTGTGTAGCCAGCAGCACCGCACATGCACACACTACAGACAGGCGGTGGGCTTGTGACACAGCGCAGACACAATTGTGTATCCACCACACCATGATGGCGCTCGGCATTAGGGCCTGCACCTGCCGCTGGATTTTCCAGGTGTTAGCGACCGTTGTGAGCTCCCTCGGGAACGGAGACGGAATTTTTTTACCACAATGGCGAGAATACCGGTCTCTGTAAGGCGCCGCGAAGTGCATGTTTGTGCTTCAAGTTTCCCTGGCAGCAGCTCTTTGCCAATCACGCTCGCTCTACTGTCGTCTCTTTGTGTGTGTGTGTGGGGGGGGGGGAGGGCGCAAACAAATCGACGTCATAATATTGAACAGAAATTGTCCGTTTGATTCACAGTGTCAAATTCAATAGAACACAGTGCACGGGATTAGCTCATGCTAGAGCTCTGACATGCATGTGCAAGTACATGTATCTTTGTGGGTGAAGTGTACAAAACTGACCTTGCAATGTGCAATGCGAGCGCTCTTCAAGTATTTGCAGCCCAGAGGCAAGAGTGATCTCCCATGCATACAATAGCATTCGTATTCTGTCGAGTGATGCGCGTCCCTGCATCTGTTGGTACTTGTGTGTATGTGCGTGTTTTCATGTGTGTGTGTGTGTATGTGCGTGTTTTCATGTGTGTGTGTGTGTGTATGTGTGTACGTGTGTGTGTGTGTATGTGCTTTGCGTGCCTTGCATATGACAGGGCACCCGAGGAGAGACAGGTGCCCAAGGACCCCAAGGCCCAGCTGGACCACAGGTATGATGTAACTGCTGAACTTGAGCGTTTTCCGTGCCTTTGTGACTGGGAGAATGTTGTTTGCTCTTATAGTGCTGTAGAGAGTACTTTCTCGTTCTTCATTTGCTATCAACTCTTTCTTTTCAGTCGAACCTCCCTCGATGGTTATTCGGTTTATATGAACTATTCGCTCGCTCTTTAATCGAGCCTCTTGTCTCTCCGATTCTTTTTCTATCCACTGCCTTACGTAACTGTCTACGCAACCATGTCTTGCTGGTTGTGTGTGTCTGTGTGTCTGTATGTATGTGTCTGTTTTGCGGTCTCACTCTACCCGTCTGTTTCTCTCCTGCTGCTGCTGCTGCTGCTGCTGCTGCTACTGCCGATGTTAGGGACCAAGCGGAGAAACCGGTGATGACGGAAATACTGGACCTCAAGGACCCGCGGTATGTGTGTTGAGAAAGAGGGTGGAGCGCTTGGGTTGCAATGAAGCCGAGACCCTATGGTCGGTCAAGCTGCCCCTGTCTCTCCCCCACTCCTGCCATTCCATATGTCTCATCGCTGCCTTGCTGATTTGTGCCATCAAATGGTGTGTTTTTTTTTGTAAAAAACAAACAAAAACAAAACAACAAAAAACAGCTGCACACACACGCACGCACACGTACACGCACACACACATACGTACACGCATGCGCATGCGCATGCACACACACACACACGCACACACACACACACACACACACACACACACACACACACATACACACACACGCACACACACCACACACACGCACACGCACGCACACGCACGCACGCGCTCACGCACGCACGCACACATGCACGCTCACACACACACACACACACGCACATGATTAGGTATGTTTGTATGTTTGTAGAACTCCTGCATGTATATCGGGTGCACATGTTGTGTGTAGTGCATAGACGTCTCGCTTGTCTGCCTGTTTATCTCCGTGTGTTTCCGCTTTCTCTGTGTGTCTGTGCTCTGCAACAACAGGGACCCACCGGCCCCGTTGGCCCTGCTGGACCCGCTGGAGCTAAGGGCAATGTGGTATGTCAGCAATCATTCTCGTTCCTTGCGTACAGTCTGATATGCAAGTATTTGGGTCTTACGCCACACAGCTAGATTGCATAACTGTCGCAAATGGGGCTGAGTAATTTCACGACGTACAAAAAGTTAAAACCAGCATTTGCTTCTGGGGGAAGGGTTCGCGAAAAATTTGAACGATGAGGTGTACATGATTCAATATTCCTGTGCTTGTGGACATTCGCTATTTGGATGGAGACTTTTAAACACGTGCTCAGTCTCTGTCTGTACTATCTGGAGTTCTGGGTCCGTGTTTTTCATCACCAGATTTATGCTCAAGAAGAGAATCCACACGCCGGGTTGGCTGAGAATGTTTGCCTCTGTGTCTGTGTGTGTTGTGTGTTGTCCAGGGTGGACCCGGATTCCCAGGTGCCAAGGGAGCACGCGGACTTCCCGGCCCAGTGGTAAGTTATGACGTCATCATGACGTCATCATGACGTCATCATTGTCTTGCTGCTGTACACTGTGTACTGTACTCGGTGACGTCATCGTTGTCTTGCCGCTGTGCACTGTCTGCTGTACTCAGTGCTAGGTGCCGGGGAACACTTTGCCAATGAACATCCAGGCTATGGCCAAGAGATGAGATCATGCAACAGAGGCAGCGGCAGCCAACTATTTTGGAGGTTCCCTAGACCCTTCCCCCCCCCCCCCCCCAACAAAAACCCCACCCGTCGCCGGGCATAACGGCAATTTGAAGTCGAGGAATGAAGCAAATACCGTATGTCATTATAACGGCCTTTGTCGTAGCATCTAGTTAAAGCTTTCTGCTCACTGTTTTTTTTTGCTGTTGTTGCTGCCTCCGCTGCCGCTGCTGCTGTTGCTGCTATTGTTCTGTATGTACAGGGCGGAGCAGGAAAGAATGGAGAGCGTGGAGAAGATGGCAAGAAGGGATCAACAGTAAGTCGCGGTTTGCATTCCGTTGCCTCTGACTGTCTAGTTTTCAGCTAAGCCGAACGGCGGTTGTTTGTCGCTGTCCCAGATATTAGAAGGTGCTGATCTGCCAGAACTCTCGAGCAGCCTTGTGGAGCAGGTGCTGACCTCCTTTCCGTGCAGATACGAATGTTATAAACGAAACAAATGGTTTGAGTTGTGCATTGATCAGCAGTGATCACGCACGCACCATAGGCCAGAATTATGTTTCCTTGTACGTTTCCGCCGCCATCTGTTCAGAAAGCTTACTGGCAGATAAAAAAAATCCTTTAGTATTGCCAGTGCTTTGTTCCAGTCACGAAGGTTCCCTCCGCATTCTTTTCATTCTGCTCTATGTAATGACCGTAGCTTAGTGAGAGGCCTGTCGTCAAGTCCGGGTTCTTGTCCTGTTGCTGCTGATGCTGCCGCCGCCGCCCCCACCACCGCTGCTACTGCTGCTGCTTCTACTGCTATTGTTTGTGTTTCCTTGCAGGGCCGACCCGGCAACCCAGGACCCCAGGGAGCCCCCGGCGAGAATGGAGCACAAGGCACATCCGGCGCTGATGGTGAGCCAGGACGAATGGGACCCTCCGGCGAACGTGTAAGTTCTTCAACTAAAGCAGAAATATGTTTTGTTATGTTATGTTATCTTATGTTACCTTCATTTTACTTCGCCATAGGTACAGGCATTGCTGCCTTCTCGCTATGGATCCTGATAGCCAAACTCAAACCCCGATGCTCAACTCTCTTTAAGAAAGGGTTGATCCTCAATTTTGTAAATGCGAGTGTGTGGTGTGTAGCAATTCAGAGTATAAAACACCTTCTAGTGTGTCTTTGAGTAGTTGTGGCATTTCATAATTATGTATGCTGTTTGTGAACTAAGCTCAGTGCCTGTGTAATTTGTGTGTGTGTGTGTGTGTGTGTTTGTGTGTGTGTGTGTGTGTGTGTGTGTGCGCGCGCATGCGTGCGTACGTGTACGTGTGTGCACGTGTCTATGCATGTGTGTGCTTGCATGTGTTCGTGTGCATGTGCGTGTGTGTGTGTTCAGGGAGGCGATGGACCGCCAGGAACTGCAGGACAACCAGGACAACCCGGACAACAGGTAGGCACTAGGAGATATTCAGCTCTCACTCTGCTGTCCTATCTCGGTCTGAATGGTCTGTAGTGTAACAATGTGTGCCAACAACACTGCATGTACTCATGGTCACAAAATGAATTTGGCTGCAGTTAACAAACGCTCCACCTGAGCCAGGTGCTGTCCGAGAATACTCATAGAATGGTCGGAGACCGACCCAGAATGTGCCATTGCCATTCGGCGATTACTCAAATATAACGTGTGCAAGAGATGTAAGAATTCTTCCATGTATGCCACTTGTAAGCAGATCGGAGTTGTACTGCTGAAACGCCTCATATTTCTCTTGACCATCGTCTTGTGCCTCTTTTTGTTTTGTTTTTGTTCTTGCTCCTCGTACTCGTAGGGACCACAAGGCGCCACCGGTGCTCCCGGATACGCTGGAAAGTCCGGAGACAAGGGCTCTAGCGGAGCAGCTGGTCCACAGGGCCCCGCCGGACCACAGGGACCTGCCGTGAGTAACCAACTACAACTACAGTCCATTCATCGGAAACTGGCCCGCTGGCTTTTGAAAGTCGGATTTGGGCCGAATTGAGGATCAAAAACCCACTTTAAATCTCAAAAATCTGGGTTTTGGATCTGCTTCTCCGTACATTTTGCCATGGCATACCTGTCCTAATTTTGTAAAACCTGGCTGAATTTCTATTTCCCTGTTCTTGAACTTTTCTGGCCTCAAATGTGGCAAGGAGTAATTGCACGGGTCACACAATGCAGGATGTACTGTTGTTTTCACTTATCTACAACTATGTGAGAGAGACACCGAAAAGTTAGGGTGCCAGTTTCCAATGAATGGACTGTACAGTCGTCCCTCTTGAATCCAGCACTTTATAAACCAGCACCCTCTGTAAACCAGCACAATTTTTAGTAGCCAAAATGTCCTCTTCATGCACATTGCAGCAGTAAATCAGATTTTCTAATCCAGCAGAATTTCTGCAGCACAGATGGTGCCGGGTTTCAAAGGTACCACTGTACCGTATTTTCCGGAGTATAAGATGCACTGTAAACACCAGTAAATCACTCAAAAAAAGTCTGTGTGGCTCATCGGGACGAAAAATCTGGTTCCGGCGTACGGTCCAGTGCAGCTTATACCCCGGAAAACACGGCGGCCAGTTTGTCTCCCCGGTCATACCAAGTGCGCGATATAATCCTCACTTTACGTTTTCCCTTGCCTGGAATTGCAACCTGGTTTTCTGCGCAGACACAACAGCGGGGCATGTTGGTTTAAAAACAACATCATTGGTGATGTCTAGCGCATGTTGTATAAAAATCCCCCGGAGGTGTATGTCCAGTGCCTACTGTATACAAATAACCGCCAGTGGTGTATGTCAGGTGTGTGCTTTGCAGTGCAGTACTGCATGAAGCCTATGCAATGTGTCCAGCGTAAGTTCTTACAAAGAGGATCATGTTGTGGTTCTCTCGTGCTTGGCTCTTTCCTTTCCTCAGGGATCTGCTGGTGATGCTGGTGCTACTGGCGAGGGTGGACCACAGGGAGCAAAGGTAAAAAAAAATACACCTGGTATCTCTCTCTCTCTCTCTCTCTCTCTCTCTCTCTCTCTCTCTCTCTCTCTCTCTTTCCTTCCCTTTGTCTCTCCTTTGCTCTGTGTTCATGGAGTAAGGCTGCTCTAACCTGTTTTGCCTTCGAATGTCCCTACCGAGCTCCCTCTGTCCTCCTAATCATAACTGCATCTGTGTGTCTGCATCTGTGTGTGTGTGTGTGTGTGTGTGTGTCCAGGGTCATCCTGGATTGAAGGGACCACAAGGATTGCCAGGCGATCGCGGTTCACCGGTAAGCCACACTTTAATGCTGTTCTCTGTGCTATCGAACACACGCATGATTGCTTTGCCTTGGTACATGGCTGCTGGCACTTAACCGTGGAGTCTGTTGCAGTCCCCCATGTCACATAGATCTGTGTAGTATTTTCTGCTAGATAATTCTTCCGGAACAACGGTTTTATTGGTTATCAGTAAGTTATGAAGTGTGTGTTGCTCCCTACATAGAAGCTCGCGGTTTTCCTGCCGATCAAGTCAGCAGGAAAACCGCGAGCTCCGATGTAGGGAGCAACACACACTTCCCAACTATCGCCGAAGTCGCACCAACCTCTTCTTCACAGTGAAGTTATGCAGTCATTAATACCACCTTAACGTAAAGCCAAATGTCGTACTGCTTCAGCATTGCTAGTGAGCAAAGCTTATGAGGAGAACCCAAACAGGGCATTTTATATAGTTCTGCAGGAAACAAAAACTTCGTGGCTAGGATCGACCTGTCTGTTCCGGTGAATTGAGATCTGAAGAATCGAGCCTTCGCGACTTCAAGTGAGATTCAATCGTAATCGTGTGCATGTTTCAAGGAGGTATATCCACTCACGTTATGGAGCTGCTTCTGTCCCTATGAACCCTATTCCTTGATCACAGTAACAACTTGTTGAATGTGGATAAAAATCACCATGTTGTCAGTTTCCGGTGAAAGTAGCTGATGGGGCACTGTGGAGAATAATTCCACCAGCCGGGAAGGGTTGTTTCTCGTGAAATCCTCGCAGGATTGAAAAAGGTTTGAATGACCAGAGGTGTCTTCAGCACTGTAAGAACCATCTCAGGGGCGTCGCACACGGTACGGTCACTACGGTATTGACCGTACCACTATTTGCCCCAAGTACCCTGTGAATCAATAAAATGAACTGATTTGGGCTCTAATTTTCCAAAATTTTCAGCTCAGCCACCCCTCCCCCACGCGTAAATTGTACTTCAGATGGCTGACCGTACCGCACTAAATTACCTTCCGACGCCCCTGCATCTCGCTCGATTGCCTCATGCCTGCCCTCTGTGTGTGTGTGTGTGTGTGTGTGTGCGTGCGTGCGTGCGTGCGTTTGTGCGTGCGTACGTGCGTATGTGTTTTGCATGCCAGGGTGAAGATGGACAGCGTGGCTCAGGTGGTCCAGTCGGACCCCAAGGTTCACAGGTAAAATTTCTTTAGCTCTGTGGCCTGTTCACCATTGTACTTGTGCTGTAGCGTACGCACATGTCTGTGCAGCCAGACAATCATATGGGCAGGAACAATGCGTTCTTAAAGTAGGTTCAACAACACACACTTGCGTGCATGTCTGCTATGACATTCTCATCGCTTTTAGTCACTTAGTTTACCATGGAAGTAATTTGATCACGGACTACCCAACAGATGTGCTGTGTGTGCTGTGTGCTGTGTGCTGTGTGCTGTGTGTGCTGTGTGCTGTGTGCTGTGTGCTGTGTGCTGTGTGCTGTGTGCTGTGTGCTGTGTGTGCTGTGTGTGCTGTGTGCTGTGTGCTGTGTGCTGTGTGCTGTGTGCTGTGTGCTGTGTGCTGTGTGTGCTGTGTGCGCTGTGTGTGCTGTGTGCTGTGTGCTGTGTGCTGTGTGCTGTGTGTGCTGTGTGCTGTGTGTGCTGTGTGTGCTGTGTGCTGTGTGTGCTGTGTGTGCTGTGTGCTGTGTGCTGTGTGCTGTGTGTGCTGTGTGTGCTGTGTGCTGTGTGCTGTGTGTGCTGTGTGTGCTGTGTGTGCTGTGTGTGCTGTGTGTGCTGTGTGTGCTGTGTGTGCTGTGTGCTGTGTGTGCTGTGTGTGCTGTGTGCTGTGTGTGCTGTGTGTGCTGTGTGCTGTGTGCTGTGTGCTGTGTGCTGTGTGCTGTGTGCTGTGTGCTGTGTGCTGTGTACGGTGTTTGTACAGTGTATACTGTATGCTGTGTGCGTGTTTATACCCTCAAATCATCACTTTCTAGTCCCTCGGCACACTTCTGCACTCTTTGTTGTGTTGTGTCAACAGTCGTTATGTTGTCACCGGAGTGCCGATTTGATATGCTGAATGTCCCCACTTTCTCACATTCCACTTTAACTGAATTCACCTCACTCATAATGCAGATGCGCTTGATAGCCCAACATATGCTTGTACCAGCAAGGGATCATCTAAACAGGGATGAACTTGATTCGCTGCAGCCGAGTGGAAGGTTAAGGATATATTCCCAGTTTGGAGCTCCCCATCAATATGTGTCTTCTCTGTTTATCCTGTCTGCTCTGTTGTAGGGCTCCAAGGGACCACAAGGACCGCAGGGTGACCCAGGTAATGATGGACCATCTGGATCTACCGGACCAGAGGTAAGTGAGAGAGAGAGAGAGAGAGAGAGAGATTGAGAGAGTTTTCTTTTTCATATAATACTACGTGCAAGGTTTGAGTCAATCAGGAACGAAACAAGAAGTGTCGGATATCCTGCTGCTCTCCTTTAATTTTTCGTGGATGGCTTCATCTTCATTTTTCCTGGCACTTTTCATTGTCGTTTTATGCAACGGTGTTCTTTCCTCAATCTTTGTCCTCCGTCAGGGACCTTCTGGTGAGAATGGTGACTCTGGCGTTCGCGGTGACTCCGGACCACCCGTGAGTAGCAATGCCTGTGTGCGTGCGTGCGTGCGTGCGTGCGCGCGCGCGTGCGTGTGTGTGTGTGTGTGTGTGTGTGTGTGCGTGCGTGTGTGTGTGCGTGTGTGTGTGTGTGTGGTTGTATGATTGTATTCATGGGAAGTTTGTGTTCGTGCATGTCTACCATTGTCTAGTCTGGCTGGAAAAAAACCAAGTTCATACCGGAGTTGGTGGTATTCTTGCAGCATGGTAGCTGTGCAGTGTACTATTCCTATTCTGCACAGGCCTATAAGCCCATAGTGCACTGGCAAGTATGGAACACATGAGTAATGCATGAGTAATGCATGAGTAATGCATGAGTAATGCATGAGTAATACATGAGTAATGCATGTGAGTATGCTGAGATCAGCAATGCACTGTTCAACACCTCACACACTATGACCATGACCAGGTGGCTGTGTAGGGTGTTGCTGGTACACATAAGAGAGGTTAGGATGCACGTTATTTCCGACGTGACGCGCAATTTCACTTCAAATTTGGCGTAAAACTCCAAATTTCGACGTGAGCTGCAGGTCACTCGCGTTGTTTTCCAACGAGCGAGCCAAATAACGCGAGCTGAACTTTCACGTCACATCAGAAATCGCATTGCACAATAGGCGTATTACACAGTTCTGCTGTTTGGTTGTAAGTACCCAAGCCACCTTCATTGACCTTCACTATGTGGTGACGAGGTGGCCGAGTGGTTAAGGCGATGGACTGCTAATCCATTGGGCTCTGCCCGCGTGGGTTCGAATCCCATCTTCGTCGTTGCACATATTTTTTGTTGGTTCAGCATCATAATTTTTTTCTTTTTTGCGTGTCTGATGTTTTGTTTGTATATTTGCTGTTGTTGTCGCTTTGGTTTAGGGACCACCTGGACCTCCCGTAAGTCCTGGCTGAGATGATCTGTTGCGTATGAATTGCATGCTAGCTCTATTGTAGGTTTTACGTTTCCATTATAACATGTGCAAGAGAGGACATTCGTGCACATATGCTTGTGAGTGTGTGTACGTGTGCACGTGCAGCCTTGGGTGGGTGCAGCATGTATATACATGTACATGTATGTAATTGAGGGAAACCCCCCTCTCCATCTTTGTAAAACTATTGTGCTATATGCACCTTTTTTTCTGAAATACGACATAATTTGTGTCATTCGATTCCCTGGAGATTGAAAGAAGTGTTAGGTATCTCCCGAGTCTCCAGTTGAAACTCAACAGAAGTATTGACAGGGCCCTCACGCACCTTCTTTTTGGCATGAGCACAGTGCAGCTGTCTTGTCATGATAGGGGCTGCTCTGACAATACGAGCATATTAAGCCTCGCGGAGCTCAGACTTGCTAGCCAGACCGATCACAGTGAAGTCGAGTGATCAACAAAGCATTTTTAAAGCGAGCCAATGCATCAAAGTTAGAGTGCTCCAACAATGAGAAACACTGCGAGCTTTGTATGATTAGAATCGTGTTCTCTGTTTGTTGTTATCTGTGCTCCTCTGAATGCGTCTCTTCTTCCGTTGCAATGTTTGCCGTCCTCTTTGCTGCTCATCAGGGACCACCTGGCAAGGGTGTAAGTATTGCTGTGTGTGTGTGGGTGCTGGTGTGTGTGTTTGTGTGTGTGAGTGTATGGGGGGGGGGGGGGGGGGGGAGGGGCGTGTGTGTGTGTGTGAGTGTGTTTGTGTGTATGTGTCTTTGTGTGTGTCGTTGTGTCTGTGTGCGTGCGTGGGAGGTATTGAGCTTGCACTATGCTTACAGTGTAACTTGGCCCAGTGAATGGCAGTGCACTGTATGCATCATCACGTTCTTCTGTACACCGCCGTGCATACTGAGACAGTGGCAGCAACTACATCTCCTATGTTTTGTCCTTTTCCTCGTTTCTTTTTGTTCTCCACCTGTTTTTCAGTAGGGCTGTGTCAATAGTAAAAAAACCAAAAAAACAACAACACAACTGCAGCATTGCTTGTAGAATGGTTGGTGGTTCAATGTGGTGCTTTGGATGGCAGCCTTGATTCGCTGCCGAGTCAAAACAAGTCTACCTTAACGGTGAAGCAATGCTTGTATCAACATTTTATAAGTTATCATATTTTAATTTTCCATTTCTCGCTTGCTTGCTTGCGTTCTTTTCCAGTGCCCCAACTGTGGCGCCCACTACCCCGTCTCTGGTGGTGGAAAATTCAAGCGTAGCGTCGACTTCGAGGATGAACCCGCAACTGTTGACATGGTGAGTGTGTGTGTGCGTGTGTGTGTGCGTGTGTGTGTGTGTGTGCGCGTGTGTGTGTTCATGTGCATGTGTGTGTGTGTGTGTGTGTGTGTGTGTGTGTGTGTGTGTGTGTGTGTGTGTGTGTGTGTGTGTGTGTGTGTGTGTATGCTTGATGTGTATCTTGTTTTGACCCTAGTAGCATTGTCTGCTCAATGTGTAGGGTTCTATGGTGTAATGGTTAGCACTCTGGACTTTGAATCCAGCGATCCGAGTTCAAATCTCGGTAGAACCTTTTTTGTTGCGTTTGTATCTTTTTGAGGAAATGCCTGTACAGCATTTTCTTTGTGTGACCAAGAGTACATAACCAAGAGTGTGCAACTCGACGATCCCCCAGCCCACGGCGGAATTTTTTTATGACATCAGTCTTTGGCGGCTGTTTGGCTCGCTGATGCCATCTTGCGTAGCCCGAGATTAAAGTACAAAGAATTTGTACATCACAGCTACGGTAGTCGAAGCAGAACAACGGACGATAGATCGATGTGCTTTGAACCTGGTGAACTCTCACCGTATCTACAAAAAATGCGCGGGAAAGCATACGCACTTGATCATACTTCAGCCAAAGAATGACGCAATAAAAAAATTCCGCCGTGGGTGAACCCATCGCAGCTCAAGATAGGAGTTGCACACTCTTGGTTATATACTCTTGGTGTGACCAAGGAAGCCAAAAGTCTTCAGTTCAGATGTGGTGCTACGATTGCCTCATGAATGGCAGGGATTTGGACTGCATCGTTTTTTTGACAGCGGTATGATCCTGTGTCGTGTAGCTATCATGTCGGTTCAGCACACGTGGATGGACCGTCCGCTGTGCTTCTGCATTTACTGCAGCTGTCATGGGCAACTTCTTTGCATGTTCGATCTCTGGCAGCGCATGATCCGACCACTTAGCCAAATGGTAGTTAGTGGAAGGCTGTTTTCGTAAAGTAAAAAGAACAGAAAAAAAGATGTGCTGTGGGCTAACGGGTCATCAAATTGTACATCTTTGATCATCGACTCTTCGTATGGCTCAAGAACAAGCAATGCCCATGCACAGTAAAGCTAGCATTGTTCTCTCCCCCCCCCCCCCACAAAACATACGCTGGTGTACTTTCCCAATGGACGCACAGCCAACCGGCAGCAGTAGGCGGGTTGTAATGTTTGGTGTTTGACCGTGCAGTACCCCATTGCTTGGTTCCTGAGCAGATCATGTGACCTGGCACGTGTGTGCAGTCGTCACTTGGGGGGGGGCGTTCGTTTTTGATCTACAGGTTTGGGTAGAAACTACTTCTTTCGGTAGAGGTGCTCGTTTTTTGAAAAAAAATCTACTCAAAAGGGTAGATTCTACTTTCCTCTACCGGCTCTACCAGGAAAAAGTTGGTAGAATCCGGTAGAAGTTGGTAGAGCTACGGGATTTCCAGCAAGATCAAGGATTTGTACACAACTCCATACAAAAAAGAAACATTTCACGTACACAGCGTGTAAACTACTAAATCCGGTAGAACAGCGTTCGTACACGTGCCTCTACCATCTGCCTCTATCGGTAGAGGGACTCTACTCTACTCTACCAGGTAGCTAAAAACGAACGCAGCCTAAAGCTGTAGGTATGGGGTATTGTTGGTCCGAAACTTTTTTTTCTTCCAGTGCGTTATTCGGAAAGTGACAGTTTGATCACATCCCTTATTCGTTACGAAAATGGTTGTGCTGCAAGTTGTTTCGTTGGTTGATGTGTAGGGTTCTATGGTGTAATGGTTAGCACTCTGGACTCTGAATCCAGCGATCCGAGTTCAAATCTCGGTAGAACCTGATTTTTTCTTGCGCTTCTTTTCCATGCACTGCATGCGCCTCGCAGATCTTGTTTTGAAAGCAAACTCATTCCTGACCTGGTCCCCATGCTTTCAATACTGCTTTGGGCCATGTGCGACTTTTTTTGTTGAGTGCAGCAGGGCGATTGGTTGTGCACACTGTTATGCGTGGAGGTGACCGTATTCCGTGCATAGCTCTATTTGATGTGCATACTCTCCTTGACATCATGGATGTGCATGCACCCTCTCTGGAAAGCGGTCCATCGGGTCGGGTCCCTCTCTGGGAAGCGGCCCATTGGGTCGGGTCCCTCTCCGGAAAGCGGTCCATCGGGTCGGGTCCCTCTCTGGAAAGCGGTCCATCGGGTCGAGTCCCCCTCTGGGAAGCGGCCCATCGGGTCGGGTCCCCCTCTGGGAAGCAGCCCATCGGCTCGGGTCCCTCTCTGGAAAGCGGTCCATCGGATCGGGTTAAAGCCAACAATGCACTATAAATGTTGCCATGACCTCAGTGTATCAGTGTTGGACTGAATGCTTTCTTTGTTCCAGAAGTGGTCGGCTGCACCTATTCGCATTGCTCACTCTCTTCTTTTCTCTGTCTCCCTCTATTTCCTTGTCACCTCGTTAGGTTGAGAACTTCTTCCATGAGCTCTCAGGTCTGAAGGAGAAGCTCTCTACCCACCATTGCCCCAGCGGTAGCAAGGAACAGCCTGGACGTGACTGTGCTGATCTCAAGCTCTGCAATCCTGCTATCAAGTCAGGTAGGTCGAGCTTGCCGGGTGTGCCGTCCGTGTGTGTGTGTGCGTGCGCGCGCGTGTGCATGTGTTCCTGCATGCTTGCATGCGTTTGTGCATGCAAGCATGCATTTGGTTCATCTCCTATCTCCTGTATCTGTATGTGTCTTGCCCGGCAGCAGCCGTACGCCTCTGTCTATTTTTGAATGAATGTGTCGGTCTCTATCGATGCCTCTGTTTGAACAACTCTATCTGGCTTTGTTGGCACTCCTGTGCTCGACTTTGTTTGAGTCTTTCAGCCTGTATTTTGTGAACTTCACATGGAAGCACATTAATTATGACTTCTGGTTTCTGCAATTTCAATTTGCATTGATTTTCTTGGGGCTCCGGACATGTGCCTGAGACCACCAGGGACTGTTGCCAGTGAGCCCCTCTTCCCCTCAGTTACAGCTGTTCCCTTACTAAAGAGTATCATCCCTGGACTGTTGCTGTGACTGTGTGCTGCTATACAGGTACATACTTCATTGATCCCGATGAGGGCTCACCTCTGAACGCCATCCAGGCCGTATGCAACTTTGACGTGGAGAAGGCAAAGACTTGCGTCGAGGTGAGCTTCTGATTTTGTCCAGACGTCACCGTTCCTGGTGAACGTCATCTACCAATACTTTGAATTAAAATGGAAAGGGATTTTGTGAATAGCGGCCCTATTAATACGTATTGGCTCACCATCCGAGATTTTTTCTGTTCTTGCTTGCTTCCATGTCCGCCTTCCCTTGCAGCCCCTTGAGTCAAGCAGTCACTTGTCGTTCCTGCGTCTCCTCCATCACACCGTCGAGCAGAACTATACGGAGTCTTGCAAGAATGCCAATGGTGTCAAGGATCTCCTCTCGGCCGAGCTCAACGAGCCGCTCAACCTGGACAGCAAGCACCTGCATGTCGTCCAGCACACGCCCTGCAAGGTCAGCTATGCACATGTACACACTCGTGCAGGCGCGCATGCACCTGTGCGCGCGCGCGCACACACACACACACACACACACACACACACACACACACACACACACTCACACGTGCACACACACACACACACACACACACACACACTTGTCACTTGCAATGCATGTGATATTTTTGCTGCTGAAAAAGTGTGAAAATGCTCTTGGATGGCATGTCTGAACAAGTTATGCATGATCTTTACAGTAGAGAATCGGGTGAAGTTTGTTCTCCCCATACCATTGTCAACTTGCTGTCCTGATGAGGTTATGAGCTGCTCCCAGTAATGAAGGAAAGAAGGATGGAAGATTTAGTGTATACTGACACGTGTGTGTGTGTGTCTGTCTGTCTGTTTGCCCGTGTGCCTATGTGTGTGTGTGTGTGTGTGTGTGTGTGTGTGTGTACATGGTGAGTGTGTGTCCGTCTGTCTGTTTATCCGTGTGTCTGTCTGTGTGTGTGTGTCCATATGTATATGTAATTATGTGTCTGTATGTGTTTTGTGTTTTGTCCTACACAGAGCACGTCGGGTGAGACTACCATCCAGCTGCAGACATCACGCACTGACCTGCTGCCGGCACTGCCCGCCATGCCGTCAACCACTGGCCAGTCGTCGCAGCTGTGCTTTGCTTGAAGCCCGTGCGTGCTCTGCGGTCACCACCGACACCATCATCGGTAATAACAACTCACTGCTGCCGTGTGCGCAGTGACACGCCTCCACCCCAACCATGGTGCTCCGCTGTGGTTGTGTTCGTGATCAAACAGTTGCTGATTTAGCAGAATCCCAACTGTACTTAGTTGTTGCCACCTTCGGTACGGCACGGCATTGCCTTGCTGTGCTGGAGGTGGTAACGACAGTGGATAATTCTTTTCCTCTCTGTATCTCCCTGTGTCTGTCCTTGTTGTGCTGTTATTCTCTCGTCTGCTTCTTGTTGCTATCCAACTGCTTTGAAGTACAAGCCCACGTTTCTCAAGCGTTGTTTGTGCGCGCTTGGTTGCCATGCCCAGCTACGTTGTCAGCCCGTTCACTCTAGTTTTACTTGGCACATGTTGCACCTGCACATCCCCCACTCCCAGTATCCCCCCCCCCCCCCCCCCACACACACCACATAGCACTGCACTCGCTTCGCAAGCACCTCGACATAGACTAACTTGTTTTCGTAGATATTTTCAGACTCTTTGTCAGCTGTACATCATGTAAGTTCACACAAATGCTTTGTTCTCTTTGTATTATGATTGTAACCGTGTACATGATCGTGTACTAAGTTCATTGCTGCTAGCTTTTCTTGTCGTTTTTTTTATTAACATTCTGGCCGCAATGGCTTTCGTCTTACAGCAATTGCGTTCCAGAACTGCAAGTAGTAAAGCGATTTTATGATGAGATTATTTTTGAGCTTCCTTAGAAACCATTCGACGTGTTTGGAGCTTTCAGCTATGTAGCACGACACGGAGGGCTGGATTTGAGTAACTTTGAAGTCTGGAGTAAAATGGAAAAGGAATGGATAGGAAACATAATGTAGAGGGGCCTGCATAAACAGTCCTGGTATCTAAATATGGCGCCAGCACCCAAGAACGTTCAAAGGACTATTGGCGCTCACACTACAGCTGAATTAGGGTAATAAGCCACACAATTCGAGTATAAAGGGGAGCCACTTCATTACATGTATGGAAAAAAGAAAGACATGAAGATCTTAGAGCGTTTCATAGGCGTGAACCAACACCAAGGCCAGCACACATTCACCTACTTTCACTTTTTATACATAAAGAGCCCCCCCCTTGTGAACGTATATCACAAGCGGGGGAATGGGCCGTTAGACGATCACCTCGTGTAACCAGTATCTTCCAACAGAGTGTCATCGCTTGTCTCCGAGGACAATGTACATGTGCTTACTTGGATATTTGATATGCACAATCTACAACAGAGTATTAGGAGTTCAGACTTAGCGTCAAGCTTGTGTTAAAACACTAAGAGTTCAGCTGGAAGCCTGCGATGCTCCCATTGCAGAGCGTCCTCTTCGCAGAGGTACATCTACTAGTACTTGCACGCGCTCAACAGTATCCTGCCTAATTTGTACTTGCAAGCGCGGCTGTGTAGCCTTAGTCGCTGGCTCGCGAGTCGGTACGGAACTAGTTTGGCTGGTGCCATCAGGATCACACTTAATCCCATGTGCAGAGGGTTGAGCATCTTCTTTGCTTGCACGGCTACCCCGTTTCGACGACGTTACAGCGCTATTTTCCCTCCCTGTTGCTCCAGGTTCTTTCTTTACCGCTTTTGCAGGTGATGGCGTTTTCTTGTTGGGCTTGTTGTCAAGTGCTGCCTGTTTGCCTTGGCCACCCGGTGGATGTTTGCTCGATGGTCGCGCTTTTGGTTTGGGCTTTGTCGGCGGAATATGAGCACCGCCTGTGCTTGCAGCTTTCTGTGAGGCTTGCACGTCACTGCTCGGCGCATGTGCATGCATTTTCTTCCGCTTCGCGCTCGGAGCGTAATCTGCTGAAATATCATCATCACCATCATCGTCGTCATCATTGTTAGCATGGTCATCATTCTCTTTTAGAGGCTTTCTCGGTTTCTGCTTGCGTTTCACAGTTTTCTTCGTATTCGTCTGTTTCTTTGGCGGAGTCTTCGGTGTAGCTGGTAGCGGCGGTAGGTGTGCTACGCCCTCTTCAAACCATGTCGGTACGTCACGCTTCGACCAGGTCGCAAACGATCGCTTGTGCAGCAGGTACATCTTGCGGTACGCCTGGCATGCGTCTGGCAGATAGCAGTCTTCCGGCATGGCCAGCGGTAAAGGCGTTGCCCCCGGCAGCAGTGGCCCCGTGGAGAAATACACCGGCTTGCGTGGCTTTGGCAGTTCGCCGTTCGGCAAGCGCCCGTCGTGACCTGGCGGAGGAGGGAATTGCGGCAGATTGTCTTTCAGCCAGTCAATGTGCACCTCCGTCTTATGCTGCTTACCATAGCGGTGCGTGAACTCGCTGCACAGCTCCTTGGCAATCCCTGCCAACAGGCTGTAATTGCCTTGGCACGTACGCACCCAGATGGCAGTGGGATGCTGCGAGTGGGTTTTGCGATAGCCTCCCAGAGGAGCACGCTTCCTCCAGCTCTCGTCGTCGACGCTGTTTACGGCGTGTGCGGTGTACAAGAGTTGTGCATACTCTAAGATCATCTTCACCACATGCTTATCGCAGTGATATCGGGCACATTCGGCCGCCACTTGAGAGAGGAAGAAGAAATTCATAGTTCAGGTTGCCGCTACTAGAGTGGATGACCCCTAGCTCAAAACTTCAAAGTCGTTGCAGAAAACAACAAAAATAAATTGTCGCATCTCATCGTCGTAGATTGACGTTGGCCGGCTATTGCTACTCTCGGGATTTCCATAACCCACCATGCATCAAGTCAAGACCATCACAGTCTACGTACGATCTGCATCATTCTGCAACACTCGGAATGCTACAGTACAGGCAGGATCCAGGAACGAAAACGTCAACAGAAAGGGAGACGCAGCATCGAACCTTGTCCTTGTGTTCGTGACGAGCTCGAGGACGTGATTTTGAATGAACCTGGACACGCCGAACACTAAAAGATGACGACGCCGTGCACGAGACAGTGGGTCTCCACCAGGGAGTCGTCATTTAGTATTTGACGACTCCCTGGTCTCCACGGATCCGGGTGGCGTCGTTATCTTCCACTCCCTGGTCTCCACGGATCCGGGTGGCGTCGTTATCTTCCACCTGAAACAAGCCCCGGGCCCCTTTCAGCTTTTAATAAGGGCGCGCTCACACTGCGACCAAAACCAGCGTCCATGCGGCCATGCGGCCAAGTTGCATGGCAACGGCATGAACTTGACCAAAACGTCGCGGCCACGTTTCAAATCGTGACCGCGACCTCCGGAGGGGGGTGCCACGACTTGGCGGCAACATGGTCGTAGACGTGAAGCGTATTTGTGTACAACCTGGCCTGAAGTATGTTCAATTTCTCAAATTCCGGTGTGTTGATTCATGAAACTCGGCGGTTGTCGATGTCATCCTCGACATTTGCCCATTTTTTGAAATTTGTAGTTGTGGTCCTGCACGCACGCACCGCCATATATGCATTCTTTCAAATTTCTTTGCCCTTTTTGGACCATGTCAATTTTGTTTTTGTTTTTGTAGTTGCTTCGTTGTCGACATGTCAGTTGATCGGGTCAGTGACCAATTTCTACAGTGTACTCGTTCAATACGATGACAGCTTGGTCTGGCTTTTCGGTTTGGGAAATCATCTTTCTCTACTTTTATGCGATGATGGAATGCCATACCTCAAGACAGACAGACAGACAGACAGTTATATCCTCGGAAAATACAGTTCTCATCTCGGCAACAGACAAAAGAAACCACTACCGGAATTTCCACTGCACTGGCACTTGCTCTGACCACGAGGTCAGGAAAGCGAAAGCCCTTGGTTGTCAGCGGCAGCCCCTCAAGAGTCCAAACCTATTGTATGAATTATTTTCGTCGACTTCGAGAATACGAGCCACGAGGCACTTCCTCCAACATGCAACATGCGAAAAATTACATCCAAAACGGGCCACAACTTTATTAGGAAATGCACGAACTCTTTTGGATACGAACTGCAATTCGTAAAGTTTGTGTGATAACTTCACGTCTACTCGTGTACGAGGCCTAGTGTGAGCACGACTGCCACGTTTCTGCGTTTTGCTGACGCATGGACGCTTGCTCATGGTCGCAGTGTGAGCGCGCGCTCACACTGCGACCATGAGCACGCGTCCATGCGTCAGCAAAACGCAGAAACGTGGGAGTCGTGCTCACACTAGGCCTCGTACACGCGTAGACGTGAAGTTGTCTCACAAACTTTACGAATTGCAGTTCGTATCCAAAAGAGTCCGTGCGTTTCCTAATAAAGTTGTGGCCCGTTTTGGATGTAATTTTTCGCATGTTGCATGTTGGAGGAAGTGCCTCGTGGCTCGTATTATTGAAGTCGACGAAAATAATTCATACAATCAGGTAGGTTTGGACTCTTGAGGGACTGCCGCTGACATCCAAGCGCTTTCGCTTTCCTGACCTCGTGGTCAGAGCAAGTGCCAGTGCAGTGGAAATTCCGGTAGTGGTTTCTTTCGTCTGTTGCCGAGATGAGAACTGTATTTTCCGATGATATGTAACTGAAATGTCTTGAGGTATGGCATTCCATCATCGCAGAAAAGTAGAGAAAGATAATTTCCGATACCGAAAAGCCAGACCAAGCTGCCATCGTATTGAACGAGTACACTGTAGAAATTGGTCACTGACCCGATCACAACGAAGCAACTAGAAAAACAAAATCGACATCGTCCAAAAAGGGCAAAGACTACATATATGGCGGTGCGTGCGTGCAGGACCACAACTACAACATTTTAAAAATGTGCAAATGTCGAGGTGACATAGACAACCGCCGATTTTCATGAATCAACACACCGGAATTTGAGAAATTGAACATACTTCAGGCCAGGTTGTACACAAATACGTTTCACGTCTACGATCATGTTGCCGCCAAGTCGTGGCACCCCCCTTCGGGGGTCGCGGTCACGATTTGAAACGTGGCCGCGACGTTTTGGTCAAGTTCATGCCGTTGCCATGCAACTTGGCCGCATGGCCGCTTGGACGCTGGTTTTGGTCGCAGTGTGAGCGCGCCCTAATGTCCAGCAGCTCGTGGCAGTCAGCAAATCTTTAGTCTGAATCTCAGTATGTCAGCACTGACTACTAGAGGGATTAAAATTTCGCTGTTTTCGCGAATACATTATTGTAGCCAGGGAGTAGTACAATACTGTACTACTCCCTGATTGTAACGCCGCAAACTGCCCAGGTTGTACATTGCTTTAGTCCAACTGAGGGGATAAAATCGCAAATTGGTCCAGCATTAACCAGCGCAGTTATTCTTGAAAATGAAAACGCGAACATGTATGAGTGTCCCTCCACAGTAGATGCAGACCAGAGCAAGCATTTCTGTGCGTCACATGTCGCATAGCACCACTGTCGTACTGCCCTATTTCACATACTGGTACTGGGACGTATTGACTCGTGCCAATCGCACAATCAAATTCAACGATCGCGCAGCACAGAAAATGTAAAATAGGTCAGTCGACCCGGTATGCTAGAGGATAGAGATACTGTGGATAGGATAATTTGATCTACTTCGGTACGTAGAGCGAGAGAAGGAAAGGAAAATAAATTAAATAACTAAATAAACAATTACTGCCAGCAAGAGGAGACAATTGTCATGATACTCAAGTCCTCCAAATTATCCAAATTCTGCTGCATGAAGGCATGCATGTATACACAATCATGTAGAATATTAATCAAAAAATAATAGAAGTTAGAAAATATATGTAGCAGCGTCCCTTTCGCAGCGAGGATGATCGCGGAAAGTAGTTTTCGCACTGAAAGAAGCTGAGAATGTGTGCAATCTACCAGAATGATGCGCTGATAGCCAGTGGCGCAATGAGCCAGTGGCGCAAGCACAAGAGAAGAAAGTTAGAGACAGATCTGAGAAGGGAACAAATCAAGTAAAGAAACGTTTATACACGGAAATCAGTAAAGTTTGCGCGTCCGCATTACAGCCAGCTATAATGCAATTGTGTGCAGAAGGTTTGAAGCACGCCCTGTTTAGGAAGTTGTGGCAGCCGTTTTCATGGAAAGTATGGCAGTACCGGAGAAAGGGACACAGGACATAGTCCATCAGCTCATCACACGGTCTCGATCTACAAAAAAAAACAGAGAAGTGCAAAGGGCCCAGTTCTGGTATTCCAGTGTACAGTGATGGGCATGCAATGAAATGGAACGAGATATCAAAGCGGGTGAACAGTAGCAAGCATGCGGGCGGGCCAGACAGTCGGATACTGATAGGACATAGATAGTCGATATACGTCACGAATAGAGCCTCTGTCATTACACTCAATGCGGGCGAAGACGCACTGAAGATCAGTGCAAGTCGTGTCGCTGATCCGCAGTAGTAGAGTGTTTGAAGGGCAGCGGTATACGTGTGCAAGTACTGCATCAGTACTACTGTGAACCACCTACACCATACACACTTGAGATACACCAACACCAGAGTCCATTGGTAGAGTGCACCTGCAACTTTAGCAGCACAGAGACCATCCGTTCTCGCTGTGTGCGATTGACCCCGCTCGGGAGAGCGCCGTTGAGCAAGCAAGCAAGCAGATCGATCGGTTCACCTGGGAGCAGTGCGGTGTTCTCCGACAGCCGGGACTGTACCGGTATGGCCATTGACACACTGCAGCATAACAGCAGTGCACAGCACAGCAGTGCTACCAAGACAGGTGAGGCACGGTGGAGTCGCTCACGCTCGTGCTGGCACTCGGTGGTGTGACAGCTGAGGTCCACGTTACCTTGACGGAATCTCGCATCGGCTTGATCGGCTAGCCGATCATCCGATATAGGACGTGCAGCGAACTTCGATGATGTCTGATCAGCTGACCCGCCATACGAGTCTTGGTACATGGTGTATCAGCTCAGAGTACTCCGATAGCTAGGACACTGTCAGCAGTGGATCAAACATAGAAGAGGCCGTTGAAGCTCTTTTCTCCCTTCTTGTCATCAGCAACGTTGGTGTGCACGAACGGGCACTGAATGGCAAGAGAGTGGAAAATGCACGGGAACAACGCAAACAAAGAGAAAGTAACCTATCAGAATATTGCAATTATTGATACACGAGCAATATGAGCACATGACTCTGCATCAAGGAAAAAGTCATGATCTACAGCTTATAGTGACAGTAACCGAAATCATCAGGTAGTACCGTAAAGTCCGGAGCAAATGCCCACCCCATTTTTGCAAGATCTGCTGGCCTGTACACACTGACCCCATGCACTGTCACCCCTACTGTACGAAAGTGCATCTCACACCGTAGCGGGAAGAGCACTTTGCTACGGTAAACTATGTCCACTTTCCTGGTTTCAAAATCTCTTTGGGCACTAGCGCTATAACCACGAGCTAGCTAGCTCGTAGTGATTTTATAATGATGGTTGTTTTATTTCGCAAATCCGAACGGGTTTTCTTCCGAATAACAAGGTACCGAAGAACAGAGTATTGAAGGAACCAAATACACTTCTGACGGTGTTTCAAGCCATCATTTCGAGATCACACAGCGCCCAAAGGCAAATGTTTTTCTTGGGCACTTCGGAGTTTTCAACAAGTTAGCAGCGACGTTGTAGGTGTAGCTTCTGTTACATACCCTGTTCGACTTGCAACTGCAATATTGGGACCAGTCAAGCCGTTGACTGACGCTTCATCAGAACAATTATTGTTCCTGACAGCGCGAAATCGTGGCACTGCACAAATTTATGCGGCATTACTCGTACCACATGGGGAATGAACTACCACATTTACTGAATAAAAGGAAATCTCGACAGAAGTTATTTCTTTGCAGGAAGATAATGACAATCGCTTTTGCACAGCCTCCTGGTAGGACATAGGCAGTTTGTAGGCATTACAGTCGTTCTCGTACGCATTCGACCTTCATGCCAGTTGTTTACAACTATATTGACCTGAAAAAGACGAAAATAGTATGGACCCGCTGGGGTGGGCGTTTGCTGCGAAGTGGGCGTTTGCTCCGGACTTTACGGTAAACGCGCCAAATTGCCTGTTCTGCGCATACGCATCCACATAGAATGGAGTTGAAGCAATTGGGAATACATACCAGTCAACCACAATCACATTTTCGCACACTGCATGGTGGAGTCAAGGTGAAGTATGTTAGATAATCACGACCGCCCCAACTCACTCCCGGACACGCACTCACAACAACGTCCACAACGAGTTCTTTGGCGAACAGTGTTCATATAATTATTGGAGAAGAAGCAGAGAATGTGGGAGAGCGAAAAACACAAGTTTGTTCCACGGCCAACTCTAACCTAACTGGAACTGATGTAGTTCTTCGTTGTACGCACTGTACGCATGAGAGCACGCCAGTTGCATGCCAGCGCGCAAGCGAGCAATGAACATGAAACGGACACCAGAAGTAAAAGGATCTGGCGGTGACACAAAGTCAAAGGGAATGTATTACATGTCGGGAGACCATCAATGAGCCACGGTAGCCGGCGGGTGCAACAAGGAATGTAAGATAGAAGTTAGAGCAACGAATACCATGCATACTCTCACAAGTAGTTATAAATATCACAACATACGGGTTCAAAAGGATCGCCGTTCAATCGCTGTAGCTGGAACCTGCCAGATATCAGGTGTAATGTAGATAGCGATGTCAGGGTAAATTTCTGTTTTGAGAATCGGGCAAATATTGTAATACCATCCGATTCCTGAAGACAAGTAGAGTATACTGGCAAAGTTTGAAGCAAATCGGAGCAAATATAGTGGACTTATTCCAGTTTAGAGTGCGCGGGGTAAGCGCCGCCATTGTCGAAAAGCACCATGCCGCACTGTACACAAACCAGATCTCACCACGGCACAAAATCGGTCTTGACAACAGGGATCGCGGCTCATGAATAATCTTGCGCACTGTACAAAATGTACATACCGTAGCTGTACTGTTTTTTTGTTGTTGCTGCAAACTGTTGGAGAAATTCAAGAAGACTGTTGAAGAGTAGCCGAAGTATGAGTTGTGATTTGGCCATTCTCCAAGACAAGAAGAGTTCGACAAGTAGATTATGATCCTGGTTGTGGTCCGCTTTGAACTTCATCAGTTCTAACACCAATGCATTTGAAACGTTTCCGATCATGCTAGGCAGGGGCTTATCCTGCAATAGCTGCTCCTCCTGGAGTCCAAGACTCGACAAAACATCTTCACCGCCTGTCCCTTTGCTGGACGAACACTCATGATGGCGGTGTATCCAGCAATGGAGTACCTGTCGCGAAAAATACTACAAGTCTGGTGCGCGGCGTGATACGCCGGTGAAACTTGGCACCAAACTAAATTGGACGACGGGGAACACGATGAAACTAAAATCAAACCTGTATCAGGCAGCGCAAGAGATGAAAAAGGCGACTGAACATACGCTAACTTGTCGGCGGCCATACTCCCAGCTCCGTAGGCGCAGCGCGCCCGCACAAACGCGGATACGAAAGTTCATCTTCTATTTTCGTGGCAATAGTCACGACCAAGCTTGTCACTGACGTCTTCAGGTCACATTTGAATATCCCGCGTGCCAAGTACTGCACGCTCTGGCCGCGACTGGCATTCTGCCGTACTGGCCTTTTGTGCCATCATTTCAGCTGGTTGCTAGGGAATCCAGCGACAAGCGTGGAGGTCACGTGGCACGGCACTCTGACATCGCTAATGTAGAAGTAGGTGACCAGCATTCCCTTCACATACAGTCCATACTCTGGTGCCTCGTAGGTATGATCTCAATTTAGGTGCCTGGTTTCTGTACCGAAGTACAGTAGAACCTGTGACTAAAGACCACCCCTCGGGGCCAGAGAAAGCGGTCTTTAGTGGCAGGTGGTCCTTAGTTAGAGGTTTGCAACGCACAACTATAATTATTATGTGAATGTGAGACCGTCCGTGCCTGGCGCAGTGGTCGGTTGTACCAGGCTGGTCGCTAGTCACGGTGGGTCTTTAGTTACAGGTTTTACTGCGACCGAAATTAAAGTTCCACCGAAAATAACGTGTTCACTGTTTATAGAGTAAATCTGACTTACATGTCGGCACCCACAGCCGCAGCACTTGCCGCGATTGCGATGCGAAAACGACGTCTGCACGTAGTTGCCTGTTTCCGGATCACGGTAGAACTTCTCACGCAGCTGTGTCCCAAACATACAGAACGGAGCAACAACGACATTTTAGATAACAGCAGTGGCTGCCCTCAGGGTACGGCGCCCCATAGCATAGGTTAAACTATTCCCTCGAAAGACGATTATGTTCATTTTCGGATACTAGTACTGAGCCAATAATAAAACGCAACAGTAAAATGACATATGGATACGAGTTACGAGTAACTGTACATCACTGTAACTACATGATATGCAGCCAGAACGTGTAATAACATGGCACACAACTGCCAGATTTCTGGGAGATTCAATTTCCTAATTGGAAGGCTGTTGGATTGCGCATGGGAGATTCGTTGGAGCTAGGTGTCAGGTCCTTAAAGGTCTCGTTAATCTGTCAGTTTTGTGCCTTGCTATCGCACTTTCTGACTGCACATTATCTGGTTGCAGTGGTGGTGAACAGTTACTCATAACTCGTATCCATGCGTCCTATTAATTTTTATGCTCACTTTCATTTGTCTGTTATTTTAGCTTCATTTTACTTCACCATAAGCAAAGGCAAAATCTGTCTTCTAACTGGGCGTATTGCCACAGTTCTCACAAAATGATGAATGATCATTTCGCATCAAGGCCATGATCGTAATCTAGTCATGACTGAATGTCATCGTGACGAAATGGTAGGTTGATGAGGGTATACATACTTGCATAGATGTGTGGTGAGCGAAGGCTATGTCTTGGTGCTCATCGGACAATTTTTGATAGACATCCAACTCCTGAACATCATCAATGCTGTCCAGTTCAATGATCCTCGGGTCCACTTCCGATTTCTCTGATTTCTTCGTGCTGCTCTTCTTGGGCTTGGCGGCATCGCCACTGCTATCAGTACTAGTAATAGGGGACGACGACATTGCCACACCTCTTACGATGCTGAGACAGGGTGCTGCTGCTTCGGGTATTGCTTGAAATCTAAGCCGACTACGAACGCAGGATTTGGCTGAAGACAATGAAATTTTCTGTCCTGCCCTAACTAGGAGCAAGCTGGTCATTCTGAAGGCCCACGATGGACTCGCCACACCACGATCGAGGCTCCTCCATCCACTGCCTTCACTTCCAGTACGACTTCTCTTTCAAAGACATTCACCGTGTTCACTGGCTGGGCCAGTGTACGACTCGTAGTCGTAGAGCTAGAGCGGGTTTGATTAAATTTTATTTGAGACACACAATTTTTGCCATCAATCATTTTTTGAAAGAAAGAGATCATCTGTTTCCTGCGCCATTTTGCGTTTCCATGACCGTTCCTTAGTCACGTGAACGTCCTGTGAGCGCCATCGGAGTGCTGCACCCGAGCTGTGAGTACAGAAAAACGCAGCTACAGCTGCTGCAACGTGATGTTTGAATATCGACAAAACCAGAACGAGAGATCGAGACTCGAGAGGCGTCAAAAATATTCCCCAGTGTGTGATGTGGAAGGTAGTTTTCTCGTGCTCCCTTGTCATACTAGCTCTATCAGCCACTCTTCACGTCTCCTTTCGCGCCCCACCAGTCACGATGTCCCGATCTGCCTTGCCTACTGTGATGAATGCCATTCGCGTGGCCAGATTCGGTGGTCCTGAGGTGCTGAAATTGGAGAGCAATGTCCCCATGCCTCAGCCATCGGAGGGCCAGGTTAGCATTGATTTCATGTAGAATGATGTTAGGCAATAGAGCGGATAGTCCAGCGGGGATAACACGTCTACATGGTCTCTATTCACACGATCTTGTACCTGTCAGGCGCTGGTGGTGGTATTTTTTTGTCCCCATCTCGTCAGCAGTGATATGAATCTCACATTGATTGTGACTGGAATTGAAGTGTTCAAATTAGCAAAGCTGATCGTATAAAGTGTATATGTGCTTGAGAACAGCTTTATTCACTAATCGCGTGAAATCATGACGTAAAAATCACGTTTCGCGTGAGACTCAGCTGGGAGTAAGAACCAAAGCAAAAAGACAACCCAAATTCGGAAATAAATACATGTAGAACATTCAATTGAAATGTAAGTTTGAACTCAAAAGCTTGACAAGAAACCATTACCTACATTGTAAATTGCCTGCAGGCATGCAAAGGCGAAGTCACGCATCTGTCCCTGTCAGCCCAGCCGGTGGCAATACCGGTATGCTGCAAAGGGGCTCCCAACCTTGCGGCGAATCTGTGCGTGCGCTACTACCGGCGTCTCGTTAAACTGCTCACTGCAACGTTGCAGAGCCACCAGTAGCTGGGTGTTGCAAGGATGAGCTCTCCGTGCTCTGCAGTGTTGGGTCAGATCAGGTACACCAGCCGATTTGTGTGTGTGTGTGTGTGTGTGTGTGTGTGAGAGTGTGTGTGTGTGTGGGGGGGGGGGGGGGGGGGGGGTACTCATGCACCCGGTTGCACACATGGGTGCCCTTGTGTGTATTATATTGTCGCTCTGTCCCGTTTGTCCATCCAGGTACTGTTGCGTGTGCACGCGGCGGGAGTGAACCCGGTGGAGACCTACATACGCGCTGGCACGTACGCACGCAAGCCAGAACTACCCTTTACACCTGGCAGTGACGCCGCGGGCGAGATTGCTGATGTCGGCGCGGGAGTGAATAATGTCAAGGTTAGAATTACCTATATATTCATAAGGTTGAGGGAGTTGAAAGTGGGAAAAGTCTGGAGAGAAAATTGACTGTCACCGCCAGGACTCGAACCAGGATAGAATTTACTGTTCATGGAACGACCCTTATAGAATATTCTCGGCATAAACATATGATTGGTCTTTTCCAATGGTGTAATGGTGCCTCTCGAATGGTATTTGCCGGCGTATTAAGAAAGAAGAAAAGAAAAAAAGTAATGCTGTACCTGTGATAAACTCGCCAAACAACACCATCGAATTTCTCCGCTCCGTGTGGTCACGATTTTGTCTTATGCATATACTGTATGGCTGCATGGAGTTTGTGTCTGATGTTAACGTTAGCGTTATCGAGGATCTGTATTGTATTTTATTATTTTTAGTCGGGCATTCCCAACAGACCCTATTTAAGGTCTTCTTGCAACTTGTAACAAGGGTGCCGCCCAAGGTGAATGCGTGTGCTCAGTTCCTGGCGAAATGAATCGAACACTGCTGCAATTGCCTTGAACCCAAAGCTATGCAGGAGTTGCATAGATTGCAGAAAGCAGGCCATCGTGAACTTGGCATCCAAAGACGTGGAGGAGGTATAGTACGGGCCAAATACATCAAAATTCGACGTCAAGTCTCGCCAAATGACCTGCAGCACATACTCTGTGCGATTAGTGTTGTCAACACTGCCAAGCTCATAGAAAATATCATTCAGAGACGCCATATCTTCATCAGTCATGGCTAGGCCGTATATCTCTTCACTCTTGCTATTCCATAGGACCTTAGAGACGACTTTCACCTCATCAAAGATGATCAGCCCTTCACCCAAGGGCTTCAGGCTTCCGCTGGCTTCACTTCGCTCCTGGTGCTGTTGGTAACGTTGCTGTTGGTAGTGAATACCTTCCTCACACCACCCTGGCTTGTCAATTCTTGCACTTGTAAAGTGGTTGAGTGAACGAAGACTCGGGAGTTGTAGTACGCCCAAGTCCTTCAGTGCTTTATAAGCTGCTGTACTGCGGCACTTTACAGCCAACGCCAAACGATACGTCACCATGCTCCACCTGTTGCCACGCAATCCCGTCTTGTTCTTGCTCTGGTCCTTCTTAACTGCATCAATGACCGCCACATCCTCCTTCCACGCATCATGTATGAGGTCACTGTGCTCCGGATTCAGGTTAATGGCTTCACTGAGCTCCTTGCCGAATTTGTAACTAATTATCGTGCACGCCTTGGACATCTCAGAAGACTGACTGTCAGACAACACAAGCACCATGCGCTTGTACTTTGCAAGATCCCTAGACGATTGACGCCGATCAGATCGGACATGCTGAGCTCGAGTTTTTCTGCTATTCGGTGACATATACTTGAGTGGTGCTTTAGAAGACGTTTCCGTGCGCTTTGCCTTGACATCCACATCAACACTCTTGGCACGCCTCAGGATAACTTGCAGCTCCTTCTCCAGCCTCTTCCAAGCCGAGCACGACACTGTTGACATCGCCTTCATTTCCTTGGGAGCATTCCTGGGGATTTGAAACCAGATCTGGCACTTATGCGAGTCAAAGCGACGAAACGGCATGGACCACACTCGTATTCCCTTTGGCTCATATGGCATGCTACTGTACTGTCCATCAGTGTCATCAAGGCCAGGACAAAACTTCCATCCAGAGGAAGCAGGGAGCGAGGCGAGGTGTGGGTTCAGCTTGGACAAATTTCCACAACAGCTGCCCTCACCCACAAAGCCACCAAAAAGGGCCTCAAACACATATCCACCATTACTCTTGACAAGAAGCCTTGCCACAGGAACTGGGGAACTGTGGGCAGAGACTGCAACGTTAGTGGAGGAAGAGACTTCAATCCAAACTTCCTCTTTCAGCTGCAGCTCACAGCAACGAAGTTCAGCATACTCCGGACCCAACTGGTTGAGGTGACGGCGGACATCATCAACGGACACTCTGCAGGGCTCTTGGGCTCCAGTTCGTGAAGCTGAGTACGACAAAAATACCCGTTTGGGTGCAGGAACAAACTTGGAAATTCCCAAAGAAGACGCAAGGCGTTTTGGGGTTTGCTCGTTGCTCGTACTGCAAGCTTGTAAACAAGAAGCCCGAGGAGAAAGAGGAGGAGAGGGAGTATTACTAGCGTCAGAAACAGGAAGAGTAGCGTCCAGTCCTGAAGCAGGAGTCTCCATTCTCCGTCACTACACTCTTCCTTCCTGAAACAGTTCTCAACAAGAAATAATAAATCAATTTTGCCTTTTGGACATGTTTCTTCACCACGAAGGACACGTCGCGTCGCGCGTCAGTGAAAAAAGAAAGAACAGAAAAGTGGCGCAGTTTTCCAACATTTCCTTTCCACGACTTCTTCGTGTTTGGCCGGTTTCAGTCAGTTAAAATCGAATTTCCCCATCGCGAAACTCTGCCCTCACTCTGCCGTCTAGCGCGTCTGGCGCCAGTTTGTGGGCCAAAGTGCGATCCGAAGACTGCAAAACATCGCGCACGCCGCGCACCATGCAGTTGAACTAGGAATTCCGATGAACCAGATCCCATGAGTGGAGTTGCACACACTGGTGTAGTTATGTACTCTTGTAACAAGGGTGCCGCCCAAGGTGAATGCGTGTGCTCAGTTCCTGGCAAAATGAATTGTGGATATGAATAGTGCGAAGGGATTCGGGGAGTGTGCGTTAAAACAGGCTATGTTGCTCTTGCTCTTGTATTTTATATTAGTTTTGTGTGAATGGATTCTCCACAGGCCTTGACCTGAATCGAGGGACTTTCTTTTTGGTGTTTGTTTTGACAACGTGGTCCAGGTTGGTGACCGTGTGTTCACACGCTCTGCGCAAGGCGCCTACGCGCAGTACGCCCTGGCCAGTGCTGGCGACGTCCAGCCGCTCTCCGCCAAGCTGACGTACGAGCAGGGAGCTGCCCTGCCCGTGCCGTACCTCACCGCGTACCGCGCTCTCTTTCTCCGGTAAGTGCTGTGGCAGTGCAGTGTGGTGTGCAGTACTCGTGTGAACTGCCGGAGAAAGCCAAGGCAATGAGGGGCAACCTGCCTTTAGGGACTACCTGTCTTTTGAGGTCATCTGTCTTTAGACAACTTGCCTTTACAGACCACCTGCCTTTACAGACAACCTGCTTTTAGAGACCAAGTGTCTTTAAAAGTTTAGAGACCACCTGTCTTTAGAAAACACCTATCTTTGGGGATCTGTCCCACATCACCACTAAACAGAGCTTCAGCACAGACCTTCCAGCAACTGCAGCTGCCGCTTCTAATCCCTGAAAGTCACGCGGTGTAATATTCTATCTCTTGGGGGGGGGGGGGGGGGGGTGTGGAGGAAGCAGGGTCTCTCTGTCCCCCGGGTTCTGATTGTTGAGTTTCTCCTTCAATATCTCCGTTGTGTTTTCGCCTTGGTACGTTAGTGAAGAGGCTCTTCACGTCAAAGCTCGCCATTGTGTGCGCGTTGTCGATTCTTTGGTCCCATATCGTGTTGATGAAATCTTGTGAATTTGTCACATTTGCGGCCGATTTGCCAGTCAGGGTGCGGACGATTTCCATGTCACGACAGTAGGTGTTGTGATTTATTATTATTATTTTTTTAAGAGCAGCGGCTTTTATTATAGTGAATGAAAAACGTAAAATGTTTGGCACCTATGAAATCAGGGGATGGCCCACGCCTGGTAAAAAAATCCAACTGTATATCGTGGCAGATAGTAAAAGAGGATCATAGAGATCAAAGAGAGAAGAAAAACTAATGGGATAGAATAGCAGCCTGGGCAACAGCAACCTCAGCGGAAGAAGTGGGGATGTACAAGAACACACGCCTAGGACCACGCAGACACATATGGCTGGCCCGCAGCAGAGCGAAACACAGGCGGCAGCGGAGCATAGCGATGACTGCAGAATAGCGCTCACCCGACTTTTCTGACAGCAGCGAGGCGATGCGCTTGTACTGGGCATTGGCACATTTTCCCATACCACCGGTCGTTGAGAGAACGACAGGGACAAATGTGGAGTGTTCTACCTCCCTGATACACTGCTCATATGCACGCTTCTTGGCCTTCTCATGCTTGGTGTAGCAAGCAGCAAGTGAGGAGGAACGATTCGACGTAGGTTTTGTGATGAAGGTAGAGGGAGTGGGTGAAGTCAGCGTGCTGTCCCGCATAGCAAGCTGTGATCGTCTAGTGGTTAGGACCCTACGTTGTGGCCGTAGTAACCCAGGTTCGAATCCTGGTCACAGCACACTTTTTTGCCCTTTTTGTCACGGCTTCTGGTCAAATTTGTACTGAATGGTGTGGGGGGGGGGCAACAGGCTTTTTTATTTATTTTTATTTTTCCTTTACAACAAAGCCTCTTTTAGGGTGTGTTTGATTGGTACGATCTAGAACCAGGATCGAACAGCTGGTGCGCGTGGAGCAGCCTCATGCCAACCAAACGGTACTCCAGAAACGGAGCACGTTTTTTTGTGAAAAATGTGCCAAACTTGGTGCATTCTTCAAAATGTGTATTGGTCACCATGGTCACTTTGTACAGTACAACGAGTTCAATCCAAAAGCGTATGCACGTGATCATTTGTCAACATTACCAAGAGTACATGAAACCCAGGGTGTGCAGCTCAGAAGGGTTGTTGTCACGGCGAAATTCCGTGATTACACCGTTTAGTTATGTAGTGCGTACCAGCAGGATTCAAGCAGGTCTCTTGCTGCACAACTGCAGCTCAGGTGTACGCACTACGCCACTTCTCGCCGCACATCTGCACCAACTATGATGTAATCGCGAAATTTCACCGTGGCAGACACCCATGCAGAGAAAAGTTAAAGTCAGAGGCTGCATGCTCTGGGTTTCACGTACTCTTGCCATTGGGGGCCGTCCGTAATTATCGGTATTTTACACAAGACGAAAAAGTTTCGTTCATGGGTGGCTGGGTCGAGGAGTTTCGTTTTGAAAAATATTGATAGCATACGCATTAATTCATTTTCACTGTCAAGTCGATATTTTACGTTGGGGGGGGGGGGGGGGGGGGGGGGTTGTTCCGTGAAAATGATCGATAATGCACTATGGCCCCTTACTTTCATCAAGAGTGCATAACCACCAAGAGTGTGCAACTGCCTGCACAACCTCTAAATAATAGGCTCTATACAGTGCTGCGATGGTAGACCTTCACATCACGTGACATGGTTCAAAAGGTTACGCTGGCAAACAGTGCAAAGTGATCACAAGAGAGTTGAACCCGAAGCAGGATTGTATACAACCCTGGATCTACTGTAAAACATGTTGTTTTCGGTGAAACTTTTTGATTTCGGTGATGTGCGGCGAGAAGTGGCATAGTGCGTAGACCTGAGCTGCAGTTGTGCAGCAAGAGACCTGCTTGAATCCTGCTGGTACGCACTACATAACTAAACGGTGTAATCACGGAATTTCGCCGTGACAACAACCCTTCTGAGCTGCACACTCTGGTTTTCATGTACTCTTGGTAATGTTGACAAATGATCACGTGCATACGCTTTTGGATTGAACTCGTTGTACTGTACAAAGTGACCATGGTGACCAATACACATTTTGAAGAATGCACCAAGTCTGGCACATTTTTCACAAAAAAAAACGTGCTCCGTTTCTGGAGTACCGTTTGGTTGGCATGAGGCTGCTCCACGCGCACCAGCTGTTCGATCCTGTTCTAGATCGTACCAACCAAACGCACCCTAACAGAGGCTTTGTTGTGCAGGAAAAATAAAAAATATAAAGCCTGTGATTTCGGTAGAGTAACCAGGCACCTAAATTTAGATAACACCGAAAAGGCACTAAAATATCCATTATAATAATTATGTGAATGGAATGCTGGTCACCGAATTTTACATCGCACCTGAAACCTGTCAGGTCCCTGACACCGAAATTTACATGTTTTACAGTATTATGCACAGGGTACAAATAATTGAGAGGTTCCGCACTACGTACAGTTGAGCAACTTTACGTTAGTGGGCGGGGGAAAACCCGTGAATTCGCGAGTTTGCACTCCACTTACGGAAAGTTGTCTACGTAGAGTACGTAGATAGGGCTCTGATAACGTATCTGGTCCGTAAGTGGATTGGGGTACACATTTATGACTCTCTCCCCAGGTCGACCTGGTCGTACACTGCCGCGTTCGGAGTTGCCAAGGGCAGCTACGTGATTTGAAAACTCCGTATGGCGGAACACAGATGCGCATGCAGTTTACGTAAGACTTTCCGTAGATCGACTGTCGTTTTTTACTAACGTAGTTACGTTATGCGGAACCTCTCTAATGTGTACGGGTTCGTCACGTGATGTGAAGCTCTGCCGTCGCAGACCCCATAGCTGCAGTTGCACACTCTTGGTGGTTAGGGGTCGTCTGTATTTTTCGAAAAATTAAAAAATCCGTCTTCAGGCAGAAAGGGGGTGGATGGTCAAGGGCGCTGGCGGAATCTAATTTTTTGATTTTTCGTACTTTTTTTCTTTTCTTTTTTTCTTCAGTGACTTTCATACACTTGTTGCACTGACATATAGTGCACTGTAGACGTATACGCGTAGTGTAGGATTGCAAACACCAGTATGATAATAATTATACCGGTACATGACTCTTCATGTACATGTAGTTGTAGGACGTGCATGGCCGTCGGTAGACCTCCTACTCACTTTACTTAGCTACAGCTGTGCTAGTACTTAAAATACATGCACATGGAGGTGCAATCAGTGAACATGGGGTCAGGAGTTCTTATTTTCGAGCTGGGCATCGGTAAAATCAAAAAATTAATGGGAAAAATTGGGGGGTGGGTGGGTGGGTCAGAGACAATTTTGCACGAGGACGGATTTTTTAATTTTTCGAAAATTACGGACGACCCCTTATGTATATGTACTCTTGAGGATATTATTCACATACATGTCCAGCATGTTTAGTCTTGGCACGGAGTGACAAGATGTGCCTCAACTCAACACGACGGTTTTGGTTTGTAGGTCTTGTAATAAAGCTATGACAGCTGGTTTTGGTGTGCTGTCCTGCATAGCAAGCTGTGATCGTCTAGTGGTTAGGACCCTACGTTGTGGCCGTAGTAACCCAGGTTCGAATCCTGGTCACAGCACACTTTTTCCCCTTTTTTTGACATTTTTCTCTTCATGTGTGAAATGGGTGTTGCAGATAGTTTAGTTCCTTTTTTTGAAATTCCTTATTTCTTGTGGCTTGGGAAGGACGTCACCAAGAGTACATAAACCAGAGTGTGCAACTCGGGATGGTTCCTGTGGGAGCGTTATCCGTGCAGTACGTCATTTCTGACGGCATGGTGTGTCACGGGTTCGGTGAAAAGTTGCGTAACCTTTCGCGTTTGTGCAGGTCACTGAGTTTGTCCTGATTTCGGTTTTTTGATACGGATAGCCTGGTGAATTTACTTGCCAGCGGATGTACGCAGCGTAAGCAGTCATACGAAAACACTGGAAACCTAAAACAGGACGTCTAAAATCATGCAAACTTGGCTGATTTCTGGGTCGTGAAACATGAAAATTTGAGCTGTATGCTGTATGCTTGGCTGACTTCTTTAGGGTGACGTAGTGCACGAACTGAGCTGTTTCAGATCTGATACTTCGAAGTATGAACAGTTGCACACTCTGGTTTATGTACTCTTGGCATCGCGCAATGGACTGATAATAAATTAGCATCACGCCAACTGCCAACAAGGCCATGTCCTGTGTCCAAACAAGACATGTTGGTAGTCTGCAGACCCGCCACATGAGAAATATAAGCCCTGGCTTGTTCGGTCCTGGGCTTACACTATGCCTGGGCTTGCTCGGTCCTGGGCTTACACTATGCCCGGGCTTGTCCTGGGCTTACACTATGCCCGGGCTTGTCCTGGGCTTACACTATGCCCTGGCTTGTCCCGGGCTTACGCCAGAAGGAATATAAACAGGCGCTGTTGGACTATAAAGTTCACAACAATTTCCCACTAATTTTCTTGTTCGATTTTGGAAATATCATGAATGCAGAGTTCGTAGATGCCAGCATCCTATTGTCCCGAGCTCTGTAATATAAAAATGGGAATCGAAGTGTAAGCCTGAGGTGACTAAACCCATGCAGGTGTAGTTTTCTCGTGTTAGCAGGCAATACGTGTTGTTGTTATGGAACTAGAACTGCTGGTGTCAGTGTGCTGTCCCGCATAGCAAGCTGTGATCGTCTAGTGGTTAGGACCCTACGTTGTGGCCGTAGTAACCCAGGTTCGAATCCTGGTCACAGCACACTTTTTTTCCCCTTTTTTGACATTTTTCTCTTCATGTGTGAAATTTAGGGTGTTGGTGTGGCAGATAGTTTAGTTCCTTTTTTTGAAATTCCTAATTTTTTGTGGCTTGGGAAGAACGTCACCTAGAGTATGTAAACCAGAGTGTGCAACTCATGATGGTTCTTGTGGGAGCGTAATCCGTGCAGTACGTCTTTTTTGACGTCATGGTGCGTCACGGGTTCGGTGAAAAGTTGCGTAACCTTTCGCGTTTGTGCAGGTCACTGAGTTTGTCCTGATTTCGGTTTTTTTGATACGGATTTCCTGGTGAATTTACTTGCCAGCGGGTGTAAGCAGTCATACGAAAAAACCGGAAACCTAAAACAGGACGTCTAAAATCATGCAAACTTGGCTGATTTCCGGGTGGTGTAACACGAAAATTTGAGCTGTATGCAAGTCGCGGCTTGGCTGACCTCATCAGGGTGACGTAGTGCACGGACTGCGCTGTTTCAGATCTGATATGCACAGTTGCACACTCTGGTTCATGTAGTCTTGGCATCGCGCAATGGACTGATAATAAATTAGCATCACGCCAACTGCCAACAAGGCCATGTCCTGTGTCCGCACAAGATATTATACCAGTCTGAAGACCCAGCACATGAGAAAAATAAGCCCGGGCTTGTTCGGTCCTGGGCTTACACTATGCTCGGGCTTGTCCTGGGCTCACACTATGCCTGGGCTTGTTCGGTCCTGGGCTTACACTATGCCCGGGCTTGTTCGGTCCTGGGCTTACACTATGCCTGGGCTTGTTCGGTCCTGCAGGCCTGGCTTACATTATGCCCTGGCTTGCTCGGTCCTGAACTTACACTATACCCGGGCCTGTGCGGTCCTGGGCTTACACTATGCCCGAGCTTGTTCGGTCCTGGGCTTACACTATGCCCGGGATTGTCCTGGGCTTACACTATGCCCGGGCTTGTCCTGGGCTTACACTATGCCCGGGCTTGTCGTGGGCTTTTGCCAGAAGGGATATAAACAGGCGCTGTTGGATGCTAATTGTAAAGTTCACGACAACTTACCACAAATTCTCTAGCGCGAGAAATATGATGAATGCAGAGCTCGTAGATGCCGGCATCCGATTGCCCTGAGCTCTGTGATGTAAGTGGGAATCGAAGTGTAAGCCTGAGGTGACTAAAGCCTGATTCATACTTCATTTCTCGTACAGGAAAAAGTTGACTTGAGCTCCACTATTTTGGCCCATCGCGAGATGATCGTACGATGACTTTCCCATACGTGAAATGAAGTATGAATCGGCCTAGAACTGCTGGTATCAGTGTGCTGTCCCGCATAGCAAGCTGTGATCGTCTAGTGGTTAGGACCCTACGTTGTGGCCGTAGTAACCCAGGTTCGAATCCTGGTCACAGCACACTTTTTGAACTAAGTTCCTTTTTTGCCAATAATTTGAGGAGGTACGGGTTCTACTCCGGTGTGGTTTTTGAGTACCTGGCTGGGTGAAATATTGCCTTCATGTAAACATCCTTTTCCGGTCTTTCTTCTTCTTTTTATTTAAACTGTGGCTGCTTTCATGTTCTGTTGTTGATGTTGTGTTGTGACTTGGTTGTGTGCATCAGTGGTGCTGCCAAGACGGGCGAAACTGTGCTGATCCACGGAGGAACTGGCGGGGTAGGTCATCATGTTTTGTGTTTCCTTTCTGTAGCTGGCATGCTGCGGAATCTGTCATCAGTGCAACCGTTACAGGCCGAGTTCTGGATCACCCCACGATACGGGTGGCTTTCGTACAGACATGATTAGTTTGTGTAATTCACCGAACCTTGAAGTCCATACCTCAGCCAGTGTCGCAAGCTTCAACCGCCCCTGCCCCATCGGCCTCTGATCATTCTTAGATCAAAATATGCATGGCAGCGGAAACAGATCAGCCTGTGCATGTGTTAGCAAGTCAGCACCTGCCTAGACCCACCGTCTTTTCCGGAGTATAAGCCGCACCCAGAATATTTCTCACGAAATACAGACATCTACAGTTGTCTGGTGATTGCCTAACGGCATGCAACTCAGCGTTACAACCAACCCGAACGTCCTCCGCTGAGTCTGCTATGTACTATGCTCTGTCTCTGACATTGAGCACTCTCTGCAGCTCGGGGATCAACGGATTTATCCACGCTCCTGGCTTTACCCAGTCGAGCACTCTACCCCTACTGGTACTGCAAGCTAGCTATGGACGCTTCAAGGCCAATGCAACTGGGATGTTCCCTGAAGAACATCCCTCTACCGTCACCCAAGCAGTACCGGAAATGTAGCGCTAAATTTGTTTATGCTTGTGGCCTCATGCGTTTATAAGCATACTGTTCGGTAGACCCGAGTATCAGTTGTCTGATGATTGCCTAACGGCATGAAACTCAGAGTTACAAGCAACCTGAACGTCCTCCGCTCAGTCTGCTAAAGACTTCTACTCTGTATATGCACCGTTAATATTGACCATCATAGTGTAGGCCACATCGACTTATTTTGGGTGAATTGTGAGCGTTAAATGTGCAGCTTATACTCCGGAAAATACCGTACTCTGGATGACATACATCACTTGGTCCGCGTAGAGAGTCCACGGGTGTCGTTGCTAGAATCTTTTCAGGCCACACACTAGGGGTGAAACTTTAGAATGGAGAATGACGTTTATGTTAGGTGTCTGTGTGTACGACGTGTTTGCGTGCTGAGTTTCTATCCCTGTGTTTCCTCTCTCTCTCTCTCTCTCTCTCTCTCTCTCTCTCTCTCTCTCTCTCTCTCTCTCTCTCTCTCTCTCTCTCTCTCTCTCTCTCTCTCTCTCTCTCTCTCTCTCTCTCTCTCTCTCTCTCTCTCTCTCTCTCACTCTCTCTCTCTCTCTCTCCCTCCCAGGTCGGTACAGCTGCCATTCAGTTGGCATTGTCGCAGGGTCTTCGTGTGCTGGCTACTGGTGGTACTGACGCTGGACTGGATATGTTGCGTACATTGGGTGTGCACGGCGCTTTCAACCACCGACAGTCGGGCTACACAGAGCAGATTCATGTGAGTTCCAAGTCTCAACCTCTTGTATATACTGCACGCACCTTTCTCCTGGACAGTGGAGTTGTGGCTACTTGTGTGTGTGTTGTTGTTGCTGCTGCTGCTGCTCCTGTCATCATCGTCGTCTTCGTTATTCATTGTCGGCGAATCGAGGCATGAGCAGTTGGAAGAGCACGTGACATTTTCGGCACTTGCCCTAGAAGAGCGCACAGACACTGGTGCCACTATCCAGGAGTGGTTGCTACTCTGCATCATCACTGTAGCAAGTAAAGAGTGTGGTGATTGAACGTGTGTTCTCTTTGCTGAGGTACCTACTACATAGCTGCCTGACTTCCCGCGCTAACAGTGCGGCAGCGACTTCATTGCAGTCGACCTGGCCTCGGTCAGACCAGCAGTACTTGCGTTTGAATGGCACGCTGCAGAACAGGAGCATCCAGAGTGGCTCACCATTGCATATTCGCCACCCTAGCTACTCATTCGCTGCAATCACCCTTCAGCATTATCCCGATGTGCTTGAGCAATGCCGTCTGTCGTTCGGCTATGAACCGGAGAAAAGCCAATCCGTTGTCATTGCAATTCGCTATCACCCAATGGGTAGATTCACAGGCTGAGCCAAGTTGTTCCTGTGTCTTTGTGTGTGTGTGTGTGTGTGTGTGTGTGTGTGTGTGTGTGTGTGTGTGTGTGTGTGTGTGTGTGTACTTGTGTGTGTGTGTGTGTCTGTCTGTCTGTCTGTCTTTGCATGTCTGTGTGTTTCTTGATTACAGGCCGCTACAGATGGCAAGGGTGTTGATCTTATTGTAGAAAACTTGGCAAATGTCAACCTGGATGCTGATCTGCGCTTGCTTGCCCTCGGTGGACGCGTTATGGTATGTGTTTCGATCTGTGTATGTGTGTGTTGGGGGGGGGGGGGGGGATGCATGCATTCCTGAACGTTCGTGGGTTCGCGTGCGTGTGTGTGTGTGGGGGGGGGGGGGGGGGAGGGATGGCTGTGTGTCTGTGATCTTCAGCCTTGCAAGCTGTTGGACGGGGCAAGCCCAGCACAAGTGTAGGCAGCCTGGGACTATGGTTGATGCGCGGTGCGCTACTTCCATCATGTAACATGTTTGCAGCACACCCGGTATGCATGCATTCAAAACTCACGATCTCCAGCACCGACACGCCTGTTTTAGCTTGTTTCATTCCAATTCATAGATTCTGTGCGCAGAAACTTTATTATTATTATTATTATTATTCACACATACTTTAGTTTAGTGTAAAAGTTAGTTCCATCACAGGGAAAGTGTGTGTGTTTTTCCTCACTAGCCTGTTGAAGCTGCACGGTGTAATGAAGGATGTGCATACCGTTCAGCTGGCCCATAGAAAAGAGATCACAATGGCGTACTGTTGGTGTTGGACCCGGCATAGTACAGTCAAATCTGCCGTTAGCGACCTCTGCTGTAGGCGACCATCTACCGTTAGCGACCGATTTTCCGTGCACCGACGGTTTCACATACAAACTGATCTGTCCAGAGCGACCATCTGCTGTGCGCGACCAGCGACCGCGATTTCATGCACGGTGGCTGCATTCAAATCTGCTGTAGGCGACCGCGACCCACGTAACTCGTTCAGTCAGGTGCGAAACTGTACTTGCCAGTGCGCTGTCAACTGCAAGGTGTGAAAATGCGCTTTCTTGCAAGTGCGATCGACTGGCCCTGGCACCTATTGAATATCCAATAAAATGATTATTATTAACCCTTTACCGGCAAGTTACTTTTGTATATGAAATCCATAACATTTAGAACGATACCAATAACTCACAACGAGGCCACATTTTGTATGTGCAAGTTATGTTTTCTTGGAAGTCTAGTACTACTTCTTGACCATGGAAAAATTTATTTTCTCATACCACACACATACGCTGCTAAATTGGCACCTCTACGTCTAAACACGGAAATTGTACACATGCAAATCGTCAGAGTTCCGACATTGACATGATACTACCAAAACAAGTCGACTTCGGAGCGGAAACAAACGCCATAGCCATCACAAACTTCAGTGGCCATGCCTCGCTCGCAAGTGAGAGCAGCATCGCCCCAGAATCGCTGTCGGAAAGCTCCGTAAGGTCGCACGCACGCCGCGCTGCGCTGCCGTCACTCAAGTACGTAGAAAGTCGATGGGCTAAAATTCCGTCTCTGGGAGACTGTCGACACGGGGATCGCTCTCCATGGCTTCCCCACCATAAGCACCATCAGATTCTTCCAGGTACATCACGACGACATCGTCTTCAGCGGCCATACATCTGCCGTAAGAGACCATCTGCCGTAAGAGACCGCTTTTTCTTGCACCAAGGGGCGGTCGCTTACGACAGATTTGACTGTAGGAGGATAATAGATATGATGTTGACTTGTTGATACACCGGAGGATGCAGCCAGAGTGCCGAGAGCGCTCAATACCACACATTCAGAGCGTATGACGCAGAACAACAAGATGCTAGACCAGTTTGCAGCAAACCAGCCTTGCATCTTGTTTTTCTGCGTAACTTTTGATACGTGTATCCTGGTTAATGTGCTCTTACGTGTGCTGGTGTGTGTTTAGGTTGTCGGCAATCGAGGTCGTATTGAAGTGAATCCGCGCGACCTGATGATGGCCGAGGGCGATGTGCGAGGTGTCATGCTGTTCCACACCACACCAGTGAGTATCCTGGTTGCGATTTATATTTGTATTTATCCCCGTAGCTATGCAGAAGACGTTACTTCAGTAACGTCTGGCGCTAGCCAGGGTCCACACAGCTTTAATTTGGTGTTTGTGTGTTTGTTTGTGTCACGCCTGGCGCTATCCGTATCTGACGGCAAAAAGCATAGGATGTTATAAATTTTTCAATTCTCCTATTTTTTCAGGCATATCCTGGGATTCGAACCCGCACTATCGCCCTACATGCGTTCCCCCATACACTTCGCATTCATACCCATTCTTCCAAGTTGCTTCACGTTATTATCTTGCGTTTGAAAGCCCTATTTGAATATTGCGGGCAGCTGTATGTGGCCAGCTGTGTTTGATGGTACGGTACGGGAGACGGTGTCGTATTACCCTCGATCGTACCTGTGCCGTACCTATCCCTACCGTACCGTGCCATCAAAGACGGCTGGCTACAATGCATATTCAAATAGGGCTTTCAAATGCAAGATCACAATGTGAAACAACTATTACTTGGAAGAATTAGTATGTATGCGAAGTGTATCGGGGGATGCATGCAGGGCGCGCGATAGTGCGGGTTCAAATCCCAGGTTATGTCTTAAGAATTTATAACATCCCTATACTTTTTTTTTGTCTAGGTCATCAAGGCAAAAAAGCATAGCGTAGGGCCCTGAGCTTCCAAGCTCTCTCGTTCAACATCTCCTGGCTAGTCAAGTGACCATGACTGTCAGTAACAAAATTGAATGTTAATTGAAGGGTGATAGCCAACCACGGCAAACTACCCGAAACAGTACGAAAACGGAAATTGCAGAAGGCATGAAGATTTCGAGAGTAGAAAACAACCCGAGGTTGTGAGAGTACAGGTGAGGGTGAGGATTTACCGATATCAACTCCGGGTTGAATATAACGGTGGTATAGACACACCTGGGTAAATGACGGTAACCACGTGCTTGTCTGCCCACAGAAGCGCTCTACAACTCCGGATTGCAAGGAACGGGGCTTCAATGGGTCATCTGTACAGGATGTGGATAAAACACATCGGTCAGCTTCATTTTTATTGAACAGCAGAACCTTGTGTACAGTATGCTTATGTGTAGGGTTCTATGGTGTAATGGTTAGCACTCTGGACTTTGAATCCAGCGATCCGAGTTCAAATCTCGGTAGAACCTTTTTTGTTGCGTTTGCCTTGAAGATGTGTGTAGGGTTTCTGTGGGTGTGTAGTTTTCCTCCGACTGTACTGCTGCTAGTCATGAGCATCTTGCCACCTATCACTTTCTACAATAGATCTTCCTTTTTTCTTTTGGCTTGAGCCACGTCGCATAGACAGCTTGGTATTTCTCGTCTGGCAAGGAAGAGACTTCAACATCACTGTGTGTTTCCAACACTACCTTCTCTTCTGCACGTGCGTACGCGTACGGATAAAAGAAAACAAATTTTTATTTCGTCTTTCCCGTTGTGAAAAGTCCAGTGGAAATGACGGACTGGGGAGTTCAAAGGTGCTAAATGTTTCTCCGCTTTGATGTGGTTGCGTCGTTTCTTGCTCGTTTTAGCGCCTGGGATGTTGTGTAGGGTTCTATGGTGTAATGGTTAGCACTCTGGACTCTGAATCCAGCGATCCGAGTTCAAATCTCGGTAGAACCTGATTTTTTTAGATTGCCCCCACTGCACACAAAACTCACTCTGATCGCCAAATTTGTCGCCGCAGCGCCGAGTTCTGATGTGATGGTTGGGCATGGTGTTTTTCTTACGGTCGCCGACACCTTTCCCAGCTGTTTTGGTTGGCTGTTTTTTATTTATTTTTATTTCCTTATTGGTGCCTGCAGTTTAGGGAAGGTACCATTATGGTGCATGACAATTAGTCCGGTCAGGTTTCTCGGGCTGGGCTGTAGTAACTTATCACCCGTGTTGAGCAGGGCCACCAGGATCCGGTAGCATGTCTCCACTGTATCCCTGACTGCCTGTCGTGCTGCCCCCAACCACTATCTCTTATTGGCGATGGTGCCATCGTGAGAATAAAGAATTCAAAACCACCAGCGTGCATGGTTTGCAATCCAAGTCATCACTATATTGTAGGGTGAGAGACTGACAAAGTCATGATGATGGGATTGCGTATCATGTGTGAGGTTCTATGGTGTAATGGTTAGCACTCTGGACTTTGAATCCAGCGATCCGAGTTCAAATCTCGGTAGAACCTTTTTGGTATTATTCCTCGAGACGTGTCGGGGGCACTAGCAGATATTTGGCTTCTCATCCAAAGCGATGTTGCTGGCCGTGAACGTCTTGTCAGTTATCACCGTAGATGTTTTGTTTTCGTTTTGCTCATACAAAGGCAATTCGATCTGTAATATCTGGTGGGAAGGAAAGTTCAAGAGCTGTATGGCCAGCGCTGCATGTATTGATTTGACTGCCCTAGCAACGTGCCATGGTTTTCCTTCTACTACCCACATAGTAGCTTTGGGAGCTGCATCTGTGCCTTGATCCATAGAGGACTATGGCATTCCTGTGGATGAGGAAAAATCGGCCTCCAGCCGAGTGTCACGCGAACCGTGAACATTTATTTAAGAAAAATATTATTGCCCACATGCGCGAGCATGCCACTCAACACTGGACAGCGAGTGAGGGCACTCCGAGCGCTTCATGCAGCCCCGACAGTGGTCAATCTGGCAGCACATAGGCGCCATGAAACCTTGGTTGTGGGCCTCGTGGCACATCATCACGTAGTAACAGTCACATGTAGAAGTGTCAGTTTGCAGGAATGGCAGTTTGGTTTGGGCTGTCCGATTTTGAGAAAGTCTCCTGTCAAACGCCAGACAAGAAAATCAAAGTAGCGGGATGTCTTTGTCTGCCGTGGGGTGTTTCGTCATGCCAAGAGTACATAACCCCCCAGGAGTGTGCAACGCCTGATCCAGCTCTGCATAGGGTCTTGGTCGAGTGTAATCGGATCTTCTGATGCCATGTGTACACTCCACACCAGCGCAAGGCCGGTCTCAAGGCAGGGCACCGTTGTTTTTGATCCGAGAGTACCCGCGACTCCCCGGGTTCCCCTCAGATGTGTACAGTATTATGACGCAAAGATCCGATTACGCTTGACCAAGACCCTATGCAGAGCTGGATCAGGCGTTGCACACTCTGGGGGGTTATGTTCTCTTGGTCACGCTCTTTCTCGTTTGTAGTGCTCAGGTTGTTGTGTAGGGTTCTATGGTGTAATGGTTAGCACTCTGGACTCTGAATCCAGCGATCCGAGTTCAAATCTCGGTAGAACCTGATTTTTTGCTTTGTCCTCGTTCTAAAAAAACCATTTCAGTTATGGACGGAATGTGGTGTTGTTGGTTTTGGCACCACTTTCTATGGTGGGTGTCAAATGTAATTTTTTATCAGTCGCAGACGCCATCCAGAGAAACTTGCTGGGAGCAATCACTACACGTACTAGTTGTCTGAGCCCGTGCAAAATGACAGCTGTAGCATGCAGCGTAACAGTGTAGACCAACGGAACAAAAGGTGCCGTACGGGTTGCAGGCCAGCTGGCACAAAGATGTACGGGAATGGTGAGGACACAGTAAAACCTGCCCTAGCCGGACGACGCCCTTGGTACAGCGGAAACTGCCCTGATATGATAGGATTCCGCTTGATCCAGTGATGCACATTCGATCCACAGCACTTTGGTGCATGACATTTTTTTCCGGTCAATACCGGATTGCGCTCGGTGCGGTGCAGGGTTCGGCAAACACAGGTTTTACTGTACATCACTTCGAAGTGCATTTTTCACTAATGCACTTTGGTGTTCACAGCTGGGGTAGTCACAGAAACTCACAGTTTTGTGTACCTAGCCCCAGGAAAGGTTCTATGGTGTAATGGTTAGCACTCTGGACTTTGAATCCAGCGATCCGAGTTCAAATCTCGGTAGAACCTTTTTGTCCTCTTTTTTGTTGTTGTTGTTGAAGGCGTGTGTTACACATGTTGTACAGCTTTCGTGGAATTGTGTCACTGGTCAGTCCGCATCACACATTGAGCTTTAAGGGGCCGTCCGGGGTTACCGATAGTTTTTGCAAAACGAAAAGTTTTTGTATTTTTCAGCACCCACCCACCCACCCACCTACCTTTTTATGCAGGTAAAACGAATTCCAATAAAATATTGATGTCAATTTTCGACACCCAGAAGCCCAGAAGTAACTGGGCATTCTCCATCTGCATTTAATAATTATTTTCAAAACGAAACTCCTTCAAACCCACCCACCCCGAAACGAAAAAATTTCGTTTTGAAAATACTATTGGTAACCTTGGCCCCTAAAGCTGATTCACAATACCACCTTTTTGCGACGCAACACGTGATTTGCGACAGTTGCAACAAGAAATGAGTCGCGACCTGTCGCGTACAGTCGAAGAAAGTTCTACTTTTGCGACGCGCGACGGGTGACAAACGCAAGTGGAGTACGGTTTCTTGTTTCAAGGAGTGGTATGTTACTTTTCCACTTGAGCGTCATGGTTGTTGTGTAGGGTTCTATGGTGTAATGGTTAGCACTCTGGACTCTGAATCCAGCGATCCGAGTTCAAATCTCGGTAGAACCTGATTTTTTGCCATGAGTATTTTTTTGTATCTGCTATCGGCTGGTATTCTTCTTCAGCACAAAGTGGCTTCTTTGCATTCATCTGTTATTCGTCTTCAAGTTCTCTAGTACAGAGGAGAGAAGGAATAGCATGCAAGTAACGTTTCTAGTGTTAATGGCGTTTTTTGACGTCCATTATTGCACAGCAAATGGGCCGTTGTGAGCGAAATCGTGTCTTCATGGGTAAATAAGGGTTTCGAGAAGAAAATCGTTTTTAAGCATGGTCGACGTAATGGATTTGACTGCTCGTACACTAGCAGGAGCAGTCAAAGCTATTGCGTCACGTCAGTACTGAAAAGATTTTCTTCTTGAAAACCTTATCTAGCCACGAAGACACGAGTTCGGTCGCAACAGCCCGAATACTGGTTGTGCGAGGTCTAACTGATGCTGCAGTCGCCGATCGGGCGATCGACGTCTCGTCGACGATGATGTGAGTTACGCTTTCCTAGAATCAAAGCGATACCTTCTGGAAATGGTTACATGTCAACAATGACACTCGCATCATGTGTAAGGTTCTATGGTGTAATGGTTAGCACTCTGGACTTTGAATCCAGCGATCCGAGTTCAAATCTCGGTAGAACCTTTTTTGCCGTGTGTTCCTTGGTTGCGGCTGTCAGAACGGAACACTTGAAAAATGCAGCTTCTCTCCCGGATTGTATCACCGGTCGCGAATGTCCTGTCACGTGTATTTTATGGGCTTTCTTGCTGGTATAAAGGAGCCGTCCGTAAGGCCCCTTGCACACTACATAGAAAATCCCATTTTTGTTGTGTTCCTGTAAAAGTTACCATGCAAACGGTCTGCTTTTCGCGGGAAACCTAAAATGTTGCGCAAACGTATTCAGCAAACTCCAGACGGGTATACAAAGGTACGTTTATGTTTTATTTGCATTTCTGGACCGTAGTTTGCTTTGCACCTGTCCTTCCGTGAGACTTCTTGAGTCTTGTCGTCAGCTCTTTTTTCCTTTCGATTTGTTCCTTGTTTTGAGTAGTTGCACGTTGTTTGTTTCCTTCTGTCGCGTTGAAGCTAGTTTGAGAAGATGAAGTTCAGCATGCCGAAAGTTGTGTTCAATGATGAGAGGGAGGGGAAGTTGATCGAGCTGTGGGCACACTACCAGCCGGAGAAAAGTGGAACGATGAAGAAGAGGTCACAGAAGGAGAAAGAGATCGCTGAAGACCTCAAGCTGTATGGTAGGAGTGTTGGCCTGGACATGGCATTCGATGGGAAGTCGCAGATCCATGTCGAAGTGATAGCATTTCACCAACACTCGACAAACATTTCTGCAGACCAAGCTCGGAGAGAAAAGTTTAAAAAATTTTAAAATTTCCCGCACTATCTCCATGCAGCACCGGTGAGGCGGCAGTTGCCATAGAAAATTTCATGAGTATATTATTGGAACGAAAATGTCTTTTCAAGTGTGCAATGGAACTGATCGGGACTTGCTTGAAAGTGACGCATACGCTAAAAAGCAACTTTTTACTTGTACGTAGTGTGCAAGGGGCCTAACTAATTATCGATCTTTTTCACGAAGAGAAAAAGTTTCGCTTGTGGGTGGGTTGAGGAGAGCTTCATTTTGAAAATTATTGATAGCTGAAACATCAATCCATCCTAGCTGTCAAGTCAATATATTTTTCGTTGGAGGGGGTGGGTGGGTGGGTGGGTGGGTGGGTGGGTGGGTGGGGGAGGGTCATAACTAAACTTTTTCGTTCCGTGAATATGATCGATAATGCCGGATGGCCCCTAAGATCACGAGCGGCCATTTCAGCGTTTTCTACTGCCCCCGTGTGAGTAGTTCGCAGTCACACTGTATTCGCTGACGTCACGTGTCGACATCGGCACATACCGTACCGTATCTTCCGGAGTATGAGTCGCACCCAGATTTTTCGCACGACATACAGTCATACAGACATCCACCCTATTTGTCGCCATCAACTTGACCATCGTACATGTAGTATAAGGCACACCGACTTTTTGGGGTGAATTAATGATGTTTGAAGTGCAGCTTATACCCCGGAAAATACGGCACGCATGTGTGCAATGTCAGCGGTTATGATTTTCCTCGTCGATTTGAGATTGGTGGGTGCATGCCGGGCAGGACGGAATCAAAATCACAATTGGCAAAAATTTGCTTGTCCAGTTGGATGACTGTCTTCCTTTCTCTCTCGCTTTAGCGTGTCGGTTGATGTGTAGGGTTCTATGGTGTAATGGTTAGCACTCTGGACTCTGAATCCAGCGATCCGAGTTCAAATCTCGGTAGAACCTGATTTTTTTCCTTTGGTCAACTTGGTGCCTAGGAATTTTTTAGTAGGAAATGCAGTTTTTCCTTCCCCTGCTGTGTTTATTTTTCTCTCAGTGTGTGTCACTGTGTGTGTGTGTGGTTTGTTTTTTGTTTTCTGGCCCCTGTACATGTGCCATCCAAGCGCCATCCCGGCGATCGTTGAAGTTGTGACTGTAATGAATCTGCACTTTTTTTTGTCGCGGGTCATGGTCGGAGGGGTTGGGTTTGTTGCAAAATTAGGGACGTTTAGCAACGCGAAAGTTCGAAAGAAAATTCGAGTCTGGGAATGAGCACAGAAACAAAGCTCGAAACTTCGAAAACTTGGACGCGTAGTTGGAGTGATTTGCGAAGGTAACTTTCTCTTTCCTCAGTACACACTTGACAACAGGGAGTAGTAAATTTACAGCCCCCTGCTTGAGACTGAGCTGTATATACGGTACTACATGTATAAGATTCAAATAACTTTGAGAAAAAGTCATTTCGCGTTGCTAAACCTCACAAGGTTCCCTTTTTCGAAACAGATTTTCGCGAAATATCACCACCACCAAAACTTTCGCATTGCTATTGTCTCTCTGCGTACTGTCTCTTTCTCCCTAAAAAAAAGAAGAAGAAGAAAGTATCGCACAGGTTACTATGCTGGGTTTGTGACCATGCTAAAGAATTTCTCACCAATGTGTCCAGTGTCCAGTGCCCAGGGTTTGCTAATGAAAATAGGGAGGCAGGCTAGATGCTGATGGCAATCTTAGCTGCTTTTCTGCCAAGAACTTTGCAACTGGTCGTACCCAGAAAGCAGAACCAACCAACGGTCTGCAAAGAAATGTTGGGAAAAAATTGCAGGAAACTCCAAGGATTGTGTTCGTATCATTTTGAAGCAGATTAGTGGTGTTTGACGACATACCGGTACGGTGAGGACGTGACGATACTTGGCATTCAGTTGCATGGAGAATGATTGCATGTCTGTTGCGTGCGGTGACTGCCATCATGTGCCTGGTTCTATGGTGTAATGGTTAGCACTCTGGACTTTGAATCCAGCGATCCGAGTTCAAATCTCGGTAGAACCTTTTTGCGGGGGTTGTTTTAATATAATTATATTTTTAAAGGATTTGTGTACACAATGTATACCGTGTCTTGTTGAATATACTGGTCACGCAGGGGCCCTGATTCCTTTTAGCTTCTTGTTCAGGCTGTGTCTTTGGCCTTTAACGTTTTGCCGGCTACTTATTTTTCCTCGATTTTCCGATGTTGTTGGCTAGGGTCGCACACGACCATAGGTGCAATGTGCCCTGTCTTATCTGAGGCACAGGCTGTAGCTGCTCATGTATATACATACATACATGCATACATGTAGGCGTGTAGTCAGACGTTGCCTGTCCAATCCTGTATCCGGTACCATCGCCTATCGGTAGAAACTTGTGAAAAAGAAGATCAACAAGCAAGTTCAGTCGGTGTGTGCAATCGCAATTCTTTGGGTTTTTTCTGTTCCGTTGCAAGAACCCCATTGGCCGGAATAGCGGATGTCAGACAAGAGGGATAGAAACCTGGAAAGTGACTTGTTTCTAGTTTCAAGAAGTGGTTGGTTGCTTTTCCACTTGAGCATGTGGGTTGTTGTGTAGGGTTCTATGGTGTAATGGTTAGCACTCTGGACTCTGAATCCAGCGATCCGAGTTCAAATCTCGGTAGAACCTGATTTTTTAAACTGCATTTACTCTAATTCTGGTGGGCAGCTAGCTGTCCTACCGCCCACTGGTGTATTATAGTGTTCCCTGTCTTCTTCTGTGCTCTTTTTTTTATACCTTTTTCGGCCAACTTTGGGGACAAAAAGTGGGTGGTTGTTCAGCTGGCCACTTTGCCAGGGCCTGTGACATCATGCTTGTTGGTGACTCACTTAGTTCTACGGCTGCTGTCGCGTTTACTCTTTGAGTGTGTTGGCATGTGTAACGTTATGTATTTCTTTATGTGAATTTGCAAGTACACACGGACTACAGGCCCTGTTACGTGGAAGTAGATGTGAGAAAAGAGTGAATTAAGGGGGTCGAGGCAGGAGGAGAAAAGTCTATGCTGCATAACGTTAGTTGTGGCACAGTTCGACAAGCTACACTGAAACCTGTCTAAGGTGACCACTCAAGAGACCTTCAAAACGTAGTCTCTGTGTACAGGCGGTCTCCTTATCCAGGGTCACTTGCCTGGATCCCTTGGTCCTAGATGTAGTGGTCGTCTGGGACAGGTGGTCGCCTTATCAGAGTGGTCACCTTAACACGTTTTACTGTATGTGAATAGCATTCTAAAGCTGACCATGTGCATGTTCTGTTCTTGACTGCCTGTGTGCTGCTGCCGCTGTTTCCACAGGAGGAGTACGTTACATCGTACGCCGCCATTCAGGCCGCCGTCGACAGCGGCCACGTGCGACCGGTCATCGGCAAGCGCTTTCCGCTCGGCGAGTCGCCAGCGGCACATGATGACATCATCAACACCTCGGGTGCGTTGGGCAAGCTGGTACTGACCGTTGAGTAAAGTGCACCCATCTCACTGTGCTACGAGCAATAATTACGGTACTGGAAGGATCTGAAGAACGAAACGGAAATCTTCATCAGGCACACTGTGTGGTACGTGGACGCTGTCCGTTTGGCTTTTCTGAACGCGCAGTGCACGGTTTGGTGTGCACTTGCCGTTCAAATGGTTGCTCCGGCAGCTCTCCCGTGTAACTGCCTCACTCCCCGTGTAAGGCTGTGGCTGTGTCCGGGGTGTAATGTTTCGCTACCCGCAGTACATGTAGTACTTGAACCGATTGTGTTTCTTGTGTTTGGACTCGCAATGCGTTCCACAGGTTGGTTGTAGTTTGCCTTGCTGTGGCTCGTGTTGTATATTTGTGTTTGGGTACGGCGCATGGCCGCCGTACCCAGCTCACTAGACCGCAGCGGTTGTGTAAGTGCTCTTGCTAGTTCTCGGTGGTGTCTCGGTACGTATGCCGCGCGCGTACGTACGGACGAGCCAGCAAGTCATTCTATCTTCTATTCTTGTCTCCGACTGGTGGCTTGCGTGGCTGCTTTTCCTGTGCACCGACTGTGCTGGATATGTGCCGCATGCGCGGACTTGCCAGCAAGTCATTCTATCTACAATCCTTGTCTCCGACTGGTGGCTTACAACGTTACGTCACTCAACCTGCGTGGCCTCTTTCTTGATCCCGACTGGGCTGGAGCCACCAGGGCTGTGTGTGGCAGGAGATCTTACACCATTTCGTCAACGTATCTCTGTATGCGCTGCCCTATATTTGAGCACTATGCAGCTGGAATACTTTTTGACTCTTAGACTTAGTTTACCGGTTGCAAAGCACTTATCAGACCCATAAGTTTTTATTTAGTTTGTACCATTGATATGAGTTCTCTCGCTTAGTTTCTCCCACATAGTAGATAAATATTATAGTTCAATGACAGTAATTCGTTTAAAATACCTAAAACTCGTGCGTGTGTGTGTGTGTGTGCGTGTGTGTGTGTGTGTGTGTGCGTGTGTGTGTGTGTGTGTGTGTGTGTGTGTGTGTGTGTGTGTGTGTGTGTGTGTGATTCGCGGAGAGGAAGCAGATTTGTTAGCTCCTGGTTTTCTCTTTGTTGGCCTCCTCCACGGGGCGGCCTTGGCCTTCTGGTCAGGGTCGTCCTTGGGTATTGACTGGCAGTAGGCTTTTCATGCCTTGCAGCCGGTTTCGCTCGCGCGGAAGGACATTCAGTGAGCTGACGACCAGGGCGGGTAATTTGTTGCCGTCACCGTCTTCTTGCGTCCTTTCCGCATCCTCCGCAGTGGCGTGGCGAGCCCTCGGATCAATCCCCAGCCTGTAACAATGCAGTGGCGTTCGGCAAAACAAGTGGATTCCTAGATGATAAAGGATACAGGTCACACTCGCAACAATTTATTCCTGCGCGGTGATAGCTGGAATTGTGAATTTGTCGTGTTGTTTGGACCTGAGTGGCCAGTCGTCGTGCGGCGATGGTGTAGTGATGTTAGCTTGCTGCGCATACTCCTCGTCGTTTCGTGAAAGTACGTCTTGTGGAGCCCTTGTGGGACGTTCGGTGCCCACCCTCCAGCTCAAGATTGTGCTTTCCTGGTGCATGAAGGCCGAAGCAGTACGCGTACAGACGTTATTGTTGAACAGAACATCATGTTCACATTAATTTTGTTCCTTTTTCAGTCGTTGCATGTTATACTTATAGTGGACCTACAGCAGACTGTTCATCTGGTTTGTGATATTTCCTTCCTCTGTTTGCGAGTCCCTTTCCATCAATATGGCAGCTTGTTTTGATTTCCTTTTTTTCAATTCATTTTGCTGTACTTCCTGTTTTGTTTGCGCCACTGCCCCTCACCTTGTGCTCAGTTCTCTGAGTGGAGGGCGGCGTGACCCCAAGGGGTAGCTGATTGATAGTAGTAGTAGTAGTAGTAGTAGTAGTAGTAGTGTGTGTGTGTGTGTGTGTGTGTGTGTGTGTGTGTGTGTGTGTGTGTGTGTGTGTGTGTGTGTGTGTGTGTGTGTGTGTGTGTGTGTGTGTGTGTGTGTGTGTGTGCCAATCTGTCGGAGGGCTATCTTCTTGCCAAAGCATTTGGAAGTTGGACTGGTGTGGGTTCCACAATCCAGTGTGTCGTTGATACTATAGCTTTCATAACTGAGGCTGTTGGTATGTTTATCGGCTCTGGGTTCCCATTACCCAGTCGCCGGGGCTGGTTGGCGAAGTAACTCCAATTTCCGTGAACAGTCAAGGTCCCACTGCATCTAGTGTCTGCTTCTATCAAAGCAGTGTGCTGTCCATACTGGCCGCCCCAGCAAGTGTAGGGTGTGCATAGGTAACTGACTCTTGGCCGTCCTATTTCGATGTTCTCTATGTGGTGTAGACCAAGTGTGCATTGGGGGGGGGGGGGGGGGGGGGTTCACATGGCTTCGCCGCTTGTGTGGATTTGGCAGTTATTTGGGCTGGTCTTGATCTGTTTAATTAATTCAGATTGTGCCTGCTATCGTTGCTATACGACTAAGAGTACTCAAAGTACATCCAGTGCGTTTGGAAATTTGCTTGCTACTTCTTGAGACGAGCGTACATGGTACATGCCGGTGTGTTTGTGCTTTTGTGGGTGCACGCGCGTGCGTGCTTTGTGTGCATGCATATGCATGTGCGTGCCCGTGTGTGTCCGTACAATGTCATGCTAGCTGTTGTTCGCAGCGGGCCATGTAAGGACACAAAAATTAATGTGACATAATTATGTTTCATCATAGTGTGCGTGGGCCGCGCCGTGAGGCAGATACCGCCGTCATTCGTCTTAGGAATCCCAATCCTCGAACCTCCTGGCGAGTTTTAAGTAGCATTCTAAATTCTTGCAACTGTTGCATCTCAGCTCACTGCGCAGTACGTGCGCGAGAGAAATGCTCGATCTATGTAGGATGAAATTCACGCACACTACAAAAGTAGTGACAGGCAAACCGACGCGTGCGTGATGTGGTACAAATGTGTTGAGGACTGCGATGGTGATGTGACCAGTAGTGTGAACGTAGCTGGCATTGCCATTGGTTTATTTTCACCCCATGCGATTATGATCATCTCCCATTTGGCTTTGTTCGTCCAGAATTTGTTGCAACTTATTATTACTTAGCAAGTAAGTTACAACAACGCTTTTCCCTTCCACATTGACATTCTTGCCTGTTGACTCGGTTAGCCCTGGTCATAGAAGAAAGCCGATGCAGAAGCGGTGCTGTCAACTGCAAAGATTGCATTGAGCATTGAGTATAAAAGAAGAAAAAAGACTTGTACGAGCAGCGAGTAGATCTACGAGAAGCAGCTCAGAACTTTCGAACCAGGGAGTCGTCAAATACTGGACGACTCCCTGGTTCGAACATGAGCTGTTCAACAGTGGAGGAACTCTTTTAATTGTTGACACGAAGAAGAGCGTGATCGGGAAGAAAAAAAAGGTTCTACCGAGATTTGAACTCGGATCGCTGGATTCAAAGTCCAGAGTGCTAACCATTACACCATAGAACCAACCTTGGTGACGCTTTGACTATCCAGCTCCTTCATTTGAGCGCAGCGGCCCCAGGGTCCTGCGAGTAGTAAAATACCGATTCTCTGGCGTGCACGTGGCGGTGTCAAGACTCAAGAGATCACAGGCGCAGGGCGAGTACGTAGACATCTGCCAGCAAGATCAGATATCAGTCAGAGTACAGTGGGTTAATGTTACTTATGTACTCTTGGGACCGGTCGTAGACTATACTTTTCTTTTTTTCACTTCATGAACTCATGTAAGCCTTGACAACTCATACTTTGGTACATTTTGCTGTGTAGCAGCTGAGAAACTCTCTACAATACCGAATGTAGCCAAATGGTCAACATCATCCACAACACCAGACACCTTAAAGTCCACGCTACATCTCCATACTTGAAGTGTGCAGAGCTAAATTCTCAGTCGTACTCGCCATAACAATACTCGCTCGGAAATGCCTGACCATGCATACGTACATGCTCACGTACATGCTCACGCACATGCTCTCACATACGCTCAAAGCAGTGCACTTTCTTATTTTTGTTCTTCACAAAACAAGTGCAAGATGCACGGACACAACGGGACAGCGGATGAAAATCAAAGAAATGATGACAGATAAGACAGATAGTGCATGTAGTCGTGTAGAAGGAGATACATCGACCATAGATACCGGTAGCTCTGAAGATGTTGCTCAGCGACGCTTCAGACTCGGGACAGAACACGACTTGAAATACGACAATGTTGTTGAGTTTTGTTTCTATACACGATCGGGCTCGAATGTCTGTCATTCCAAAGATGACACGGAGCAATGAATGGGGCAGGAAGAAGCCTCTGCACACCATCTCTAACAGTAATAACTACAATGCTGTCAATACAAGAAGATGCTGATTCTCAGTAAAATGTGTTCAATGCTGCTATCTCTATCTCTATCTCTATCTATCTCTCTCTCTCTCTCTCTCCACAAATAGGCCAAGGTCCAGCGACCAAATAATATCGTAACTATTCATATCAAAGCTTCTATGCCAAAGCGTTCATCCAGAAACCTGGCCCCTGTTTCTCAATTGTAAAAATTTCATAATAATGACACCAAGTATAGTTCTATTGTACCTAGTATAGCATACTGCTGCGTGATCGGATTTTCGGTCAAATACTTATGATTGGGGGCGTTGGCCTTGACCCTGTCGAGGTTTCCGCGAGTGAAGCTGATCTTGTATGACGGAATCTTTACGCCGATGTGTCCGAAAGTGTTACGTGACCTGGGTGGTATCACAGTAGCAAGCTGAAGGATGCATGTCGACCGGACAACGCACGTTACCTGATCGTCAAGCCAGTTACGATCACTGTGGACAGCTGCCTTGTTTGCGCGGGGTGCTAATCATCGCTGATGCTGCTTGCTGGACTGACATGCAGCTCGGCTGCTTCGAAACGCAATGCCAGCTGCATCGGGCGGCTTATTCTTATGTGGCTGAGGGAACAGCAGGTGTATGTATGTGGTGATCAAGTGGCCAGGCGAAGAGCCGCTTGAAGATTCGAGGCGGGCCAATACAATGCCGACTGCATACAACACGCAACGTCTCAGAGTGCTGTATCAATCGCATCAATCGGGATGAGGCTCTGCAGGTAGCGCGCGTTCGGAGGCGGTGCCGGCGTGGCGTTGGAACGTGGGTGGTGGATGTCACGTGACAGATGGGCGTAGCTGCGGTTGCAGTGGTGGCGTCGCAGGCTCTGCTTCCACTTGAAGCTCTTTGTGCAGCTCGGACACTGCACGGAAACATCAGAAACAGGCCAAGAGCAATAGGCAACAGTCAGTAGCAGACAGGCTCACACAAGCAGAATTGCAACATGTAAGTTGTCGGTAGAGTTACTCATCACCCTCTCTTTCTCTTTCGCTCTTTTTTTCTCTTTATTCTCTCGAACCAATTTTCTGATTTTCCATGTAACAAGACAGTTGTCACCAAGAATAAAACGAGCACTATGGTTGCTGCAAGTAGAAAAATCAAGGTTAGCGTGAGATTCGGCTGGAGGCCGAGTTTTCCGCATCCGTAGGAACGCCACCACCCCCTAGGATCAAGGTGCAGATGCAGCTCCTGAAGCGGCGGGAGGTGAGTAGGTCAGACCCGCCAAAGTGGTCAAAGACCGAGAATCCCATTCGCTGCATCATGCTGTCACACTAGGCTCACCTTGAACGGGAAATCGTCCTGATGAGAGCGGATGTGCTGCATCAGCTGGCCACGGCGCGGAAATGCTCTGCCGCAGTCTGCGCATTCGTACGGTTTCTTGTCCCAGTGGTTGGGCAGATGACGGAGCAGATTACTGCGGTTATTGAATAGCTGTGCACATTGGAGAAAAGAGGAGAAGAAATAAGCCATGGCACTGTCAAGTGGAGCAGAATCAGGTATTAGCATGGAGAGGAGAGATGGTGAGAGAATGAGAGAGAGAGTGTGAGTGAGAGAGAGAGAGAGAGAGTGAGTGAGAGAGAGAGAGAGAGAGAGAGAGAGAGAGAGAGAGACAGAGAGAGAGAGCTGTTTCACATGCAGATTTCACCCCTAGCATGCGCCAAAGTTCATTTAACAGGCAAGAGCCATAATTTACTCGTCTTGATATCGGACAAAGCCATGCTAGTGCCACCCTCGTTATCACCTGTAAAGTCCCCTTCAGTGGCTGCAGCAATCACTAGAGCACTAGTGATGAGGTATAGGTATTTTTGAAGCTTTATTTTCTGAAGGTGGTTTATAGACCAACAAACACAGACTAGCCAACACCGACAACCTTGCGATAAAATGACCTTCGAATGTGCATGAAAAAGGTGCTGTTCTTCGTGAGTTCCTCCTTCCGACCCGGCAAATACAAAGTGTTTTGATTTCAATAAAGAACAATTCATTCATGAGTACTCAGATGGTGAGCCAAGGAAATTAATTTCCAAAGCGGACCATGTTACAATTTTTTTCCATTCATGAGTTGTCGTTATTCACAAGGCTGACAGCAGGCAGTCAAATGGTCACTAAAGCTGTGTTCACAACTGGCGCGTGTACGCGTGAAACCACGCTTTGCTGGCTTTTGGGGTGCCGTGCGCACGGAGACGCGCCAAAATGGAATCTCCAACATGTTGGAATTTTCAGCGCGTACCAGCGTACATGCCAGTCACTTTGACTGCCGGGGTCAACAAATTAGTACTCGAAGGCGCCGCACGCCCGAACTACGAGTCGATTTGCTGTTTTTTTTTGTGAAAGCCTGAGCGCGCGTTTGGGCACGCATGAACCGCAAGCGTACCTCGTCCACGTGCCAGCTGGGAACACAGCTTAAGTCTGAAGATTGTGTCGTTAATCGCGAACAAAGTGAAGGAAAGTGGAGTACTGGGCGTGCAGTGCAGCAAACAGCTGTCAGGAGGAATTTCAGTATCTACCTGCAACCCTTCCTTGGTTGGTGTGTGTAATGGCTACCGAGGGTAGCAGTGAGTCGGCTGTGAGAGCGCATGGAGGAGAGGAGAGGAAGAGTTCTTTACATTTTATTGGCTGAATAGTACCGTTCACCATTTGAAATAATCACGAGTAGTTTAAAAAACCCAGGTTGGTATTCACAAGGTTGACTGTGAAAAATCTAACATTTACAAGCATGTCAGGACCATAAAGTTGTGGAGCGGCCATTTGCCATATTTTAGAGCTTTGTCCAGTGGCTGAACGGCACACCCCTGTAGTGGTAAACGGGTTAAAAGTTCTATTTACCTTTCCACACAGTTCACAGCGATAGCGCGTGACGCCGTTGTCGTCATAGCGGCTCCACTCTCCGTCTTCCTGATCGCCACCACCGCCTGCTGTCGTCGACGACGTTGAGTTGCTTGCACGCGGCGCGCGCTTCTGACTTCTTGCACGACTGGATGACGACGACGACGCCGCCGCCGGCTCGGAGTGCGTGCGTTTCGTCTTGCGCCGTGGCGGCAGGTACTCCTCGTCCTCGTCGGGTTCCTTGCCCTGCGGAACAAACTCCTGCAAGCGCAGCCCAGCGCATGAACAAGGATGCAATAGCATGATACAATAATGATAATAGAGATTTTAGTCGGAGGGAAACATAATAGCACACGAAGAGACGAAGCCAGTTGAAAATCTGACGAGGTCTTTCTTATCATTACCACCCTGCACTGATTTGAGAAGTAATGGTACGAAAGGCCTCATCAGATTTTCAACTGGCTTCGTCTCCTCGTGCGCCAACAATAATGATAGTAATTGCATGGAGTAAAACCTGTCAAGGCGCCCACCTGTAGAAGACCACTGCAACCAGGAACACTGATGCTATTTCCAGTCAAATGACCCTGGATAAGGAGACCACACTTTGAAAGTTCCCGAGCGGTCGTCTTAGACAGCCTACACTACTAGTGCTAGGATGACCCAAAAGGCTGGTCTGGTCGCCTATCAAGGGGTTCACCGTGTTGAAGAATGTACAAGGATGAGCTTAACGTGTTGAAAGTAGTGGAGCGTGAATTCCTCGATGAAACAGTACGATTGTCGGTGCAAGATTGGTTGCATGCAGGTCGGCGATAGTGGTCACTATAGACGGAAGTTCCACCTCACGGAAGGGATCGCCAGGCTTATACGTGTACAGGACTGTCCAATGACTAGCCAAGTTCAAGAGACTTCCAAAAGTTCGAGATGAAAGTCAAACGCTTTACACCAGTTTATCCATAACATAACATAAGGTTGAGGGAGTTGAACATTGGAAAAAGTCATCATAAGTTTGTCATTTCTGTATTGCAATGCGTGATGTTATGGCAATCGAATATCAGCAATTGTGTGAAACTTACGGTGCTCATCACTCGAAATGCTTGCAGGAGACGACCTTTCAAAAGCAAACATACAAAAGAGACAGCACACAAAAACACAGTTCGTATGATCTGTGCCAGCTTCCGTGATGGCAGCGCACTGAATGCTACAAGCCCTTTGTCGGTGGGTAGATCTACACGGAACCGCAACTCCAGTAGGTATATCGGCGGAGTCAGCCAAGGTGTACGGAGCATGCATGCATCATGCAGCTCACCGAATAATTGCTGAGAATTCACTGCTGAGAATGTTGTTGAAATAGAAAACGACTTCCGGCTAACCTCGCCACGAGAGCACATATGCCAGGCGAACAATTTATCATAGGACTGATATATGAAATTGAGATCAGGCCTGTACAGCAGGACTGTGACCCAGGAAATGTCAAACCTTTGAATGCAGCTGAGAATATTTCGACGACGATTGCTCAAAAATGATTTGCATGGTACGAGACAGCGACGAAAATGGCAGGGAGCAGACCGTCAATGAATATGGCAAGCTTACCTGCTCCACCAGTTTTCTTCTGGCTGCCCTCCTCGCCACCCGCAGAGTAGGGCACGGACAACGGAGCCAGGTCCTCCGATGTCGTGGTGACTGCTGAAGAAGCCGGCTGTGCGAACAGGGCTGGATCGTGTAGCTGGGAGAGGTGAGCAGCAGCGATATGGGCTTTTTCTGCCGCCATCAGGATCGATCAGTGAGATTTGTTAGCTTGCAGAGGCGGGCGTGGGCTTGAAACGCCGGATCCTTGTGCCGATCGGACTTCCTGACAGCTGGGCAAGACGAGGGCAACCTCTAACCAGAAAGGATAGCTCCTAGAATACTGACTGGAATGGCAGCAGCAGCCAACAAGAAACACAAGGCGACGACTAGTGTCGTGTGTAGTGAAGTTTCCAAGCCTGCACACTAGTTCCTACAGTTTTGTTTGTACAAACTGCCTAGCAAACGTATCTGGCTCACATATCCCGCGCAGCTGCCCGGATGATGCAGCCACACAGCTTCACCAGCAGCACAGCTGCTGTGCTCAAATATGGCGGTACGAGCAACAGGCTCTGCATGCTACGACCACGATCCCACGCGACCCTCGCAGAGTGCGCGTCATATCTTGGCATATGCGTGCATATGTGGTCGCGCCGGTCAGGTCGTGGATGTTGCGCATTTGCACCTAAGAGGCTAAGTTCAAGCGTGCAACCGTATACGGGAAATATGTGTACAGTATGCATGCGTAGTGACCCGGACCCATGGCCCAGTGCACCAACAGTTACGTCTTTTCAACAAGCGTTGGATTCTTGGGTAGCAGCAGCTGGTGCTTTTGCCGCCAACGATCAACACTTTTTCAAGAGCAGGGGAAAGTGAATGGCGAGCAGAACGGGACAGCGGAGGAGATGATTGGCTGGATGCCCACAAATAATTGCCCTATGTAGAGGAACTGATCGAGATCGAGGGACGAAGGATGAAAGTACGTACCGATCCCAGGCGATAGAGTGTTAGTATTTGACTCAGAGCCTGGAGCTCCAGACCTTGCCCAAGTTGACAACGACATATCGGTACATGTACCGTACTAGCAAGAGTACATAACTCTTGTCATGACTGGTCAGAGCCAGAGCGCTGCTCGACATCTCATTCTCCCCCCAGTGCCTTTGCAAGGACGTACCAGTACTACTTTCTAGATAACCGATCCGGAAAGCATCAGACCTTGTTGGCTGAAACAAAATTTAATAGAACCATCTATCCTTGGCTTTCTTTAATTTTGGCAATGGCTCATCAGAGCCCCGACCCCGGCCGCTAGCCCTTGCTTGTAGGAAGTCGGGAGCAGCACGCGTAGTATGGATGTTGTCATGCAAGCGATGGGGACGGAAGGAAGAAAAATGGAGGAAAGGCGCCGACAGGGAGAAAGAAAACATTGTCCAGCAAGATTCAGGTCCATGTCTTTGTAGGCTAGCCCAAGCCGAGCTAGGGGAGGGGGTATCAGGGGTGGTTGGCACCAGGGAATTTTGCAAGATTGTATTACTATTGCGTCGTACACACTATGCATGTACATGTATGTACGGACGGGGCTCGTAGAAGTATTCTCGTAGATACCTGTACGGGTTTGGGATCCACTGAAGTCTGAAATGGGTAGATCCACGTTCGTTCACTATACTAGTCACTCTTGACCAACGAAGGCAGCCGGCCCATGGAGACAGAGTGAGACCGTTCTGAAGTGACATGTACCCAGCTAATGTCTCTGCTTCGTTCAGGGAATTCAGAATAGGAAGTTGCTGTACCACAATGTGCTTTTTCAAGTAAATAAAAAATAAATAAATAAATAAAAACCACCCGCTCTTTTCTATTATTCATTTTCTGCTGCCCCCGGTTATTTCTTTTATTAGTATTATTATTTTCTTTGCCTTCGCTTTCTTGTTAATGGGCAACATGCCCGTTAGAATCTGCGAAGTAAAATAAACAACAACAACAACAACAACAACAAATACAATTTAGACTGACCATGCCTGATAAGAGAGCTCGCTTGACTGTCTCACGACTGCCATCTAGACAGGAGCAACCAGTTACTTCATATACAAGCGTAGTTACCGCCCAATTCGCTACTTCTATGAAAGTTCGCACTGCACAATTCTTCATTCATCTATAACACAGATCATTGGCAAGCCTGGAGCTAAGGTCTGGACTACATGTACACGGTGGCCAACAGAACCCGGGCCGACGGTGCCTATTGGGTTTATTCTTCTTCGCACAATAAACGGGAACTAGCGGGCCCAATGATATAGGCGAAAGTACAAGCCACATTTAGAAATGAAAGGCCAGAACCGTAGCGGAATTTGTTGAGGCTGTATCTGGTGACTTTTAGAAACACATCCAAGCTTTGCAAAAACAAAACAAACATCGACCAGGGAAAATAACTTCTTGTTCGCAATATAAGAGTAAGCGTAGCTACTTTGAAGTAGTCAAGTTCATAATCGAGGTACAACTGAAATACTCGAAACTAAGAAAACCGTGCCGGATCGGAGTGCACACAAACACTCAAATAACCTCTGTGGGAGACACACCAGGGCCTAGGGCTAGGTTAAATTTGATTCATGGCAGAATAGAAGTGTAGGTATACTAGAGAGCAATGGTTCCTAAAGCCAATGGCCCACTAGTACTTGAAGTATTATATGTACTCCTAAAAGCAAGTAGATCTACCACACGCAGAGTGTTCATTTGTACTGTCCAGAAACAGAGTATTGTTACGTTGAATATGTTCTATAAACGGAAAAAAATACCAAGCTTGAGTTTCTACACTGAAGCATACTAGTACCGTAGTACTACGGGTGGATGGAACGCATGGGACAAGGTTGACGTCATGAACAGGCGTGATTTCACAATTGGATTAAGTGGCAGTTCAGTGAGTCCATGCCATGTGATGAACATTTCTAGGGCTAAAACTGAAAAGTATACTCATATTCGCACTGCAGCACTATCGGAGCCAGCCAACGGGGCGGTCGAACGTCCAGGCAAGACTCATGATGTCGAGCTAATTTTTTGACCAGGGAAATGATCAGACTTTCCAAACACAGTGGTAACGCTCTCAATCTTCGCAGGCTAGGTGACGTGCAATGCCCGGTGTCAAGTTCCTTCCCACCATACAAGGTTCAGTTGACTACATATATACGTGATCTGTATGCCCCAAACTGCATCGTGCACCGCACTAGCTGCGCCGTGTCAGTTCTTCAGGACGGTGTACCATAGATAGAATCATTCGATGTGCTGACTAGACTAGATCCAGTGCCACCTGCGCCGTGTCCGTTCTTCAGGACGGTGTGTCGTAGGATAGTAATCGTTATTTCAGGATTACCCAAAGGCTAACGCCTATTGGGGGGGGGGGGGGATCCTAGTCATTCCATGACTGTGCCGACTAGGCCAGGTCCAGCGCCACCTTGATCATGAAGTCGTCCTGCAGCACAGCAGACAGGGACTGCAGGTTGTGCCATAGGCATTCTATGTACCGACTCAGACCAGACCCAGTGTCACCTTGATCATGAAATCATCCTGCAGTACGGCAGACAGGAACTGCTGTAGGTTCACCACCTCCGCCGTGTCCGTTCTTCAGGAATGACTGTGCCGACTCTGAGTCTCAGACCAGATCAAGTGCCACCTTGACCATAAAGTCATCCTGCAGCACGGCCGACAGGAACTGCTGCAGGTTGACCACCTCGTCGCCATACGCACTGGCCACGCGCAGGAACGTGTGTGCGAGGTCTGAGGCGTCCGCGCCACCCACGTTGTACCCGGACACTCGCTGTATGCTCTCCAGTACGTCCGTCATGCCGCGGTGCGTGATGTAACCGCGGTGGTGCACGTCGTACAGGTCAAACGCCCAGCACACGTGCTGAGCTATGGTGCCGCGACGGATCAACGAGAGCATGTAGATGAACCGGTTGAAGTCCACGTTGCCAGTTTGCTCCGAGTCGAACGAGCGGAACAAGTGTTTCGCCCACTGCTGCGCAGTCCCGTCCGGGTGGAAGTATTGAAACAAGCTCACCAGATCCCGTTCACGCATCACGCCCGAGGGACAGTCCCCGTGGAAGGCATCACGCCACTCGCGCAGCTTGCTGCTGCTGAAGCGTGTGACGTCTTTGAGCGACATTAGTGCAGTATCACTGAGCTCCAGATCGTCCCAGTGACTCTGTGTGCTATCGCTGTGTTCGCCGCTCGAGCTCCAGCTCTCCGCATCACTGCTGAACGAACCCGATGATTCCCCTGCCTCGCTCCAGCCACTGCTGCTCCTGCTGCTCCTGCTCGATCGAGCAGATCTGAACAGTAGTCCTTGGCAGTCACACGCGTTTTGGGCGATACAGTAGGCGCTTCGGCAACGCACTTTCCTCTTCTGTCTTTCACGATCGCTTCCACCGCCACAAATCCGGGCCAGAGTGCTTAGCTTCGCCAGGAGCCTAAACTTCACACTGTACGGTGGACTCTGCTCCGCTGCACCCGTTGTGGTTCCATCGTCCGACCAGGGTAGCGACAGAGACGGTATAATCTGGTACTCCTTTTCGTCGCTAGCGCTGTCGTCGCACAGCACCGAGCGAGTCGCCAGTTCGCCGTCAGCCGATCGCCCCGTCTCCAGCATAGTCAAGCGCTGACCGCGCTCTAGCCGTGCCTGCGCTTGCTGGCAAGGCTGCTGCTGCTTCTGCAGCAGCTGTAGAGAGAGATCGTGTTCCTGCGCTGAGGCCGAACCACTGGCAGGGTACACGCTCGCCACGGCCATGCTATTGCCAGTATTGGGCAACATGTGGCAAAGTGGCCTGGACGTGTACAAGATACGGTCAGCTAGCGAGAGCTACAAATAGTGCTAGTTTCAAGAGCTAGATAATTAATAAGTGATCATCAATGAAACGCAAAGGAGCTCAACTGATGTTACTTCAGCAACGGATCTTGGAATACTGCTAATACCATGAATACTGAATGATCCTACTGCCTTGAATGAAAAAGCCTGCTTGAGCTAAAGCTACTCTGCCATCCCTGCTCACACAGGAACGATAAGTCGCGTGACAAAGTCAGTTAGGTAACTGGTTCACTGCACTTTGACCCCAAGCCGTCCCAGTACAGTCTCGGGAGAGAGGTACCATGAGCGAGGGCCTGCAGGCAGCTAGCAGTCTTCACTACACCGACATCGAGAAGCAACACTTGCAGGACAAGAATGAGGAGACGCATGGAGAGTCCTCCACAGAAACCAATGGCAATGTGAATCCAATTGAGCTCTTTGGCGTTGGTTTCTTCAGTTTTCCAGCTGATGTGGCCTATCTGCTGTCAGCTTGTAATGTAAGCTAGACTGAGTGAGGTGCGAGCCAATGAAGCCGCGCGGAAATCAAAGCCATGCTAAAGCCCCTCTCGTACCCTACACACACTGGCTACAGTACACTGTGCAGCACCAGCGCTAGCGCAGCCGCCGGGACGTCACTTGTCGGCGGCCCTAGATTTATCATCTACCGCATGTTGACTGCTAGCTGGGTTTTAAACTAACTTTTAGCATTTCAAGTCCCGACCAGGCCGTCACGGTCATTTTGCGTATGGTTCGCAGCAAAGCCTTCCACTTTCCAGTCTCAGTAGAAATCTGCGAGGCACGTGCGTAGCATCGATGACAGAACATCAACAATTATCACTGCCGCTGGATACCAGCGGACCAGGAACCGTGAAATTGACTGAAAAGGATGCTCCGCGCGCTCTGGTCTTGGTCTACTTCATAAATTCAACTACAGTACAGTGAACCCTGTCTAAGCGGACAGCTCAAGTCAAGGGACCTCGCAAGTGTGGTCTCTCTGTACAGGTGGTCTCCTTATCCAGGTTAATTTCGGCTGGAAATACCCTTTTCAAAACGTTGTCGTGGTTGCAGTGGTCTTCTGGGACAGGTGGTCCCCTTTATCCGAGGTAGTGGTCGCATTGATAGGTTTTACTGTAAACACTGACTGGTCTACTCTGCTGGGCTACCATGGGCTACCCTGGGCTACACGGAGGCTAGCTTCACTTCAGTGGCTGCGGGCTGTCTTGCAATAGATACGCTGTTAGTATGAACTATGAAGCCTAGTGAATGGTATCTTGATGAGGCTGTTGATCGGATGAAGTGTTTTTTCAAGCGTGAACCTCTGAGTAAGGGGAAAGAAGTTACAGTAGGTACTCATTTGAGTCATTTCACAAAGGCAGGATATCCTTCCATAACGATGCTGTGCATCGATTGCGGGTTGTTGTTGCTTTTGTTGTGAGTAGTACAGTGTACTATGTTGCTTGCACTTGCAATTACTTGGTCTTGGTCCTGAAGTGAAGCTTTGGTCTTCTTGTGTGATTAGGGTGAAGAATGGGTATCTGGACTCCTGGTATACACGTACTTCCATAAGGAACCTTTTTTTCTTTTCTTTTTTGCGACTTTAAATAAAATTCGACAACAGCAGCAACAACAACAACAATCTCGGAATCGAAGAATCCTGATACACTGTACAGAGTAGTAAAATCATGTACTGAGTACATATGCTTCGATTTTGACAGCATGTTACAAGGCGAGGACGCATAGTGCTCCTGACTACAACCATAACCCGGTTGGCAGAGTCCCGGTCTGCCAACCGGGTTATGGTTGTAGTCGGGAGCACTATGCGTCCTCGCCTTGTAACATGCTGTCAAATTCAAAATCGAAAAACATGGGCATAGAGAACTACATGTAGATCACTATGTTCAGCAGGAACCCCTGCTGAAACTGCTTTCACGGTCGGTGCGTAGGCCAGGGCAGTAGGGGCCCTAGAGGGCCTAGGCACGGTGAAACTTATAGCAGTTTCAAGTAGATGTACTCTGCTCTTGGACTCGCACTCGCAGGCCTGCTTCTCATGACCCAGCACAAAGGCTGCCACTGTTTCCCAGACCAGTCACGCATGTGTGAGCTTCGAGCTTCGCCACTTAACTTAACTGGGTGTAAAACAAAGGAACACCATACTAGTATTATTCAAGTAGCTAGTTCGGTCCTGGCCAGAGAAATCCGAACTCACCCATGAATTATCAGAATACAGCGCCTGGGGCTACGCGGCCCTACAATGACATTATGTATACCTAGCACCTACATTATAGCACCACACACAACACTCTGCACACTTGAGCGCGACGCTATTCTAATCTTTATTCATAAAGTCGGATTTCTCTGGCCATAATTGTATGTACAATCATGTACTAGTATACATTGGATGTACATGCGATTCCATATCTCACGCCTGAATGCACAGCTAGGCGGCATCCATGTTTGATGATCCACATGGTCGGATTATGCAGTGGACCGTGTGTTATTCACAGAGCCCGGCTAGGCACAGTGCAGGAAGTTAGCCCTTATCATGGGCTAGTAGTAGTAGTGCCGGCAGAAAAATAATTGCCAGAATGATTTGGTACTTTTCTAGTACATGTACATGTACATTGTATGCTTGACGTATACTTATCGTGATTATGGTCAATTATGGATAAAGAAAAGGAGCAGAATTCGAGAAATTACCCGTCATAAGCTTTGCAGAGTTCAGGCGGATTATGCCGGCAGAAAAATTGGCAGAATTCGATACTTTTTCTGGTAAGTTTCATGCATGTTTGGTATGTGGATAAAGAAATGGAGCAGAATTCGAGGAATTTCCCGCCATAAGGTTTGTATGGTTCTGCCAATTTCACTGCTTTTCGAGCAGAATCTGCCACCTTTTCGAGCATAATCCGCCGGTGCCTAGACCGTTCAGCCAATTTTTATGCTTTTTGAACAAAAATCTGCCCACAAAAATCTGCCCATATGTTTGGGACATTTTCCGACAAAACCTACCGTACCGTGCAGCCACACTAGGGGCTAATGTTTGGATCAGATGCCGATTGGGAGACTTCGGCTGTAGCAAGTTCGTGAAACCGAAGCTCATAAGCAGTCTTGCGGCTGCCTTACCTGCCCTACCAACAACACTAGCAGTGATTCATTTCTGGCCCTATCCTGCCCCATGGCATTAGGCCCCATGGCATTAGTAAAACCCCGGTTAAAACAGCTCCTTTTTGAAAATGTTTTCAATGAGTGATGTGTCGCTTTGTTTTGCTTTAATTGGTTCTTTTCTCCAATGTCATGCAGTCGTATTTATTCAGCTTTTATTTCTTGTGTACTTGCATACTGGTATTAGTTTAGTCCCACAACCTGCGATAAAATGATCAGCTGTAGCACCTACTCCATTTTTATGTTTATGTATCTATGTCATTCGGATCTTCCCAAGTTGTACATTGTACTGTTGAGATACCGAATTCAAATAAATCAATACCAATACCAATACCAACTCTTCGGAGTAACACGCCAAAAACGTCTCACGATTCTTCCGGCACATTCCTCAATACGTTGACAGTGGCTCACTGGTATGCACGGTTGGGCTCTGTCCACTGGACATACCGGCACATTTACATGATGTAGAGAACCAGCACTATACCCAACCTGAGGATCTTAGACGCCTGAAATAAAGTATTTGGTTGAGTACTGCCTCGTTGATATGCATCGCTCATCACTACTTTTCGTAGTCGGAGCACACTGGCGCCAGAGCGACGAGCAATCATAATGTCTGACTCTGGTGCCACCTTTGCACCATGGCTGGTAGTTCGTGTACAAGACATACTTGTTGAGCACTCTCAGTAGGCTGCTCTAGTGCTGCTGCATCGCGCAATGCCCGCTACTTTTTGTAGTTTGAGCACTCTGGCGCTAGAGCGACGAGCTATCTTAATGTCTGTGGTGCCTCCTTTGCACCATGGCTGGTAGCTCGGCCTATTTAGATCGTAGCTGTACTGATGAGGCCTTTATGGCCGAAACAGCTTGCTGTCTACAGCATTGGGTATAATACAATGTCATGTACATGTACATGTAGCACCAGCAGATGGCAAACACTGTATTATGTCTGTTACTCTTACCTTTTCCAGTTTTGAACTCTCTTTCCAGTTTGCAAGCGACTTCATTTGGTGATCTTGATGCTCCTTTTCCAAACAACTTTGTCAAAACCAGAACTATAGAAGCTAAAATCGCCAAACAATGACAATGCGATTACTCATTATAGTGAAACCTCGTTAAGAAGAACACTGATAAGACAAACTTTCGCTTTAGAAGAACTAGCATTCATAACCGTATTGGATAAACACTGTGTATTCACTGGGTATAAGATATGGATAGGAAGAACTCCCGTTATTGCAAACAAATACCACCGGTCACTTAGTGTTCGCCCTAAAGAGGTGTACATGTACACTAGATCAAGATCATAACCAGTCATGTGAATGTACATGAACTGATGTAGATCAAACGTGAATCATTCATGCACACTTTACATCTTTCAAAGCATTCGTCTAGGGATTGAGTTGAATCTTTTACACAACCTTGTTACATTTGCCTTGAGTTTCTTTGGATTAGACTATTTCAAATTTTCATTTTGATTTCATCACCGAGTTTCATCCCTTGTATCTTTGGTGTTCTTCTTTCCATGTCGTATTGTTTGAATAAACCCGTTTTGAAAGATGTAGATCAAACAGTGCAGCGTGCCCTACACCTCTCACACTGATAATCGTAATATTTATTATTGTGATACGAGCTAGTGTATGATATCAGTATACATTGTAGCAAGAGTACGTGTGGGTTATGTGCTCTTGATTGTAGGACTCAAGTATGAGCTCATGCCATCCATTCTAATCACGGTATTTTCGATTTTTTACAAAGACAATGCAAACATGAGCTGCAGCTGGGGAAAATGGAATCGTGGCTTAGGTTTAGGGAACTCCATTCCTAGTCACCAAGAATATTCATTTGAATAGAGTGACTCGTGCGAAGCATTGAATACAGCTACATGTATTCAGTTAGCGATCATCAGACACCATTCACTACAGTATTTCCTTATGCTGGCTGTCGTCGTTCTAGCTCGTCCGTTTCACTGGGTTACTGGGTTGGTGTGGAACTTGATCATGATGCATTGCACATGTACATGATTGTACTCGGTACAAAAAAGGCAGAGGAGAACAGAGGGGGTCAGTTGTCTGAGGATTGCCTTAGCTTTGCTATGTGCATGAAACACAGCGTTACAACAATGACCTAGCCGGTTGTCTCCGTTCTCTTCTGCCTTTTGTGGTAATGCTCCATCTCGATGTAGTGTTGAGCACTCTAGGCAATCTGGGAACTCTCGCTATTGTGCACTCAGTACGTGTACGTAGGCATTGGCAGATTCTGCTCGAAAAGCAGTGAAATTGGCAGAACCATACAAACCTTATGGCGGGCAATTCCTCGAATTCTGCTCCATTTCTTTATCCACATACTAAACATGCATGAAACTTACCAGAAAAAGTGCCGAATTCTGCCAATTATTTTTCTGCCGGCAGAATCCGCATATGCCTACATGTACGTGTAGACTACGTGTACATGTACATGTATGTTTGGCATACAACCGTAGCTCACTTTGGCTGCACACTCCTGTTGAAAACCTCGTGTAGTCTAGAAGCGACGGGGAAAGTGTCTTTCTATGAGTAGTAGTAGGAATCTTTGTCCGATGTTTGTGGCTACCATTTACTGAGGGCATGGGGGGGGGGGGACTATACCAGATGATATTACACCACCGGGCTTCCTTTTTCTTGCTTATAGCGATGCAGCTTCCCGGAACGTGTTTTGGTGGGATGAAAATAATGTCGAGTTGGAGATTTCAGAGGGGATCTGTCATGGGGCAGTTCAGTTCATCTTTCCAAGGTTCCTTTTGAATCTCTCTCCCCTCTCCCGGGAAGACCCACGTAACAATGTTTGTGGTGGTGAGCAAGTGCAAGTACAGGTGTGTGTGTGGGGGGGGGGGGGGGGGGGGTGGTGGTGCGTGTGTGTGTGTGTGTGTGTGTGTGTGTGTGTGTGTGTGTGGTGTGTTTGTGTGTGTGTGTGAGTAGTAAGCTATGTGAGGTTTTTGTCTCATGTCAGGTACATGAAAATGGGGTACATATAGTACCCCATTTTTGCGTTGAAAATTATTTTTGGCCCGGTTTTTTTGCGGATTAAAAAAATGTTGGTTTGGGTCTTAGGACCCCATTTTTTTTTTTTTTTTTTTTTTTTTTTTTTTTTTTTTTTTTTTTTTTTTTTTTTTTTAGTGAAAATTATTTTTGGCCCCATTTCTTTGTTTAAAAGTAATGTTGTCCTTATTATTTTTATACCTCTTTTGGTCCTCAGTCTGATTATCTAACGTCATGATGACGATGCCTCGCGCCGGGCAAACTTTTTTCAGACTATATAAATGTGTATGCACGTGCAAAATGTTTTGTGCGATGCTGTGTTGATGCTATTATTATCGAGCATCATAATAATCATGCAGTTCAAAGGAAGAGTTGATTTGCTTCACTATGTGTTATTGATACGCTATTGCGTTCTGGAAGCGAGGTATAGATAGGTAGTTAGAGAAACGAGCAGACATGGAGAAGCAGACCCGCGCGTCGCACAACTCTCAGACACAAGGTAAGACGTTTGAATTGTTATTTTTGCGTTGAAAATTATTTTTGGCCCGTTTTTTTTTTGCAGATAAAAATATGTGCCAAGGGTACCCCTACCTAAAAAAAAGGGGTATTATTATGTAAGTATAAAAGGTGTGCTCTTGAATGAGGACCCAGTCAGTTTCAAGTTGTTGTAGTGCAGTGAAAATGGATTCTGAATTTGAGATCCTGTATGCTTATGTACGTTCAAAGAAGCAATGTGCGCTGGAGGAAAAGAAGAAGAAGAAGAAGAAGAAGAAGGAGATAGAGGAAAGTGAAGAAGTGTGTTATCATCGTGAAGAACAAGTTGAGCATGCTGGTCATAGAGTTTGTTCTCAGTGTGGATTGGTAATGGGGGACATTTACATGCCCGAGGTAAAGTGGAGAGAGCGTTGTACTAGCATAAAGACCTACACGGATTCCGATCGCATTCAAGGTGTGAATCGTCATCTTGTACATTTTCTCAACAAGATCAAGTTCACTTTACCGCATGCACAGTTTCACCCTGTTCAAGAGGCACTGCAAGCAATGAAGAAGGCCAGTAGCTATAAAAGCATGAACTATGCAATAGCATTATCGTGTATACTTCATGAGGATCATGATGCAGTGCGCACACTGCGTTCTTCTTTACCACGCAGTAATGTATCATGGTTGAGAAGCAGCCGCATTACACATCCTCTTCCATCATGTTTTCCACTGATGTTTCTTCTACATCTCATGGAACACATCAAGGGTCCTCTGTCCGCTAGACAGCTGAACACTCTGAAAGTTAATTTATCCTTGATGTCACCTGCAGACCTGTCCATGATGCATCTTCTAATAGATGCCTATTGTTGGCATGACTACAGTCTGGAATATTTAGTAGATCACGTGACCTCTCTCCCACCTGATCTTGCCAACATACTCTATCAATTTACCAAGACTGCAGTACGTCATCAATGTTAGCAATGCGTTGGAGATTTACACTGTCGGGAACCTGTTCTGAGACATGGTCGAGACACGTTCAGGCATGACCGAGACATGTTCCGACAGGTCAAGTGCAAGTCGTGATGTGATTGGTTAAATCTTATCATCTGCTCACCGTGTCCTCTGATTGGTTGATTCTTGAACAATTTCACCGTGTTCTCCAAGGTCGTCACCTCCCATAGGATGTTATTTCAAACTCGGCAGCGGTTAAAAGGGTATATATGTGCAAGCACAGTCCTCCATTCACTCACAACTGCCTTTGTTGTTTCGTTGCTCAAGCCTTCTCTCTCCCCCTCTGGATCTCTCTGGATCTCTCGTGACTGATATCATGATGGCCACTGATGCTGTTGTTGCTGGTGAAGATGTTGTGGACTGTTTGGGTATTGACCCGGTCGCTATCAAGACGATAAAGAAACCCGGTCTCTACAAGCGACGTGCTAGCCGTAATCCGAATCTGGAGCCTCTGCCTAAGATCAAGATACCATCTCCTCGTCCTACCATACTACCAGGTGTCGCCACCATTATTACGGATGGGGCAGCAGAGTGTGTTCAAGCAATGTACAGCAAGACCGCCCACGACTATCAGATTGCTCCTGGCACCGATTTCTACTATACGCGCGGTGATTTACCGGGCATGCTTGTCAATGGCACGGTATGCGAAGGACGCTTTGGTCAACTTAAGCTGTATGTCCAGGCTTCACAAGACGATCTCATTCAATTCTTCCTGAAGACCTCAACACCTTTGAGACGTGCCGTGAGATCTCCACATATCAACAGGATACGGAGTAACATCTTCCCTGCAATGTACCAAGGGAAGAGTGTGACTGCTGTGTATCTCAAGCCAACCAAGGGTACACCCAACTTCCCGATGAACGAAGAGTGTCAGCTCTATCTGCATCCTTCCACTATATCTTTCAACAGGGAGAAGTGCGAATTCAAGGCATGGCTTTCGGCAATCCCCCTGATGTTTGTAGACTCACGGCTTTGTGAAAGGGATCGCGACACCGTGCAAGACCTTCCCGAGACTGAATTGACCCGACTGGTGATTGAATTCCTCAAGAAGTGGAGCACTGCTGACAACGTGACTGCTGACATTGCGTTTGACACAACGGTTGCGGCGGCAGCGTCTCTCCCTGACACCCTACCGGACAATTCACTGGACTTGAATCTGCTAAATGCTTAGTCTATCTTACAACATTGATTGATCAGAAAGACTTTATATCCTAACCCTTTTTTTTCATGCTCTCTTGCTCTCTCTCTCTCTCTCTCTCTCTCTCTCTCTCTCTCTCTTGCTAACATATCATCGCTTCATTAGATTACCACTAGCGCACATGAGTATTATAATGATTTATTTGAGAAAGAAAATAGTTCCTATCATAATTAGAACAGTGTGTATGTGTGTGTGTGTGTGTGTGTGTGTGTGTGTGAAGATGGCGTACTGGGCTACGCATTTCCATAGGAGTGATGGTGATGAGGCCTCCCTCAAACACATGCAAAGCATGCGGAATGACATTATCGAGATGCAATCGGTTGTGGGGAACGATGACACCGAAAACACCTTGGTTCATGATGTGGAGAAACTGAAAGAGGAGAAAGCCGATGAGAGCAAAGTGGAAGATGTTGAAAACAGATCTACGCGCTACACAGATCAAGCCATAGCAGCTGATGAGCTGCACGTTAAAACAGACGGATCCGTGTCCATGGATGCTAACCTCGACATGAACGAACATTCAATCTGTAATTTGGCGTACGACGATAGCTCTTTGACATGTGCTGTCCCTGCCGGGTGGGTCAAGAATGAAATCCGTCAATCCTCATCGAGATTGCAACACGACATCGACGCTGTGCGCAAGATGAAAGGACCTCGTGGTGATCGGGGATTGGGATGGCTTAGCGGAGGTGGCATGCCACTGAACTCTGTAGGGAGAAATGGTGACTTCTATCTCGATGCAACCACGCTGATCGTGTAAAAGAAATTCAGCTCTAAATGGATGGCGTTTGGTCGGCTTCATGGATCAAGAGGTGAAGCTGGTCCACGTGGAGAACGTGGATTGATCGGTCCTGAAGGCGAGACTGGACCTAGAGGAGCTGATGGGCAAGGTGGTGAACGCGGTCAAAAAGGTGATCAAGGAATACCTGGTCCAGAAGGTCCCAGAGGTGAAGTTGGACCACGTGGAGAACGTGGATTGGTCGGTCCTGAAGGTGAGATTGGACCTAGAGGAGAAGATGGGCAAGACGGCCGACAAGGTGAACGTGGTGTGCAAGGTGCTCAAGGAACCACAGGTCCCGTGGGTCCCCAAGGAACCATCGGTGCAACCGGTCCTCCAGGAAACAGAGGTCCTGTGGGCCCCCAAGGAATCGTCGGCCCCATAGGTCCTCCAGGAGCCAGAGGTCCCGTAGGTCCGCAATCAAATCAGAACCTATCCGATCCGTTTCATCTACTACCTCACATTCGTAGAAACGCCTACCTCTACATATACTCTCATCCTAGCAGATTTGAATCCGTCACCAGGGTGAGCAGAAACAGATACAGAGGGATAAATCTCGTTGACATGAAGGACAAGAGAATCAACGTGAACAACATCGACATGTTCCGAGACGATCACTTCTACCTCAACATTACACAACACCAGCAAGTTTCCATTAGAGAACGATTCGTCAATCTGTTTCACGACAACATGTCTTTTGCAATGTTCCAAGTAATTCAAGTGGACGCACCTGACCCTAGAAACATGGGATTGAAGGCATTCGATATCGATACTGTCGGAAATTTCACCTTGGATAGTTTGTACGTGTTGTTCACTGCCACCCACATAAGAGGCAACTACTTCACGGATTCCGGCCATTCATCATTCAACCTACCCGTTTCGTATTTAGCGAACCAATTATCGGCGGCTTTGGATAAGCCTGTGTCGAGCACGACGGATCTCTTGGGTACAAAGTGTGTCATAAGTTACGCTCGGAATTCAGAAGGCCTATTCACTCTATACGTAAACTCCTTTTTGATACATTCCAACTTGGACACTGACCCATTTTCCAGAACCAATGGAATCGAAGATTGCGATTATCGCATTGGTGGTACTCGATTCTTCAACGGCACTACGTCAAAGTTGTTCTGTCATTTGCACTTTGCAGAGAGTTTATCTTCTCACACAATCCAGCGCATACACACAGAACTCATGGCACACTATAATATATGAAAGTGCTACTTTGATTGTACGTAATAGCACACATGCTACACTACATTCATGAAATGAAAATGAAAAATAAAAAAGAGAGTGTCCCTACAAGTTCTTCACCATGTACAGTCATCATCATAAGTTGAACGGGTTCTTTCTAGCTCAGAGCTTTGATAACATTAATGACATGAAGATTAATGCAAACTTTATGTATCTATTTCGCTTCACTGATAAAAGCAATATCAAGCGTTATCTCAATACTCTTTTTGGTGGTCTGTGCACGAAGTCATCCATTATCTTTAGATTGTATGAGAAGTTATTGGCGATGTGTCGCAGACCTATCCTAACCATTGATTGCTCTTCTAATCAGTACTACACGTATTGCGAAGACACTGCATTAAAGGTGATTTTTGAATAAAACCCTCGTTGATTTGCGTGTTTGTGTGTGTGTGTGCACGATATTAGCCGAAAAGTTAGCCGAAAAGTTAGCCGAAAAGTTAGCCGAAAAGTTAGCCGAAAAGTTAGCCGAAAAGTTAGCCGAAAAGTTAGCCGAAAAGTTAGCCGAAAAGTTAGCCGAAAAGTTAGCCGAAAAGTTAGCCGAAAAGTTAGCCGAAAAGTTAGCCGAAAAGTTAGCCGAAAAGTTAGCCGAAAAGTTAGCCAAAAAGTTAGCTGAAACATTGGAAAAAAATGCCATTCATGTATTAAGAATAGAGCACCTAACAGTGAGATTCTCCAATGGGCTACCGAGTAGTATACGGAAAGTTGGATCTAAAGTTGGATCGTTCATCATTCCCAAACAGAAGAGGTTGCGGACGCTACAGTTTATGTTGAGGCATCCTCAGCATGGCATCAAGAAGAGAGCGTCATCGTGGGAAGTTCTTGGTACACCTCCTCGAATGCAACAGAAGGGAGGTATCAATTATAATACCTACTTGAAAAGCGTGAAGAAAGTTCTATCGCAGGTACCAGATCACAACTTGAGCAACGCTACACTATTAGAGCTTCAAACCGACCCGCGAATAAAGAAACTGTATGCCACCCACTTCAAAAACACTCCAGATCACATCAGTTACCCTTCAGTACGAAACGTGATTACCTCCAACATACTTAACTATGACGCTTCGACTGGTCAAGTGCGTGACTCTGTGGCTGATGTGAGGAAAAAGAGGACCGCACCGTTAACTTCAATCCCCCTCAACCTGACACAAGATCATGAATTTGATCGAGGGATCCTGCAAATCCTAGATGGATTCCTTAAACGGACGGATATACCGCAGACCTTTCTGAAGAGCAATTACTTCACCAGCAGATCTACGCTGCTTCAACTATACGATGAAGATCGTTTGCGCTTCAAGAGCAAGGTTGAGGAAGCATCAGATGCTCTCAAGGCACAGACGATGAACGACTATACAATCCCGGTGAACGAAACAAATCGCATCTACCTATCCCGGTACCCATTTGGCTACATAGCCGGTGCTATCGGCATCAACAGACATGCTGGACTGAAGAGGTGTTCACTGTGGACCAAGTTCTGTCATCATCACCCCACACCTACAGAATTCGTGACTTAATGGGAGAGGTCATACTGGGAACTTTCTATGAAGTAGAACTACAACACGCCAGAGAGACCGGATTGAGATTCGATAAAGTCTTGAAATATAAGAAGGATAAACGTTTCGTGCAATGGAAAGGCTACAGCAATGAGAAAAATTCAATACAGGGCTGAAGAAGAAGGAAGTTGACAGTCTTAAATCTTGAATAACAACTATGTACAATTTTCAAATGTACTGTGCTGTGTGTTTCATGATGATCAAGAATATGTGTGTTCGGAGGTTTGAGCATGTGTGCACATAGACACACTTTAACAACAGATTGTTAATGCGTAGAAATGTCCTTGTGCCCATAGGCCAGCGTGTGAACTCCATCCTCCAGGATGTATTTCTTGGAGTCAAAGCCACTGAGTGCTACCTTCAGGGTACTCTCGCCATAGATATGGTGCTTGCGGCTGCGTAGTGCATTCATCACTCGACTCATTTGTACTTGTTGTGTGAGGCATCGACGATAGTCATCCATTGTGATCGACGATTTGAGAACCTCGCGTTGGACACCTTTTGCCCGCTTGTCACTGCTACCTCCTGCACACTCATACGCGTACATCTTACTCCGAAGGGCGACAAACTCGGCGATGGGCTGCCCTCCCAGCTCGTCTTTGAATTTACCCACAACTTTCCTATTGATGTTGCTGTGAAGCGGGTGGTCCACGGGATAATTGGACGTGTCATAGGCATCACCATACTGTTGCATGTCCACGTACACATCTTCGGTCTCTACAGATAATACCAGACTGTCGGTGTCCGTATAGAGCATGTGAAGCTTATCCTCGTAACGTGGTTGAAGCACACTGTAGTAGAAATCGTACATCAATAACTTCGATAGATCGAGAATCGTTGCACCTACGTACACGGGTTTCGTTAGAGTGACCTTCTCCCTTGAGCATTCGACTGATACCAGATCATTATCGAACACTACGCTCCGAATGTATGAGGGTTTGTTAATACGTCGCTGAATCTTCTTTTCCTCCTCGTTTGCTCTCAGCACACGGAGGTTGATGCGGTTCCTCACGTTCTCCATTGTTTTTCCGTAGACAGAATTATTCATGAGCTGCACACGTGAACAAAGTGTGTAGAAAAAAAGACGAAAAAAAGAAAAGAAAAAAGAATTGTCAGGTACAGACATAAAGAATTGATTATCATATTGTAGGAAAATACCTGCATTGATAATTTGTATGATTCACACACACACACACACACACGCACGCACGCACGCACGCACGCACGCACGCACGCACGTACACATGCACAGAAAGAAGATATGCCTAACCTTGAAGAAATCCTTTTCAAAATCAGATGTGGCCATCTTTCTCAGTTCTGTGTTCTTCTCAATGTAAGAACGCATCCACGGTTCTTGACGGAATGAGAGGATACGATGAACATCAGGCACCTCGACACCGAGAGCCACATACTGTTGTAGATTCCTGTAGTGCAGGATATAGCGTTGCTTGGGGAGGAGATTGGGGATGAGCTTTGTTGCTTCCAAACCAATCACCTGAAACACCATACCAACACAATCAGAAGATCCGCAATGGATTAGATAACATAGAATATTCACCACAATCATAAAATCACCAAAACAAAATCATCAGCAATAATTGTATTCGTAGTAGTAGCACTAGTGCGAGCATAGACAGCAGCACAAGAGCACACAATACATACCTTTTGCTGGTCTGTCAGGTTCCTTTGGTACGGTGATAGCATATCATGTGTCACCTTGAAGCGCTCTGGGGCCAGCGGGTAGTCGTTAAAGTAATCGTGTAGTTCTTTGGGAATCTTCAAATCGCATTCGATAAGATACCCCGTAGGTGCATCGGTTGGGTGCTGTAGGATATCAGCGATCAACTCATCCGTCGGTGACAGGAACTTGAACCGGCCAACAGGCAGAGGTTGCATCATGGCCCACCCGTACAAGTTGTTCGCATCGAGATACATGATGAAGGAGCTTGGTTGTTGTTCATCGTAATCAGGTAGATACTTGTTGTTTGCCTTCGACCACCTGTGCGAAACCATGCTGATACCGCCGCGCTTGCCATGCTCCACGAAATTGTACACGTCAACATCACTGAGCTGATCAAGAGAAACTTTCGTCAGCTTCAGAAGTGCATCCCAGGCCAGGCCGGGTAGAGTAAGATAGTTGGCTGGGTCCAGACCATACGTATCATATGCTGTCTTGCGAAAGTTCTCAAATACATCAGCCAACAGGATGACATCTGTGAGGAGGTAAACATCGTGATAGTCACCCATATCCTGACATGCGAACGTAGTCCAAACACGTTGGGCATGGGCATACTCCTCATCCGTAATACCTTTCCCGGTGAGGGACGAGTGAAAAGCTCCTTTTTCAGGTAGCTGTGTTTCATCAAAGCACTCAAATCCTGTCATGTGCTCGTACGGGTAAATACCCTTCTTGCATACCAAAGCACGCTGTACTGGGTCCGGAAACGCATCAACCAGGATTCTGAATTTGTCTTGGGGTGTTAGGCTGACCAGCCGCTCCAAAGATGTATTCAGGAATGCAAGACTGTCAATGAACTGGTATTGCCGCCATCCAAATGTGAGGTATTTTTCACTATTTACCGGTATGATGGATATACCTCCAAGTTTCCTTGTCTGTAAAATACATACACACACACACACACACACACACACACACACACACACACACACACACACACACACACACACACAAACACACACACACACACAGAAAGAGATGGGAAAACCATCAATGTGCAATGTGTTGACAGTGACATTCAACGACCTGACGTTCGGCTCCATCACGTATTGAATACACGGATCAACAGTCTTCACGCCAGTCATAAAATTCCAGTCATTTGAAGAAAGAAAAAACATGAAAAAATCAATGTGCAATCATGAACACAACCAATTCAACTCAAATACATCACAGATTATGGTAACATCAGTTAGTTGTACCAGGAAACTCACCTTCTCTTTACCATGCTCCTCATACGTCACTTCATCACAGGAAGTTCGCCCCATCTGTGATATGATATGATGTGAGTCATAGCCTTTCAAGTTGTGAAAGACAACTGGAATCTTGATGCGATACGGGCAGATTCTCAACATCAAGTTACACTTGTTGTGCGCCGGACCCCGGTAGTCTCCAGTGATGTGACAGTGGTCACGTACTCTGTCACCACCAAGCGGATTTTCGCATACCCAACACACCGTAGCCGTGTCGAATGCCATTTGTTGCTCATCTGTGAAATTCATAGCTGCTGGTTGGGTCAGATCTGCACGGATTCTCTCCTCCTCTTCCTCAAGAGCCAACAAGAAGTGGTACATTGCATCCTCTCCACGGTAATCGTAACAGTTGGTAACGTGTCCATCGGATCGTACAACAATGTAGCACACGGAGCATGCTAAGTGTTCATTCTTTTGTTCTGTTGCGTTTCCTATTTTTGTTGGTTCATCCATGGATGAAATCAGTGCCTCACAGTCAGCGTAGATCACATAGGGTGCTGGCAAGCGCTTGTGGAAATTGTTGAAGCTGATCTGTGCATCAGGCTTACCCATCTCTACCCGTGCCATAGCATGCTCTTTGCAGTAGAGTAGGTGTCTATCGAGTTTGTCTTGTGACAAATGCAGGGAGAGACAGCGGAAACAGATGAAGTGCTTCCTACGACTAGTAGATGATGCAACAAGTCGACTCATATTTTTGATGTACACCCAATGCTGAGTTTGACCATCGCCGAACAGTAGGAGGTTGATAGCAGCTTGCGGTTGTTCCGAAACACGGATAGGGTAGAGTGACTTGCTTTCGTACCCAAATGCATTGATGAACAGACCAGGATTCATCTTCTCAAGCCGATCGATGTCTGTGGTCTTCGCAGGAAACTCTATGCCATCCACATTAATGTCATTGATGTGGGTGCGATACACTGAAACGCGTCCTGAGTTGTGGTTTGGGAATTTAGCAGCAAGAATAGCCCACCTGTACAGAAGGAACATTTCATGAGATACAAGTGATGATGATGATGATGAATTCAAAAGCATTATACATGTCAGAAACGTCATGAAAATTTGATGTGTGAGATACATGTGTGAGATAACACAACAACTATATAAATAACTTACAGCATACACTTTTGGTCTGAGTTGATGACGTTGATGATGGCCTTCTTATTCCGCAATTCGTCAGGTAGTGGAAGATACGTCGATCCACGTAGTGGCTGGTACTTTGAGATTTCGATGTTCAGAGCTTCTACACGATCTATAGTCCAGCCAGATGAGTGCTGCACAAACCGCTCAATCTATTGATAACACACAAATGGATACATACATGATCTTCAGATTCAATGACGAGGATACCAAACTGTGCACTACAGGCTTACCTGTTCGTTGATGACGTCGAACATGGATGTTACCGTTGAGGAAATGTCTTCTGTGATGAGAATAGCTTTCGTACGTGATCGGAAGAAAAAGGTATTCGAGATAACTTCTCCGGTAGCAGGGTTTACCTTTGACATGATAACCCTCACAACTAATGATAACTTGAACTGTCCGAAATCATCGATTGTTTGTGCGAGCACATCCTCAATGGCATACGTGACAAAACTGAAATATTGCAAAACATCAAATGCATTCACCGGCCTGTGAATGAAATACCTTAGCAGCCGCTGGCAATGACAAGACTCGAAGTCAATCCTTGGTCGCTTAGGAATGGGTTCCATTTTTCATGGTTGGATTGAGGTAAAATATTGAAGCCAAGAAGCTGTTACTGTATCCCTATTTATAGGTTCAGTATGAGGATAGTTGAACAATGCTACAACACTGTGTTCTAGTTTCACCAATCACCATCCAAGACCTGATCAGAAATTACCCAATCAACTGTCTCTCTCTCTCTCTCTCTCTCTCTCTCTCTCTCTCTCTCTCTCTCTCTCTCTCTCTCTCTCTCTCTCTCTCTCTCTCTCTCTCTCTCTCTCTCTTATATATAACAGGATTCAGAACATGTCAGAACATGTCAGAGCTTGTCTGAACATGTCAGGTCATGTTAGAGTTGGTCTGGATATGTGAACACAGGTTACTTCATAGTTTACCCCCACAGCCTTACCAAATTAGGAAAAGGGAAATACCCCCCCGGGGGGGGCCGAAAATGAAAAAGACGGGTTCAACAACTGCTAAATGTATCGCTCGTAACGTGGTCCGTGACGTTACAAAAAGGGGCCGTAGAAACGCAGAAGGAGCGGCAGAGAGGCGTGTTCCTGTTGTCCGCACGGGAAAAGTGCCTGAAATATACTCTATTGATCACGATGAAAGTGAAAGGATGCAAAAAGTAGTACCATGAGAAAGCCTGTGAAAAGCTCCACACCATGGTCATTTTCATTAAGAATTTAAAATCAAAAACAAAAGAGATATGTCAGGATGAAGTTGTTAAAAAAACGCAAAAACGGGTCCATTGGAAATCTTGTGGACTTCCGCCGTGACGCACAGCGTGTTCTCCAAGGTCGTCACCTCATCCTACAAAACTCAAGGGGGGGTCCTATTATTTTCAATCTTACATATACTAACCACACACCAGTGTGATCTGCCACAATGTGTCTAAATTCTTTCCGTAATCTTTAGCAAAATGGGTACGTACTACTTAGTGAATGTCGATATCAGAGATAGGGTTTCCCTCTACCAGTTGCGTGATGCTGCACAGGTAGACTTTTTGCTTGATCAATATGATTGCTACCGTGATGGAAGGAATCCAATGGAAGCCGCTACATTTCTTTGCAGATTATCCCAGGGGACCTTTCTGGGGGCAACGTGTCCCAGAATCGATGTATGCGGGCAGAACGTGATTGACTTCGAAGAGCTATCGAGCGCGGACAGCGGCATGTTGATACACGTCAAGAACGGCAATACAGAGATGTTTACCTACTTCAACGCTACACTACGAAATGAGCTTCAGACACTGATAGCCACCAACGGTGACAAGATGTCAGTTGGCAACTTCCTACGGCTCATCATGACGATTAATGACAACACATTTATTCGAAATGACTCCGGGAAGATATTCGCAAGCCCAGCTGTGCGACTCCGTGTCCACGCCAGAAGACGATTCAACATTCAGATAAAGGTAGAGTTCGACGAGGAGTCTAATTCTTCTAACAGCGCCACGTCGGCCTATGTCCGGAAGAGGCCCAGAGAGGTGGGTGATATCGACTCGGAATGAATGATGAAAATTCAAACGGTATGCTTCTTTTTCTCTCTCTCTCTCTCTCTCTCTCTCTCTCTCTCTCTACTACTACTATACTACTATCAATATAGATCTGATGTTAATCGTAGGGTACATTGTTTCACATAGTATAGAATTCAATAATAATAATAATTTAGAAGTCAATCGTATGTTTCATTAGTGTTCACCTCGCTGGGTGGATAGGATTTTTCTTTCTCTCTCTCTCTCTCTCTCTCTCTCTCTCTCTCTCTCGCTCTCTCTCTCTCTCTCTCTCTCTCTCTCTCTCTCTCTCTCTATCTCTCTCTCGCTCTCTCTCTCTCTCTCTCTCTCTCTCTCTCTCTCTCTCTCTCTCTCTCTCCCTCTCTCTCTCTACTACTACTATCAATATAGATCTGATGTCAATCGTAGGGTACATTGTATCACATAGTATAGAATTCAATAATAATAATAATTTAGAAGTCAATCGTATGTTTCATTAGTGTTCACCTCGCTGGGTGGATAGGATTTTTCTTTCTCTCTCTCTCTCTCTCTCTCTCTCTCTCTCTCTCTCTCTCTCTCTCTCTCTCTCTCTCTCTCTCTCTCTCTCTCTCTCTCTCTCTCTCTCTCTCTCTCTCTCTCTCTCTCTCTCTCTCTCTCTCTCTCTCTCTCTCTCTCCCTCTCTCTCTCTCTACTACTACTATCAATATAGATCTGATGTCAATCGTAGGGTACATTGTATCATATAGTACAGAATTCAATAATAATAATAATTTAGAAGTCAATCGTATGTTTCATTAGTGTTCACCTCGCTGGGTGGATAGGATTTTTCTTTTTTTCTCATTTATTAGAATGTCTCTAGCTCCATCGCAATATTTAGTATCTATCGCTGACAAATTATTACAAGATGTCTTCACAATAATATAATCGTGCTTCACTAAACTGCAATTTCAAAACAATTTGAACGTCTTACCTTGTGTCTGAGAGTTGTGCGACGCGCGGGTCTGCTTCTCCATGTCTGCTCGTTTCTCTAACTACCTATCTATACCTCGCTTCCAGAACGCAATAGCGTTTCAATAACACATAGTGAAGCAAATCAACTCTTCCTTTGAACTGCATGATTATAATGATGCTCGATAATAATAGCATCAACACAGCATCGCCCAAAACATTTTGCACGTGCATACACATTTATATAGTCTGAAAAAAGTTTGCCCGGCGCGAGGCATCGTCATCATGACGTTAGATAATCAGACTGAGGACCAAAAGAGGTATAAAAATAATAAGGACAACATTACTTTTATACACAAAGAAATGGGGCCAAAAATAATTTTCACTAAAAAAAAAAAAAAAAAAAAAAAAATGGGGTCCTAAGACCCAAACCAACATTTTTTTAATCCGCAAAAAAACCGGGCCAAAAATAATTTTCAACGCAAAAATGGGGTACTATTAGTACCCCATTTTCATGTACCTGACATGAGACAAAAACCTCACATAGCTTACTACTTGTGTGTGTGTGTGTGTACGTGTGTGTGGTGTGTGCATGTGGTGCGTGTGGTGTGGTGTGTGTGTGTGTGTGTGTATGTGTGTGGTGTGTGCGTGTGTCTGTGTGTGGTGTCTGTGTGTGTGTGTGCGTGCCATAGTGTCTGTTTATGATGTAAGTGCGCAGGTGTGTCCAGATGTATTGTGCAGAAATCAGTAGGACACACAGACTGGAGGCACGTAAATCTACATGAGTATTAATAAAATATTGCCCGTCGCACAAGCGTGTCCAGTGCGCGTTTGAAACGTGCACTGTTCATGCAGAGCTAGTATCTGTTTTAAGGCAGAGCTAGACAGCTGCGTGAAATGCAGGCGGCGCATGGCCGTACCTGTATCCTCCTCACAAACCATGTCTTTCAGTTTGTACGTGTATGTGCAAGCAATTATTTTAGTATGCCACTTGCGAAGGCTACAGACACACTACAGTCTACAGTGCAACCAAGCGGCTCTGAAGCTATGCGAGCAGGGAGGGACTGGCCCTGTACGGGGAGGTGGTCGCCAAGCGACGCGAGAATCATGGGCTGCAAATGTTCACACCATGATTGTCGTGTTGTTACTTTGAAAGTCAACGACAACGGTGAGCAAGCTCAACAACACGCTAGTGTAGCAACCCCTTCAGCCGAAAGCCTGCCTAGCTAAATCTATACACACTCATCTAGTGTGTGTTGCCAGTCATCACAGCTCAGTCTGCAGTGTGCTGTGCCCAGTGGCAAATAGAGTCTGAGCAGCATCCGTATACTGCAGCGAGCTTAGACAAGTCCATGTTCACAGCAAACCGCTCCCTGTCCGATTGTCGTTGAGTATGACTATGACTACGTACCAGTTTCACCACTAGCTGAAGTACCTGAGAGTAGCTTTGCTCGCCTAGGAGCATTTCAAACAGGACTCTTTGAGTTCAGGCACAATCAATAACTTGATAGCTACCAACAGACTTGCAGGTCTGGACTGGAAGTTTGCTGAGCATTTGCTTGCTGGCGTCAAGCATGTCATCCCAGTCTCGCAGTGAAGACAACCACTTGAACAGCGGTAAGCCCACATACACTATCATTGTAACGTTAGATGTCGAGACAACGATTCGTGAAGTGCTTGCTACAATCTACGAGTACAGTTGTGGCCACAAATCCGACCACTGAGCCGAAAGCAGCGACAAGGATTGCGGCCCCGGGGCCTGCGCCCTCGGATGGGCTTTTGGAGGCGCTGCCTTTGACCAGTGGGTCGGATTTCTTGGTCACGACTGTACAGTATAATGTCATTACCCATCAATGCTGCATGGAAGTCGCAAGTAAATACTGCAGCAGAACCCCCCAAACTTAATGTTGTGGAATTCCAGCCGACACAAAGCTGCTTCAACAAGCTTTGGATGGAGGTTTGCGTTTGGTTTTTAACCTCCTATCATGTCGAGATACGAGTTAAACCCAGAGCCAAAGCAATGCACCACTAGCAATAAGCCTGGCACACAGTGCTATCGTGTATGGCATGTAGTTAATTCATCAGTGCAAAAGCCTTGAATTTCTCTACTTTTTCGTTGAAGAAGTTCTTTCGGGAATCAGCGTCGTATTCTTGAAGGGAAGCGAGATGATATCCGACAGATCCCAGAGCGTGGACATCCTGCAGTACGTCCATGCTCCACATTTTCCCTGTCCAGGTTCAAAAGTAGTGAACAGTAAGAATATTATGTAAGCCAAACAAGCACACTGTGCATGACTTAATGTAGCATCTTTCTCTAGCGCCTGAGAACACCATTTCGGTATCATGTGACTTGGCGAGAGAACCGAGCTGGCCCGGTGAACAGATCGGAACTATATAAGAGCCTTGCATTGCGGAACACCGGATGCATTCCCTTTCTATCATGACTCTACTTGGAAGACATTACCAACAGTATTCTCTGCATTAGGGTTAAAATCCCTGAAGGCTGAAGGCAAATTCAGGCGCAAGTGCACAACATCATGCAGTAGCACTGATTTGAAGACTAAGCAAACTCTGGTGGACGTGGTAGTTAACACTGTCTGTAGATCAGTAGAGTGTATCTCTACTAAGTCTAGTATTTCTACGGTGAAGTCATGCAGCATACATGTACATGTACATGTATGTCATGCTTAGCCTGGCTAGCGACCACAGCTATTGACTGTGTAACGAGATAAAGTCACTCAGTTTGACTGATATGAAAGAAAAGGGGGATTTGTCTATACACAACTGATATGATAACATTTTTTATCTTAGGAATACTCCACCTCATGTAGCTGTTTCGGTCTTTTTACGTCTCATCAGAGGAGCTGCGAGTCACTGGCCGAGCCGACCACAATGAAACGTAGTGAACACCAAACTGTCCAAAGCATTTTTGTCAGAGTGCTCTAGAGACACCACGAAGCCAGGGAACTTCGATAGTTGATACTAGCCAGAAAGGCAAGCGCCTGGGCGAGGTAGAGTTATGTACAATCATGAACATGAACATGACTTTCGTGCCAGTGCTAGATACATGTACGTGTACGGAGGAATAGACAGTTGTGGTCACTATGATTGTCTGAAAAGCCCTGTCCTGCTTCTGTCCTGAGCCGCTCGTACACAGTAACACTAACAGGGAACATGACGTACACGCTCGGTGTATGACAGTTGGTGTCGTTTAGTGCTCGTATGCGGTGGGCAAAATTTGGACATATCCTGCAACTGTTGCATGCAGGCGAATTCTAGTAAACCATAATATGACGTACGTGTATCAGTGTCTAGCGCGTGTGTCTGGTGTAGGAGTTGACATTTTACGACTCTTTTGGGGTGAGGGGAAGAGGATAATGAGAAATGACCCACCTACAGCCAGAATGTAGACTACATTGTGACGTGCATGTGGTTTTGGGTTTGGCTCCAGATCCATAAACATGTTGAGGCGAGGACGTTTGGGACGTCTGCCTCTTGTTACTTGTGTCTGCTTCTGCGGAGAAAAGGGGAAACACATGTACAGAGACGGGCAAGACACGTCTGTAGGTGATAGTAATCCACAGCCGGTATGCATTGCGTCAACTTCGACATCCCACAAGCTAGGCTGCTTGGTGTGGTGTTTGGCCTACAAAGTAACGAATGAGTATGACAAGCTTCGGGATGGCATGAACGAAGTATCGTGAATCTACAAGTACAAGAGCTTACGCGTTCATGAAATCAGATAATAGAATTTAATACACTGTCTCAGTGCATATCGTTCTCTCATGTTCCATTTTCATTCGACTCTTGTCAAGCTGTGTGGATAATGGTCATGAGCTGGGAATTTCCGGGTTGCACATGGGTATTTTCCCGGCACAGTATAAACACATAACACACACTTATGGATCAGGGTCTGAGCGGGGCACAATACAGAAGAGCGACAGCGTACTGTTGACGTTCCCGAGGTGGAATATAGAATCAAAGTCTTCTTCCGATATGTCGTCAGGTTTCACGTTCTGCGCCGGCACACATGCATCTAAAGTAACTTGAAAGGAACGTGTGCATCGGCAAAGCCCTTGGGGCGCCGGCGCCGACGTCGCGCCCAGCGGCCCTACCCTTCTCGGCAGCATAGCTAGTACTGTGCAGCGGAACGTGACAGCATCAGAACACATACAAGTCGTACGGTTCACCTCATTTGCTGACGAGCTTGCTCCTCTAAAATCAGGAAGCTCCTCATCTGCTTTTTATTATTCTTTATTTCCACGATGACCCATGACCAATTAGGAAGATAATTACGATTCAAATCAGTCCACAATCACATAAATCAATCTAACAAGTAGGGAAGCAGAAAGCAGAAGCATACGCATTAGCAATGCTCTGGCAGATCATGCTCTTGCATTATCATACCGGATAGGGCCACCTGGCACGGGACTAAAATGCTTAACTCAAGGCGTGGAGCTCTGATTTGTAATCCCCTTTCCCATTTCCTTCCTGAGATGTCAGGGTGTCGTACATTGAGATTTCCGTGTACATTGTGTAGTAAATGTATGTATTATGTCGAAGAGTAATTACTTTGCAAACATGCATACCATTGCATACCTGATGAGGGCAATTTTGCAGAAACGTTGTAATAATTGATTGAGAAACGAGTTCGAGTTTGCAGAGTGGATGGGAAGAGAGCGGATCTGCTCTGAATCCTTTTTTCCTGTACAGTCGTCCCTCTCTAATCCAGTACTTTATAAACCAGCACCCTCGATAAACCAGCACAATTTTCAGGAGCCAAAATGTCCTCTTCATGCACATTGCAGCAGTAAATCAGATTTGTTAATTCAGCACCCTCCCTAATCCAGCAGAATTTCCGTGGCACAAATGTTGCCGGATTATAGAGGGACCACTGTAATTGCTTGCCGACTAAAGACCAGCTAACGTTTCGGATTGTCCGTAAACACCTACCAGTACAGTACCTGTCTGAAGATTAAGCCCCGAGTTGTGTACGCTTCGTAGGCTGCATTGTATCGTATCAAGTGGTGTCTATTATAACGTGTGTTAACACCTTCCTTAGGGTGTGCACACTCCACTGTTGTTACTTGATTTATTTTATCATTGGAAGAACTTGTACTAAGTTGTAGGCGAGAGCCCGTTTTTGGGTACTAATACTAATAGTGGTGTATAATTGTGTAAAACGTAACGAGTGTAGCATCTTTTTTATTGCGCGTGAGTTGCGTCTAGCAGCATTATTCTAGTATATGTGCTACTGCTAGGTCATTTCCACGTGCGTCTCATTACATGGCGAGAACTCAGTGAGTGGGCTCATGTTATGATCGCCAGACAACAGTTCTGTCCATGTCTTGTGCCATGTACTGGATGCACGCATTGATATCCCAACGAAACATACAATTCGAATGAAAGTACCCTGCATGCATGGCCGGACCGGGAAAGTCGGAACATCGTCTAGTGTTCAACGAGCGATCTGGATTACGATCGTGTAGAACCAGGTGGCTAGCAAATAACTTGCGACATGAAACTTAGAATGATAATTATTGAGACAAATGAACGACAGAGTGGCTAACCCCAAAGGGAGATGTTTGTCATAGTGTTGTATGGGTGCGGAGGTATAAGAAAGTATATGGACCAGAGCTGTAGTGCAAAACTTTATGATAGGCAAATGCCGTTGGGAAAGAAATGTGGCTTGCAGACGGTCGCAGTGACAGGCGAGGCGGCTTTTAGAAGTTCAGACAGTGTTCACGGTGCAGGACCATGCCTCGAGCACGGCCCGATGGCAGAGAGTGCGGTGAGTTCTTCCTTTTGGCAATGTACCTGTCAGAGTTGAGACGGCCCTAATGCATAGACAGAGTAAACAGAAATCAAACAATCAGTGAAGCCATCGAGAAAGAGATAGAGAGTGTGCGTACGTGTGTGAGATAGATTATGATAACGAGAGGGACAGAGAGTGGGAGGGAGATAGATATAGATAGAGAGTGAGAAAGTGTGTGTGTCCGGAGAGAGAGAGAAAAATAGAGAGAGAGAGAGAGAGAGAGAGAGAGAGAGAGAGAGAGAGGCAAGAGGCACCTTCAACTTCTTTGATGCTACTTTCCTACGCAGAAAGCGTCCATTTGTGCCACTTCACCCTATACGTATACTTATTCCTTTCCTTGATATTCATTCATTCGTTATCTACTTCCACTGAGAAGCTCTCAATGAGGCTGTCTGGAGGATATGGAACATCATTCTATTCAAGAGCGAACTTCTTCGCTATGGAATTGTGAATGTGGGTCAAGAGCGAAGTGTGGAGAGGTGGACAGTTTCAAACTTGAAGTAAGGCTAGAGGTTCAACCCACACAACAGCTACGACTCCTACGTCGTTGCCGATTAAGACTGACCTTAGACGACAGTATATCATTGCCTGCCGTGTCGTTTACCATGTTGCCTGCAGTAGGCCGTGGTGCCACACCGGGCCATGTGGGCCGGCGACGAGCACCAGTAACTTGGTCCCCACGTACACGGATTGGATCCATATCCACCTGCACCGGCGTCGGCGTCGCGTCGGTTGCCAAGTCGACTACAGACGGCCGCCGTGGTACCACACTCTGCCATGTGGGCCGGCGACGAGCACCAGTAACTTGGCCCCCACGTACAGGGATTGGATCCATATCCACCTGCATTGGCGTCGGCGTCGCGTCGGTTGCCAAGTCGACTACAGACGGCCGCCGTGGTACCACACTCTGCCATGTGGGCCTGCGACGAGCACCAGTAACTTGGTCCCCACGTACAGGGATTGGATCCATATCCACCTGCATTGGCGTCGGCGTCGCGTCGGTTGCCAAGTCGACTACAGACGGCCGCCGTGGTACCACACTCTGCCATGTGGGCCGGCGACGAGCACCAGTAACTTGGCCCCCACGTACACGGATTGGATCCATATCCACCGGCGTCGGCGTCGCGGCGGTTGCCAAGTCGGCTGCAGTACACCCTCGTGTGACACCTTGCCATGTGAGCCGGCGACGAACACCAGTAACCTGGTCCCCACGTACAGGGATTAGCACCGAGCAAGCCTGCCTCTCGTCGCTCACCAGCGACAGCATACCCGCTACTGGCCGAGGCGCAGTCTCCTACCAACATGCTGCATAGTATCAGGCCGAAACTGACAGACAAAGGGTTTGCGACGTGCATGGCTGTCGATGACTAGCTGTGTTCAATCTGAGATTGCAGAACTTTGTATTCCACTAGCTTCTCCTCTGTCCTCGCCGCATAAGAGGGGATCGTTTGCTCAGGTGCAGTGCGTCTCGCAATTGTCTTCTCAATGGACGCATGTCATAATAATTATTATAAGGAGTTGAAGCGGAGCGGCAGCTGCGAAACACCAGCGTCGGGTAGCTGCTTCCTGCGATCTGCAAGGCAGACTACACAGTGTACTTGTAAGGGGCTAGCATGGGAAGTCCATTTCAGTGCAAGCTGAACGCGGGGACACACGCGGATTTTCTGTGGCCTGTATAAATCTGCATCTTTAAGAACCTGAGGAGCGCGGTATGTATGTTGCCCTGGGCTTTGGAGACTCTGAAGACACTCCGGAAACTTGTAAAAGCCAGACCCGGTGAACTGGGGCTTCTTCCGCAGGATACTGAAATGGAGTTGAATGGACAGAATGCGGAATGATGGGGGACGGTTCACAAAATTTTCGACTGTCAGCTTTTAAAACGTATGGGTGACCAGCATCAGTTTTCATTCTAATTGAAATTTGATGTATTGCATGAGTTGAATTCTCTGAGCCATACCTCAATATCTGGAAGGAACGCATGGATAATTATTATGCTACAATTCTACAGTGGAAGTTTCAAACATGGGAATCCGCAGTTCGCAACAGTTTCCCGAAACTCCAATATATAGGGGAAGAGTGTGTTGCTCCCTACATGGGAGCTCGCGGTTTTCCTGCCGACTTGAATTCTCACTTGACTGACTCACGACTGCCATCCAGAGCACACGAGAAGTCCATCGAACCGTCCACTCGGCAAACCTGCAAGAAAGCACCACTCCCTGCTCAATACACAGTATTTCGGGGAATTCACCCCTCATCAGTTGAGCTTGAGTGTAGGCTGAGGAAGATTGTGCCTGAAGAGCACCACTTTTATAGTGTTCTCCAGGCACAAACATCACCAGGGATACAATCTGTAGGATGGCAGTAATTATGCGCTTTCTTGTAGAACCCCGTGTCGGTAGGGCTCTCATGCCATCGGCCCAATAGGACTGATACATGTAGGCACTTCTGGAGTACCTGCACAGTACGCCCTGTTTCGCTATGGACATGGAACTGATAACATCGTGCAAGTTAATGCGTATCTCCACCCGCTCCACCAACAGCCTAGCTCATAATGAGAACTGGACGTTTTCACTGAACCTCTGGGTAGCTAGCTGTTTCGACCTCGTTAAGTCTTCTCAGTGGAGTTCAGAGTCACTGGCCAAACCGACCGCGATGAAGTCTAATGAACAGCAAGCAGAGGGAGAGAGAGAGAGAGACAGAGACAGAGAGATAGACAGAGACAGAGACAGAGACACAGACACAGAGAGAGAGAGAGAGAGAGAGAGAGAGAGAGAGAGAGAGAGAGAGAGAGAGAGAGAGAGAGAGAGAGAGAGAGAGAGAGAGACAGACAGAGAGAGAGGGAGAAATAGAGATAGGGATAGATAGATTGAGTAGATAGATAGATAGATAGATAGATAGATAGATAGATAGATAGAGAGACAGATAGAGAGTGAGTAAGTGAGAGAGAGAGAGAGAGAGAGAGAGAGAGAGAGAGAGATAGATAGATAGATAGATAGATAGATAGATAGATAGATAGATAGAGAGAGGGAGACAGACAGAGACAGAGACACACAGAGAGACAGAGACAGAGACAGAGACAGAGACAGAGGGACAGAGACAGAGAGACACAGAGAGAGATAGAGATAGATAGAGAGAAAGAGAGAGATAGATAGAGAGAGAGATAGATAGATAGATAGATAGATAGATAGATAGAGAGAGAGAGACGTCGATCGAGAGAAAGAAATATAGAGAGAAAGGTAGAGAGAGGGTTGACAGAGATTGGACAAACAGAGCAGAGACAGAAATGGGATTGAGGCCTCACATGTTAATATTAGCCCATAATAATGATAGCAAATTCAAATTCTATTCCAGGTTTTGTTTGCAGTTGAAATGGTTCCATCTGCATGTCTGGCGATTTCTGTGGAATCCAAGCTTGTCCTGGTATCAAACATCTGTTTCTGAAATAGTTTCGCTACTCGTGGTTTAAAGTAACATTAGTTCAATGCACTTCTGAGTGCTTGCGAATAGATAATACACGAATACATGTACAAGTGAGTTAGATGTGGATTCTATGGCAAGCTGTGAAGCATTCGACAGTTGACTTCTGACGGAGTTCTTATGAAACAGCTTGTTGTTGGAGTGATGGTGTTCTATCTGGTGAAACGTATCGTCACTGCATGCTACCCAGTACCGCAAAGCATGAATCCGGCTTCTGTGTGTTTCCGCCTGGCTCCAAGGACTCACACGCTAAAACACACACACACACACGCGCGCGCACATGCAAACAATTACACGATCATACTGCTGCGGACACACGCTAGGCCCTGGCGGATAATGCCGGCAGGATTTCGAGCAGAATATGGGTTATTTTTAGAAAAGGAGCAGAAAGAGCAGAATTCGGCAGAAAAGTGCAGAGGAAGGAGCAGATACTCTACAGAACCAGCTACGAAGTGCGGAGAGGGCTGGTGGCGCCTATTTACGGCTCCATTGTGTTCATAAGCACGTGAGAATCCGGCAGAATACGAGCAGAATGGGGCAGAATACGAGCAGAATGTCGAGCAGTAAACGCTACTTTTCCGAGCATTATCCGCCAGGGCCTAACACGCGCACACATTGGCAGGCGCGCTCACGCGCGTACACATACGTACATACACAACAGCATGCGCGCGCACACACACACACACACATACACACATGTCATCAAACGTCAACAAGCTGAGTCGTCTCAAGCCAAAATAGCATTGCGGATCAGACCCACGAGTGGGTTAGAAGAATTCAACACCTTGTTGTAAGTTGAAGTAAAAAACGTCAACATTGTGAGGTAGTGCCGTTAAAAGATTAATATTAATGGTGATTGTACAGTCGAACAAGACTGCACCAGGTTTTGTGAGTAAAAACAGTTTCAAAAGAAGATGTTCGACGAGCTATGAACAGAATGATAGAGTTTTCAATGGACCAGTGAAGATAATATTTGTGAAAAAGAATTGTACGTGACCATAGTGAGTCTGGAGATAGTTAGTGTAGAGGGTGTTAGATTTAAATTTTGTTCTGTGATATTAGGTTTGCTAGGGTAGTGTCAGAGTCTATGGCGATTCCGTGGCTCTCCATACATCCTCGCAGTAGTCCAGCGAGCCGCAGGCTGTGGCCGCGTCGCGACTGCTACACCAGTAGGAAGGTCCGTACGTGCACTTGTGCTGCCCAAGTGGTTCATCCGTGGCCATGGCGGCCATTTTCTCCGGCTGGCTGGAGGCCCATACCTGCTGGCAGTGATCCATCACGTCGCATTCGGTGGCAGCGTTCGCCGACGAACACCAGTACGCAGGGCCCCACGTACACTTGTTCTGGCCCAGAGGCTCCGTGGTGGTCTCCGGCGCGCCGGTCGTGGCGGCGTCCCATACCTTCTGACAATGCTCCATCATGTCGCATTCCGAGGCGGCGTTCTCGGACGAGCACCAATATGCCGGTCCCCAGGTGCATTTGTTCTGGCCGATCGCCTCCGTGGTGGTGGGACTACCAGTGGTGGCTTTCTCCGCGGCTTCCCAGACCTTCTTGCAATGATTCATCGCGTTGCACTGGTTGGCAGAGTCGACTGAGGTGCACCAATACGCTGGTCCCCATGTACATTTATCCTCGCCGAGAGGCTCAGTGGAGACCTTGCTGCCACCGTTGATTCCGCCGTGCTGTGCGCAATACTCCTCGGAGTCGCACTCCGCCGCGGCGTTAGCACCGCTACACCAGTATGCCGGACCCTGAGTGCACTGATCTTGGCCGAGAGGCTCTGAAGTTTCGTTCTGCCAGTACTTTCGCACGCAGACGTCCACGGCCTGGCACTGTTCGGCCTGTGCCACATTACGACACCAGAAGCTCGGCCCATACGTGCATGGATCCGAGCCAGGCATACCTTGTGAAGCCACAGCAGCCACAAGGGCGGCTACAAGTACTACGTACATCGCGGTCATTTTGAAAACAGACGATTCGAAGAGGAAGAAAATATTATGCTTCTTGTTCGAACTGGGCAAGAGCAAAACTACGAAGATGTTTGCAGGTCTCTGCTACTTTACATGGCGTTCCTGCGCTGCGTTGGCGAGTTGGAAGCTGGGCAGGCTCGAAAGCACGCAGCTAGAATGCGGACGAATGTCGTTATGACACCAGAAGTTGATGTTGTTTTCGTGAAGTTGCTGGCAGCCTAGGTAATCCACCCTCCAACCCCTTACCTAATGCACGCGACGCGACCACAGCGCTGTCACTTCACTGGCACGGTTCCTTGCGCTAGCAGTCCCGGACTAAACGGGTCGACGGGCGCGCAGCGTCCCTGCTCCCTTGGTTGGCACGTCGTACCATAGGAACAATGCGAAGTGTCTCCGACATGTCAGCCGCAAAGCTATGACAGGGGGCAGCTCGAAGTAGCAGATGCAACCGTCACGGCGTCAGGATCTATATATTCCCCCATTACACGCACATAAACTATTATCCGCTTATTCTTTGCATGCAGTTTTTGAAAGTTTGAAAGAACGGTATCAGTAAAGTGCAACGACAGCGCAAAGTGAGAATCTCGGTTGTGGCGGTAAGCGCGTTATTGTAGCGGCTCCAACTGAATACACACGCAGGCCCTGTGGTGATCAGCTTCTTTCAACACAGTTTGCAACTCGGAGCGTGAGTCCCTCAGTCGTGTGTCGGATGCGGCTGTGATTTGGACGATAAAGTAAATTCTTTTGCAATTGCCAACAAAGGTCGTATCAACATTAAATACGCGGTTTAGCCGCTGGAGCTCAAGTCAGAAGAGGTACACAGAGTAAAGAAGTTGAGTTCCGTTCTCTAGAGTCATTTCTATTTTACGCTCCGTGTTCTCAGATTTCAACACTTGAGGAAATAATCATTGTGTTCAATGTGGCCGCCAATAGGCTCCCACTCAGAGTACAAGGCAGATGCGGGTGTGTGTCCACACGGAAAGGTTGGTGAGGGAAGACGGCAGTTGTACATCCCTGTTCGTGTTTCTAG